ACTACCCGCTACCCGCCTACTCAAGTACCTGCCCGATACCCAACTACCCGCCGACCCAACTACCCAACTACCCGCTTACCCAACTGCCAACCTGCCCGATACCCAACTACCCGCCTACTCACCTACCCGCCTATTCAACTACCCACCTACCCGATACCCAACTACCCGATACCCGCCTACCCAAGCACCCACCTACCCGCCTACCCCCCTCGCCTCATGTCAGTCAGCGCCTCCTACCAGGTCGCCCGGCTGCCGGCTGAACCGCCTGCCTTCCCTGTCGGGTCTTAGCTTCTTGCACATGTGTTCCCTCCCCAGTCCTTTCCGGTTTCCCAGCCAGCCATACACCTTCCCAGACACCCCCACTCCCCCTTCCCCCCGCCGTCCGGCTGCCTGACCGGACTCTCAGGTCCCAGTGGACCAGGATGACACCGCTCCGGAACTGCTTCAGCGGTTATTTCAGTTGGGTGGTCAACTGCTGCTACAACGGCTACCGGACGTGTGGGCGGGCAGGGGCCCGCAGATAGCAGTACCGCAGGTGTGTTTATGAATGTATATGTGTGGAGGGGGGGAGGGGGAAGGGAAAAGGGGGAGAGGAGGGGTCGTGCCGGGGCCCACGCAAAGGGTTGGTCCAGGAGGAAGGGTTGGTGATACCGGGGGTACCGTCCGTCCGGTCGCCTGTGAAAGGGCTCCCTAGTTGGGTTGCCTGCCGCCTACGGCCTATTACTAACCGCCAACCGCCTGTCACTCAGCCTCCTCACTTCCACAATCGTGCTTTTTTCCTCCGCTCCCGACCTCTGTCAGATCGGCATTAAAAACCTCTCCCTCCTTTTCCCCTTTCTTCCGTTTCCCCCCCCTCCGTGGGCTTTCGGGTTTTTTTCTGCTTTTTCTTTCCGCAATGCATTTTATAGTCTTGGCGGCTAGGTAGGTAGTTTTTCCGTTATCCTCCTGTCTACATCACCGTGAAGACTCCTCCTTCACACGTCGCGACTGGTTGGTTATTTATTGCTTCCTTACTTCAGTGGCGTATCAGTCTATCCTTGCCATAAGCTACATTCGTTCACGTGGTTCGGCTTTATCCGTCCGTCCTTCTCCCCCTTCAGGACGAGTCCCAGGTGCTGCATGCCGCCAAGGTGTGGCTGGCCGGGGGAGTGGTAGGCGGGTAGGGACTCGGGGGTAGGTGGGGCTTTAGGCAGGCGGTTGACAAATGGCGGTCCGGCTCCTGAGTTTCCTCCTGTCCTCCCACGCGCCCCTCCTGCCTGCACCACAACAGCCCATTCGCAAACGTCGCTGTTTCCGGAATCTCCGGGATCCCCCCCTCCCAACACTCCCTTCACCCCCGCCCAACACTCCCTTCACCCCCGCCCAACACGCGCACGCACGCAGCTGAGCCGGGACGAGTCTGTGCTGGACTTCTCCTCCACTCAGGGACACGTGCTGCACAACCGAGTGAGGGCCTTCGCGGGTTGGCCGGGAACCAGCGCCACCTTCCTCTTGCAGGACGAGGCATCAGGTGGGGCGGGAGGGTGGGTGAGGCCGGGAGCGGCGCGGGGGGCCGCAGTGCTGAACGGGATTGAAGGCCAGGGTAGGTTACATGGCAGATGATGGCCAGGATGAGCTCACGTAACGGAGGTCGGAAGTAGCAAGGTCAGGTTTGAGTTCAGATCACACCAGGTCACACCACGGCGCTCCGTGAGGTTGTTCCGAGGGTTTCCTCTTTACCCCCACCCCCCCTTCCCCCTGGTATTGTGGGGTAGGTGGTGCTGTTGGGGGGGAAAGAAGGGCGGGGGGGAATTGGGGGGAATTCGAGAGAAGGAAGGCAAGAGATCTGCAAAGGGATCCGGACAAGGTTCACATTGTGTGTGTAGATAGGGGGGAGATGACGCGGTGGCTCCCTTGACCAGCAGGTGAGACAGAGGCGGTAGACATCAAGATCGTCAAGACTAGGGCCTCGCCGCCAGCGGCGGCATCAGAGGCGGCGTACTCGTGGTCTTGGCCAGCCCCAGCCTCAGGGGGTGCCGAGGGGGGCTCGGCAGCGGCAGTTGTGTTTTCCGGGGATTCCATGCTGGTTCCTTGCGCCGGGGGGACATGGCTCGAGGTATGGCAGGTAAGGTCGAGGCGAGCATGTAAGGGGGGATTGCGGCACGCGCGTTGGCTGTCCGATTTCACCTGTCGTGTACAGTTGTACGGAATAATCCGTCGAAAGGCAGTACAAAGTATGGAAAACGCGAGGGGGCCCGCGTGGGAGCCTTCTGCGTGTTTTCTCTTTTACCCCTCTCCCCCCCCCCCCGCGCAACAAGGTCATGGCCATCGGTGCAAAATCCCTTTCCTGTTGAGGATTTGCGCACGGTTCGTTAATGAACTGACCGTACTGATTGGGTGCTGGGAAAGAGCACCGCCTCGGCGAGTTACCGTAGGCCTGCGCTGTCTTAAAAGGCAAAAACCCTTCTTAACGCCATTCGCGCGCGCGCGCGCGTGCGTGTATGTATGTGTGTGTGTGTGTGTGCCCCTCCTAGGATTGCTCGCCGTCAAAACAAATATGACGTCCGCCAACGCCCCTCCCCTGGACCCCATCCTACCACGCCGACCCCCAGGTCCAGCCCCCCACGAAGAAAGTTATGTCGGTCAAGGACTTTAGAAACGGCCTCCGAGGCAAACGGCTGTTGCTGCCGCCACCACGGCTACCGCCAACATCGCCCACAACAAAGCCACGGGAGCCAAGCGCTGTGTAACCAATAAAGTTCCTTACAAAAGTCCGCACAATCGTTTGGACGCGCGTAAAGACAGGGAACGCATGATCTCCCCTTGTTTTTCTCTCCCCTCTCGAGCTTCGGCAGGAATTATGGAGCGCCGCAATACGGCGGTGCTGAAGCACGTGCGTCTGGGCGTCCGACCCGCCCAATCTAGGCAGTCGATCGTTTGGTTTGAGTAGTTATGTTGGTTGAATTTATGGAAAACGGATGCCGCAGGATGGGCTCCGAGGGGTCCCCCATTGCGCCGTAACCGTACCGCCACCACAGCGATTCGTTAAGGACAAAGCCAGATTGGAATGGTCGGGGGAGTTGTCACTTCGCATACACGGCGATGTATCGAGTGATGAGTGCAAGGAAAGGAGGGAGGGGGAACAAGGGCGGAAGGTCAGGTACGGACAAAGTAGGCGGCACAGATAGGGGCACAGCTTCCTCGATGTGTTTGACATTCCTGGCAAAGAAACGGCGGAGCCCGTGCGTTGTGCATGGGCACGTTTCGCAACACGTGCAGTAGTAAGTAGTGGGGGTTGGGGCCCCGCATGCAAGTCGCCATGGGTGACTGCCATTCCCAAGTCGTTGCAGTTGCTACGCAAAATGAGGAGCCGGCAAGCAGCGAATTTTGTTTCCGGCACCCAGCAACGTGCGTTGCAGACGTGATAGCTTGGTCATTTCTGCGCGCGCTGCTCTGCTGCTTGGTAGACACTAGTACTCCATATCGGGTATGGGGAGCGAGTAAGTTCACAAAACGAAAACGCAAAAGTGCCTATTTTTGCAAGTGGTGGTATTTGCTGGCGTTGCACATATTCATCCTATATAACCGTTTAGGAGCATTTGTTCGCGTGCGTCAGTTGCATCTCTCTGGGAACCTTACTGGTTAGAGCGCGTCTTGCAGGGAAGGCCATTTTGGGTCGCGTAGAAAGTCATTTGGTGTATTTGTGTACAGGTACAGGTCTTCTAGCATTTCACTTGCGCGCCGCTAAGACGTAACGAGAAAAGCAAAACCCGGACCCGTGGGACTTGTGAAAGGCATGCATTCAAGGCTGTTTGAATCCTACCAAAACAGATGGCCTGATGCCATGCATTTACTGGATAGCAATAAAGTAGGATTTTGGTGACATCACGGTAAAATGTATCGTGTTGCGTCCCTTAGCATCCATGATGGCATCAAAAGTTTTTTGGTGCACTTGCGTTAAAAAGAATGATGAAATCTGGCTCCGCTGGGTTAGGAAACTGAGTGCAGTCCAGCGGATGTTGCCGTATTCGTTCTGCCAGCGGTCTAGTGGCCGCCGGCGACAGTTTCGGGCTTATTCGCTATTTTTAGTGTTTGGAGTAGTAAAGGGGATGCAGTGAAACGACATCTGCTTGCTGGAGCGGTGACACCTTGTAAGCCCATTTTGTTTGTTCACACAATCGAAAGTTCAAGGGACTATTAAGTGCAAACCTTGCAAGCTTTTCCGAATAGCATGAAGTTGTTGTAAGTACTGAAACGACTGTATCGAAATTTTGCTGGGGAAGCGGGTGCCTTCAAACGCAGTTGCAACAATGGACGGCAGCTCGCTCCCGGAGCCTCCCCACCGTGATGATCCTGGAAATCTTCGCTCTCTTCTATCGCGCGCTGTGGCTGCCAATCGACCCTCGATGGGGGCAATGCCAGCCGGCGCCAATCTATTTGCCCGTTATGCGCACGATGCTGGGCCCGCCGCTGCCACCGTTGCTGCTAATTCGGCTGGTTATAAGCAGCCTCCTGCACACGTTCACGTGCCAATGCATGGATTAGCACCGGCTGCAGGGCCAGCCTCGGCTGCTGGTGTGCGGCCTCCGGCGATGATGAACGGTGGCATGCCAGTATCGTCTCTAGATGATATGGACGATCAGCTGCCGTCAGCAAAGCGTCGCAGAGGAGGTGGCCGCGGCGCGCATCCTGAAGATGGCGAAGATGATGGCCAGCCGGACGTCAGTTTACATGTTGCAGGAAGTGGCGGTAAGGAATACATTATCCATTTTTTTGACAAATATTCTGTTCTTTGGGTCAAAAAGGCCTGGAGGCTAGGTTCGGACCTTCGCCGACTTCCTCCCCTTCCAACCCCCTACCTACCTATTCGACCTCCTTTGTCTTTTGTACTTGCCGGAGCCAAAGCCTCCTCCACCGCATCCTCCGTTCCCTCTTCATGTTTGTGCGGACCTTTTGTGGGCAGGATGTGCAGTTTTCTCTGGATCGTCGCGCTGCGCGCTCCCGTTCCGCAGCACACCATCTAGTGGCGCCTGCACTCTGCGCCTCGTGTCTAACTGCAAATGCACCCTTTCCCAATAGCCCCTCACTTCATTCCCATCCACCCTGCGCTGGAACCCCTTTGCTCGTTCCTCCTAGCTTCCACAATGCCGACCATGCCGTACGGCTCCGCGGTACCTGCTGATCCATCCAACAACTTCTACCAGACCACCCCCTTGGCAATGGGCTACAATACCACCGTCACCACCTCAAGCGGCGCCCCAGGCGACCATGGAAATTACCGCCGCCCCGCCGCACCTCGTCTTCCGGGCATCCAACCCGCGCGCACCGCCCTCGTCCACGCCGGCGCAGCAACTCCGGGCGGCGGCTTCCGCTCTATCGGCGCCGGCACGCATCACACCCAACCACTGCCTACAGCAGCGACCCATGGGACATCCACACTTGCCGCTATTGCGGCGGCCGTGGGGCAGCCGATGCCTGGCAGCGGCATCAACCATCAGGTCTCTTGGCCTCACCAACAACAACAGCAACAGCAGCAGCAACAACAACAGCAGCAGCAGCAACAGCCACCCCATGGCATGGTGCCCTTTGGCGCTACGGGCGCTCCCATTACCGGTCATCACCCACACGGGGTTGTTGCCGGCATGCATCACGGCCTCACCGGCCACAACACCGCAGCTGGGATGCATGGCGGCCTCATCCCGAACTTCGTCGGCCATCTGGGTCAGCACACCGGCGCCGTTGGACCCATGGGTCATATGGGCGCTTACGGTGCCTACCCAAGCGGTGGCTATACCGCAGCGGTCACCGGCGGTATCGGCGGCGCCTTTGCTCCGCGGTTCAGCGCCGGCACTGAAGAGAGCCCACTGGTGGTGGGGCGGCGGCGGCGGCGCAACGGTGCGCCGGTGGATCTGTCCAGTGGCGGCGGCGACGACACGGAGGATGGAGAAGACAGCAGTGGCGGTGCGGATGCGGACGCTGCGGAGGAGGTCCTGCAGCGGGTACGTGGCTTCATTGGGATATATACCAGTGGTGGCGGCGGTGCGTGTCGGGCTCTCAGTGGTATCGGAGCTGTTTCTTCCTGGAGTGAAGGGCGAGGGGCCTAGGGACCCATGGGCGTTCGCGGGTCGCAGTGTCGAGGATTGGTTTGTGTAGGCTGTGGGAGTGTACGGTGCGTGTTGCAAGATGATGTGTTGGGAGCACATCGCACAACCTGCGACAGTCAAATGATGGTTCTAATCGCTGTTGCGGCGCTTTTAGTGATTGACCAGACCTTGCCCAATTTGTTCCACCGTCACCACACTTCACTGCTAAGGGCCGTCCCGTGTTTCCCCACCCTTGCCCTCATGACGACTTCCCAAATCATCACTGGTTGGTAACTCAACTACAGATTTCTGCAGTATCTGTCTATTCCTGGAGCATTTTTCTATCTCTGGTATCGGCATCACTCGTCTGTGGTTCGTCTTTCCCCACCCTCACCCTTGCCCGACCCTCACTCCTTGTATATGACTTCCCCCCAACTCCCAACCTCAACTGCAACCCCAACCTCGCCCTTTCGAAGGTGGAGCTCATCAGCAGGAATCTGCGTGGAGCCATAGGCGGCATCAGCCACCAGCAGCAAGGCGGGATGCCGAGCGCGTACGGAGCAGCACCCAGTAGGTCCATCACGCACACGTGTACTGGCAGTTGCATGGAAGGAAGGCTTTGAATTGTTCGGCCAGGGTGTTGAACGTATGGGGTTTTTTCGGGTGAATGCGCATCTACTGCGCGCCTGTGGGTGGGGCCCTCAGGGCCTCAGCGATCTCCTACATTAGGATCTTCTACATTACTTGGAACACTGGGCTGTTTATACTTCGCCCGCCCCTGCTCCGCCTCGCGCTCCCCACCCTAACCAGTTGGCCTCCTCGGTGCTGCGGCTGCTGCCGCTGCCGGTGGCGCTGCTCAACGTCAGCTGGTGACGGCTACGGACATTGCCCGGGCTACCGGCTCTGAGGAGGTGGCTGCCCGCCTAAAGCCCTACCAGCTGGTGGGCATCAACTACCTGCTGCAGCTGGCGGCAGGGCAAGTGGGCGGGGCTATCCTGGCGGACGAGATGGGACTGGGCAAGACGGCCCAGACGTGCGTCTACCTGTGTGAGTAGAGCGAGTAGTGGCCGCGGCCGCGGGTCGTATGTATGGAGAGTGGCGGGCAGGAGGGGATGGTGTTTGGGAGGGGAGGGAGGGAATTTGTAGTAAAGGGCAAGTGTGTGTGTGTGTGTGAGGGGGTTACGTCTGGCGGCTGGCGGTGAGTGTGCACCTGCTGCTTTGGGAGAATTGATATTGCCCGGGATCAGCAGGAGTCTTTTTTGTTGGAAGGGTTGTGACGGTTGCGCGGTACTTTGTGCGGTTATGGCCCTGTTCCGTGCATACGTCTGCTGCGTATTACCCTGGAATCTACAGCACCCGGCGCTATGTAGGCAAACATGCTGATTTCGATCTCGATCTCCAAGCCCGGCGGTACTCCCCCACATCCCTTCATTCCCTCTTACCCCTTTTTCCCATCCGAGATGGAGAGTTGTTGCTTGTTTGCGTGTAGTGCTTTCCCCACCCCACCCACCCCACCCCACCCCAAGCCGGGTCGTTTATTATGAGGTCTTCCTCCGTGTCTGACCGCACATTGTACTAGGGACTCTCTTATCTGATGTGCGCTCTTTCCTTTTACCCGCATTCCTTTCGGCGTTTTTCTTTTTCCTTATCTCCCCTATCTCCATGCACCGCATTTCCTGCCACGTCTCTGGCCCGCAGCCTGCCTCCGACCGCTGCTTAACGACCCTGGTCCGCACCTGGTGGTGGTGCCCGCCTCCCTGCTGGAGAACTGGCAGCGAGAGCTCAAGCTGTGGGCACCCACCCTGAAGTAAGGGAGCGCTGTCTTTCCTGCACATGTTTCTTGATCCTTCAATTCCGTTTTTGGGTCCTCTTCAGAGAGCGCATCGATTTCTTTTCTCGCAACGTTTATTAAAAAATGGGCATGTATAGGCGGAAGTCGGGAAGGGGGGACCGCATAGGCAACAGTGGGGAGAGATGGAAGCAGTAGCTCCGACGAGTTGTAGCCATCGTGCCAAGTTGCAGGTTGGCGAGTTGAATCGGCGTAGGCCCCGCTACCCCCTTGGCTTTGCGGAGCGTTTCTGACCTTAGCAGGACGCTTTACGCGCTGTTAAGGACTCCCTGGACCTCGCTGTGTGACGCTTTACGCGCTGTTAAGGACTCCCTGGACCTCGCTGTGTGACGGTATTCCTTTTGTTTGTTTTTTACCGCACCTTGGTCCTCTTGCTGCTGGTGTTTGTGTTGCTGTCGTTGCGCGTTCGGTGTTTGTTTTCCTGCAGGGTGGTGACCTACTACGGCGCTACCCGGGAGAAGCTGCGTCACCGCATCAAGCGGCAGTGGGCGCGTATCTGCGCTGGATTGGACCCCGGGCCGGACGAGGAGGACGAGGGGCAGTTGGCGGCGGCAGCGGGGCAGGAAGATGTCCAGGTGGGGGCGCCTGGCTGGCTGGCTGCTGGCTGGCTGACTGGTCCATGCCCAGTTTGGAGGTCTTAGCGCGTAGATAACCCTGTACAGAGAGTGCACTCCTAAAGAAAATATTCCATTCCGGTTATTTTAAGCTTATCAAAAATGTTACTCCCATCTTCAGACTTGAAAAGTTTGAAAACCAGATTACCAAAGGAAGTAATATTTTGAACACCATGGGATGTGGATGTGGGTCTGGATGGTTGTTGCTTCTGACTTAGTAGTGTTCCCTGGACGTGCAGGGTGAAGGCGATGCGGCAGAAGGCGATGACGGCTACGGGGCCAGCGGCAGCGGCGATGAGGAGGAAGAGGTGGACGAGGAGGAATACGGCCAGTTGCCCACACCGCAGCGCCAGACTGGCAAGGTACGGTGCGCTTTCTAACGCGCAACCAAGCTACCTGGAAGCCGCGGATGTCCCCCACCCCGGCCGGCACAGTGCCAACCCGATGTGCCAGCCCGCAAAGCCCTAGAACCCCACATCTCATCATCCTCTGGGGCTATCCCTCTCGCGCCCTATTTGGATATGTTCTTCCTCTATCCAGACAATCCTGCCCACCTGTCCTCCCACCCTCACTCCCTCTCCCTTGTCTTGTTTTTTGAACGGCGGCAAGTTCATTCCTTGCACGTGTTTTCTTTCCTTTCTATCTTACAGCCGGCCGCCCCTCCCGCCTTTTTCTCCTGGCGCTTCTCAGGGCGGGGGCTGCGGTGGGCTGTTTGATGTGCTGCTCACCACCTATACGGTCTGGGAGCGCGAGGGCCCCGCGTACGGTATTGATCGGGCATTCCTGTCGAAATGGCCCTGGTCGCATGTGGTGAGTCTTGACGTGCAGCGGGAGCTGGGACTTGGGAGGGCCGAGAGAGATGTATCGTATGCCGTGTCGATTAAAACAACTGGCCGGAAGGGTGGGGAAGGCGTGAGAGAGGGAAGCCGGGCCGTGGGTGTGGCTGCATGAGGGGTCCCGAATTGCGGTCGGCGGCAGTGGAAAAACGTGCATGGAAGGACAAGGGGGAAGGGCGGCGTGATTGGCCGAAGGTTTTGGAATGGGGCCTTTGGAGCGTTTGCTGCAGTTTTGCTATTTTCAAGGCAGGACGCGGCTTTTATTTCCTCTTGACCGCCGGCACAGCTACGTCGATCTCCCGCTGAACGAAACCATCGATCAGTGGCCTCATCACTTCCGACCCCTACAGCAGTCTGGTTCCTTGGGCGTCGCAGTTGACTCCTCCTGTTTACTTGTTGTATCTACACATGTTATCCACAGTTGCGCCCCTTCATCGTCGCATCCAGCTGGTGTGCCATGCAAGTTCACGGCTTTGCGTCTGCTTACTGGTTGACTGGTTTTGATTATTGATTTATGCGGGGCCGCCTCACGCTTGTGTACTTGGCGCAGGTCATGGACGAAGCCCACGCCCTGAAGAACAGCTCCTCCACCCGTAGCAGGAAGCTGCGCAAGGTGGCGCAACTGGCGGCGACGCGCATCATGCTCACAGGTGCGAGTCGGGGGAAGATGGGGAGTGAGGGAGGAAGCCTGGAAATCGGCGAGGGCAGTTACATGAAATCGGCGAGGGCAGTTACATGAAATCGGCGAGGGCAGTTACATGAAATCGGCGAGGGCAGTTAAATGGGGATGGATTTCTTGGAGTATGGGAGTGACACGGGGGGTGGGGTTGAGAGGGAGGGAGGGAGGGGTGAGGAGTGGACTAGCTGGATTTGGCGTGTCACGGTTGCTGGTTGCGGCTCTCTGCGCCTCCGCCGGGCTCAAGTCAATCAGTGTCGTGACCTGTCCATGCCTTACCCATTTACTTCCTATTCCATGGGAAAGCCGTTATTGCAGCGGAAGATGATTCTGTTCTTTTCACGTGAGATGTTCAGTCTCCGCTGCAACCTAATAGCCCCGATGAATGACCGCCACCCGTTCTCCCCCAACTCGCGTCTCAACCCCACTCCGATTCTCTTCTTACCCTTTCCCACGCACGCTCTTGTAGGCACCCCTCTCCAGAACGACCTTCTCGAGCTCCACGCGCTGCTAGCCTTCCTGCTGCCCACCATCTTCAACGCGGGCGAGGGTGCGGACGCTCTGGCCATGCAGGTGGCTGAGGTTGCCAGGCCGGTGCCCGGGGCCGGCTCGGGTGCGGGTCAGGCAGCTCAGGCAGCCCGGGCGGCTGCTCAGAGCCGCCTGGTGGAGCGAATGAAGCAGCTGCTGCAGCCGTTCATCTTAAGGTGTGCGAGGAGGAGGAGAATCGAGGCGGGTGAAGAGGGGTTAGGATAGTAGGGATGCAGCGGGAGGATGGACGAGCGGGTAGTAAAAGCGCAGTGGGAACCTGGAAGGGGTGGCCTTGGGTTAAATTGGATGAGGTGGAGGAGGCCTGCTGCGCTGCTGGGTAGGAGTGCGCTTTGGGAAGGGGGAAAACCGGAATCGCACATGCGAAAAGGTTTTTGGGGTCGTTTATAAGTTCAACCTCCTAGGGCTTTACTGCCCGGTTGCTTCGCGCCTCCAGTCGCTCTTCGGAGCCCCGACCCCTCAATCCTCCAATCCTTCTCCTCCTCCTGCAGACGTCTTAAGAGCGAGGTGGCGGATCAGCTGGTGGCCAAGCAACAGCACATTGTGCTGCTGGTGGGGCAGGGGGGTCGGACCGGGTGGGGAAGGGGGGCAGGGGGGAGGGAAGCGCAGAGGCCCTGGCGCTCGCCCAATTTGGGTCTTTATCTTGTGGCTAGCTTTATCGAACTCACATAGCAGCCCGTGTGGATAGTAAGTAAGGCTAAACGCCAAGAGCTTCGACCGTATTGCATGGACAGCCTTAACGCTGTAACAGACCTGCTAAACGTTTTTGATTGTCCTTGGCACCTGCGACGCGAGCCCCTTTCCATTTCCCACTCCTATAATGCCTTATACCTTTCTTTGCATGGCTTTCTACTTCCCCTCCTCCCGCGTCTCGCTCCCACCATGCGAATCTCCACCAATCCACCGCGTTCATCTTTCCCCCCTTTCCCGCCTCTTTCCCAGGACATGGTTCCGGAGCAACGGGAGCTCTACGCCGCGACGATTGCCTCTATGCGGGATGAGGTTAGCAAGGAGGTCTCACAGGCGGCAGCTGCCGGGGGCCCGGGCCGCGGCCGGGGGCGGGGTCGCGGTCGGCCCCGCCGCGGCACTGCGCTCAAGGCGACGGAGGAGGCTGCTGCCCAGGCCTCCGGCCCGGGTGGCTCCGTACCTGCCGGCCCCCTGGATATGTCGAAGCTGAGCTCCTCCCGGGTGCAGCACATCTTCACTCAGCTGAGGAAGGTGGCCCAACACCCGCTGCTCATCAGGTCGAGGTACACCAAGGAACAGGTAGGAGGTAGGGGGCCCTTATTGGGTGTATGGATGTGTGTATAGGGGGGCTAAGTAGGGTGGGACATTCGAGGGCTGAGGATAGGGCGTCATGGAAGAATGGTGTCAGGAGGGGAGGGAGAGAGCTTTGGGGAAACTGCTAACCGAGCCAAGCCCGCCTGTATGGGAAGTGGAGCAGAGAGGGGGGCACAGGTAAGCTGTTACTAAGGTGAGGAGGTTTAGTGCGGTGAGTTGAAGCCTGTCTGTTGAGGGGCGTGCCCTCTAGGCCTAGGGAGAAGACAGCGGTGAGTTTGTGAGGGCCATGGACGGTGCATATTATGTTGCGTATTGGCATCCATTTCCGTCATTGCTGGCATACGTTCCTTGGTGCCGCCCTTGCGTCCCTTCTAGCTTTATCGAATCGACCTGGCTTCGTACGCGTCGTCGTCGGCCGTCAGCCATTTTGGGGGGTTCACTTGTGACCCCCTTCTTTCACCCCCTTTCCCGTACGCCTACCTTTCTCTGCGTGTGTTGTTTCCTCTTACTCTCGGTCCTCGTGTGCCGTTTGTTTGCAGGTTGCCGAGCTGGCCAACCTGGCGGCCACACGGGGGCTGTTTGGCGGCGCCCCAACCGTGGAGCGATGCCTGCAGGTGCGTGTAGAGATAACATCATGGCGCCGTGCGGGCGGTATCGTCTAGGCGCGGGGCCGGCTTCAGGGAGGAGCTTTCCTAACCTCTTAACTTTCCTGCTTTCCCTACGTCGCCGTTGAAACCTCATTGAAATCTCCTCTCTTGAAATCTCTTTTCCAAACGCTTTTTGTCAAGTCCTGAGCCTTTTATGTATCCGCGTATTGGCGTGGGAAGGCCAAATGTCTTTCATTGGCGCGGTAGGAAACCCCAAACCCCCATGTGGAACTCCTCTTGACACCGCAGGAGTTGTCCTCCTACAGCGACCACCAGCTGCATTGCTTTGCATGTGAGTTCACGGTGACGGGATCCGGGGTGCGGGGTGGGGTTCTGGGTTGCATTTCCGCCACACGGTACACGCCATGAGCCGATCGGTCAAAATGTCGATCTGTCTGCAAGCCGCTACTGGGGAGATGGTGCAGACCAGTGAGACCCGCTCCTCCCCGGCTCCGTCCCACCAGATCACCCCACAGCCGCACCACACGACAACAACAACACTCACACACACACACACCCCTTTACGTCCCCAAATTGTAGTGGGTCACCCCAAGCTGCTGGAGTCGTACATCCTGCCTGAGGATTCCGTACTGTGCTCGGCTAAGATAAAGCACCTGGACGAGTTGTTGCCCAAGCTCAAGGAGAAGGGCAGCCGCGTGCTGCTGTTCAGGTGGGGCGCTGGAGATCGAGGGGACGATAACTGTGCAGCTGCTCCTGTTGCTGCTGCTGCTGCTGGTTGCATGTCGCACCGCTGCTTTGTCCTCTCTGCTCGTTACCTGGTATAAACGAAGGTTGAAACGATTGGGAAACCCCCTGCCATTGCCCCAAGCCCAAGGCCATCCGCTCCATTTTGCCACACACACACATTTTTTGCCCTTTTCCACGCATCTTCACCGTCACCTTCACCCCATTCCTGACGGCGTTTCTTTTCCACCGAACCGCAATGCAGTCAATGGACGACCGTGCTGGATCTGCTTGAGTGGTACATGCACCTCCGGGGCTACACGTACTGCCGCTTGGATGGGGGGACCCAGGTGTGGGACTGGCGGAGGGCGTCTCGGGGTGTGGGGGTCTGGAGGGAGGATAGGGGGGGTGGGAGGTGGGGATGGGGGGAGCGGTCGAGTGCACGTCGTGCGGGGGTTTTCGTGGTGATGTCTTGACCTGGGGAGGGGCTGCAGGATTGGATGGGTGTATTGGAAGGGCAACCTGAGCTGCAATGTTTCCAGCGAGACTATAGTCGATACGTCTTTCGACCGTACGGCTTCCCCATGCCGTACCTCCTGAATTGCAACAACACGGTGGCGCTAAAAATGATGGTTTGTGTGATTTGTGTGGCGGTCGGTGATAGTGGAGCAGGATGGCGGACGAGCAGTTGAGTGTCGTAACAAGACACTGTTCCTCTTATCCTTCCGTTCCTCCGTGGTCGCTCTTAGGTCGCGTATGTGAGTTTGGGATTGTTTTGTTTCTTTGTCCGTCTGAGCCATCTGTACCCGCGTGTCCTGTTCGACTCAACCCGCGCCACGGCGGCTGATTCTGACGACGTTTCCCCTCTTCGCGCTCCCCAGGTCGATGAGCGGCTGGCCCTGGTGGACGCATTCAACGCCCCGGAATCGCCGTACTTCGTGTTTCTCCTGTCCACTCGCGCGGGAGGCCAGGGCCTCAACCTGACGGGGGCGGACACCGTCATCCTGCACGACGTGGACTTCAACCCGCAGATTGACAAGCAAGCAGAAGACCGGGCGCACAGGTAATGTGCCTTAGAGCTGGCAGGGCACGGGAGGGGAAGGGAGTTTGCATGCCAGGATGAGGTGCGGTTTTAATTTTAAAAATTCCGTCACGTGCCACGGCTATTAGTAATACTTTTGATGGAAGAACTGGCACCCAGTACGTTCTGGTCTCTGCTAATTAGAGAAGTTTTAAAAGCGCGCGATTCCATGTTCGTTTGTTTGCGCGATTCCCTGGCTGTACGGTTCCGTGTATCATTCAGCATAAATTAATTAACTATCTCGTCGTCTTTGTCCTCCTCTTCGAATACCGTGTCCCTTTCCCCCCAGGTTGGGTCAGACACGTACAGTGGCGGTGTACCGCTTGATTACCAAGGGCACCGTGGATAGCAATATCCAGGTGGGAGGGGGGAAGGATTCCGATATAGAATACCTTGAGAACGGGGTTTGAAGGAAAGACGGCCCTTAAGGAAAGGGAAGACGGCGGGGAAACGGGAGTGGTGATCTGACCCGGGGCACGGGCGGGTAATGGGCTGCTGTGCGAGGAAGGGCTGCAAGGACGGGGATATATGCTCCCCTAAAGGAGTGTGGCTTGTGTGAGTGCCTTTTTCCTCTCCCCCTCAGCTGTCGCTTGATTCCTGTGATCGTGCTCCATGCGGCAGCATTTGTCCTCGCCCGCTCGCTTCCTGCGTCCTCGTGCCCGCAGAGGAAGGGGCCCAACTACAAGCTGAAATTCTGTATGTATGTGCCGAAGTTCCTTTCCCTATTTCCCACTTGCTTCTGCCGCACGCCCACAGGCCATTGCGGAGCGCAAACTGGCTTTGGATCATGCGGTGCTGACGGACGTGACAGTGGGGGCTGGGGCGGAGGGAGGCGGCCGGGGGCGTGGCAGGGGACGGGGCCGCGGCGCTGCATCTGCGGTTGAGACACGCCACATGGCGGAGATCCTTTCCTCGCTGCTGGACCCGCAGCAGCCTGAGGAAGGGAATGCGGCAGCGGGCGGCAGTGGCTCCGGCAGCACCGGTGGTGGCGGAAGCTCCGTTGGGGTTAGCGGCGGCATGGGCTCCGCTGGTGGCATCGGCTCCGTCGGCATTAACGTTGGCGGCGGCGGCGGCGGCTATGTCGGCGGCATGGGCTCCATCGGTGGAGGTGGCGGCGGCCAGGTAGGCGTCATCAGTTCCCTTGGCGGCGGCGGTGGCGGAGGCGGCGGCCACATTGGTGTTGTTGGCCACCACGCTGTTGGCCACGTTGGCGGCGGCGGCATCGGATCTGGGGGCGCGTGGGATGGCGGTAACGCATGGACCGGTGCCGCCGTTGCCGCAGCTGCAGCAGCGGCAGCAGCGGCAGCAGCGGCAGGGCCGTCGGGAATGCCATATCCACGGGGATGACGCGGCGGGCTGATACCTAAGCGAACCTTGTGGCCATCACAGAAGGCGGTAAGAGCCGGGGCTACGGACGCCGCAGCGCAGCTTTGAAGGATGGAGGTTCACGGCTGTATTGTTGTATTGTGGCGGTGCTGAGCGGCGCGAATCCAAGACTGAAGCCGTATGTACATCAAGGCGTGGGCGGATGTGGGGGGATTTTCGGAGCGAGTGCGGGCTGCAGGCGAAATAGCTGGGAGGGTAGCAGGTAGGGTAGCAGGTGATGTGATGTACGGACAGGGGGTTTAGGTAGCCCTGAGACGGACGGAGGAGCAGCGGCGCGGGCCGCGGCGGCGGGAGGCAGCATAAGGCGTCATGAGAAGCGATGAGGGAAGCTGGGCGTGCGGGATAAGGTGCCCGCGGCTGGGGCTGTGCCTCGTGTATTGGGGTTGGATAGGGCTGTGGAAGGGAAGGACCGTGGCAGGGTCATGTCGGCAATGAAGGGCAGAATGGTCGGTGCGACGCGGCATGCTGAATGGGCATCCGGGTGCTTGTGGGAGCGGCTTCAGGTGGCGCTGGATGGCTCGCGTGGCGACTCCCTGGAAGTGGGCTTTGCAGAGATGGTGCACGGGATGCTGCTGACTATACGGGTTGCATAATTTGTTTACTGATAAGAACACGCAAGATGGCAGGCGGGGGGGATCCGTAGCTAGGGACAATGTGGCTATCCGCTTGTGGGGTAACTGGCGAGGTTGGCATTTCTCGGCAGGGGCAAGAAAGCTGGACGAGCAGTAGCAGGAGGGAGAGAAAGAGAGGACGTGTGGCAAGGATGCAGTGCAGTGCATGCGGTTACTTGATGCTGTGGGTCGGAAAGAGATGCAGCGTGTGCGCTAATCCCCAGTGTGGGCTAATCCTGGGAGCGGTACAGAAGAAGGTACAGGACACAATCGCGGTCATCGCGGTCCCGAAATGCTCCGCCCCTTTAATACTGACCCTTGTCCGGCCATCCACTGCATAAGTTCTGGTTGTCCGGGGCACGGAAGGCGCTGTACTCACACGAACATTTTCGCTTGTGAGCCGTTTGCCCTGGCCCACGAAACGGCCGGGCTTGACACTGGGCCCCGTCGGCTTCCTTTATTCCTAAAGCCTTTGGTGCGATGCCTTGGCAGGTATGTATGTGCGATGTACCATCGGCCCTGCAGGCTCGCGTGCAGCTGGCGTCTTCGGCTGGAACCCAGCGTTCCTTGCGTTTTAGCCTTTTCTTGCATCATGGTGTCCCTGCGGCCTTGCTCAGGAGAGGCTTGCACCTCGATTTGAAACTTCTCCATTTTGCCGTTGACACGTAGAACTTGGTCCGGAGCAAGGCATGCGGGCATTCTTAGCTAGGGCTTCGGTCTTCAGTCACCCCATGTGAGTTTGCCATGTTTTGGAGCAGCCACGTGCCGCGGCGTGCGTGCTCTCGCGCCCAAGGCAGCTTTTTGCTTTCTGCGATCAGCAATGCGTGAATGCAGCTGACCGAGTTCGAGAGGTGGTAGACAGGCGGTAGGAGGGGCTGGTTGCAAGTGGATCGCGTGGTTGGGACGCAGCGGGGGCGGACTGGGGTTGCTGGCCTGCGGAGCCTGTGGGGTAGAGGTAGTGGTCTGGCGTTTCCACTGGTGGCCGCGGAAATCTCTCGGGGGCTGAGGTGGAGAGGGTGGATACCTGGGAGGACACTATTATATTTTTGTAGCAGCTGGCAGAACGACATCGGCGAGATGGTGTCCACCCGGGTCATCACCGACTTGGGGTGCCAACATTTCCGGTTTTGTGCACCGCAGCGCCCCTAGCTGCAGCGCCTGACTGGAGCATTTGTAGGGTATGTTTGGACTGGGCTATGTGCGCGTTTCCTCCCTCACGCACACGCAGCGTCTTTTAATCGAATGCGGGCAGCAGCAGCAGCAGTAGCGGCGGCAGCAGCAGTTGCAGAGGTAACTTAGCCAGCAGTTGCAGAGGTTGTGCTGTGATGGGCATAAAATGAGAGGGCCTTTGTGGTTCGGAAGGGCGACTGTATATGACGCGGAAAAGTTTTAGTTTGGTGGTTGGCTCATTTTTTGGATTTTGACATCTGTTCGTACACTGCTGTGGTTGAGTAGGGTGGTAGTAGGAGAGGCTCTAGGGGCGCGTCGCTGTCCCTTCGGATGATGTCCCGAGTGTCGTTTTTAGGTAAATCAAAATCTGTTGCGTGACGATGCGCGTCTGGGGCTCTCGGTGCGCGCGTGTGCGTGTTTATTGCAGGAACCAAATGTGCTATGTTCCCGTGTCTAGCTTCAGAGTTTGCCCTTTCTGCCGCCAGAATTGTATTCCCCTGCGTCCCGTCGGGGTACTATGGTAGTGTAGCTAGTTCCCGCGTATAGTTTTGATAGAAGGTCTGGCGGAAAAGGCGTTAGAAAGTGCGTTTGGATGTGTGCTTTTGGCGTTTTCACTAGGCGTGTATCGCATGCCGTATCGATTCGCGTTCGATGTTGGGGTTCGCTAGCTGAAAGAATGCGCGCCTGTGAAACTGGTCCGCACGGTGCTGGGCTCCGGGGATGCCATGTATGTGATTTGCGTCTATATCCCGTGTACGGAAGCATACCTGTGTGGGACAGATTTCGGGGCAGTAGAGCCCCCATCGCACGGCCCGCCACCTTCACCCAGGCCAGGTCAGATCAGATCAGGTCGTCCAGATACACTCCTGCACGGCTTACCAGTTCGCCCGCGACAGTATTCCATTGTGTAATCGTGGAGATTTCCTCCTGCCTTACAATGTTAGGCGCGCCGCAGGAGGATATGCTAATTGCAATTTCCAGAAGCAACAGCAGTACTCCGACCCCAATTTCCAACGGAGGCTATAGGAAGATGCGCGCCGGGTTGTTTAGAATGGGTTCGGTGGGTGCTGGCAGGGACTTAAGAGCTGCCGCCTGCTGGCACCCTGCTGAAGCTGGTTAGGTGGGTCGGTTAGCCAAAGGCAGCTAGATGAGCAGGCAAGGGGGCTTGACCAGGCCCTGGTGGCTCGTGCTGCATGGGGCTCGTGGTGCATGGGCTGCTCGACTTATGGTGCATAGGCACAAGACGGTGTGGGGATGCTCGAGTGGGCCGGCCAATTCTCCTTTACGTCATCTTTGGCTAGCATTTTGCAGGACAGTGCAGGGGGTCTACCTATCCTCCATGGTGTGTAGGTGGGGAGTCAATAGCCTAGCAGGTGGCGGGAGCGCCAGCACGTCAATGAGAGACACTTTTGCATCAACTTAGGACAGCCAGCAAGTGTAGGCGCCATTTCGAGGGGGGGAAGCCCAGGAAGCGCGGCGAGCGGTGTGATACGTTTGGGGGTTGTTGGTCCAGGCGTGGGAGGTGAACCAGAGGTACACAAGTGTGGCCCTAGGAGTCACGGCGGCAGTGCGGTGCGCCATGGAGGTCATGCGTGAGGGAGAGAATTCACGTAGTATCTCTGCCCCGGCCCGCATTTATGATCATTTCCAATCAGACCGACTGCAAATTCATGGCGCCAAAGTTCACGCCCGAACGGTCTCGGTTGGTCGGGTGTGGGGAGCGAGCGGCCACAGGCAGGTTGATTGTTGGGGCGCACTGTGTCTGCTGAGCTAAAGGGAGCCGAGCTGAGGGGCTCCCGTGCCTCTGCCTTGTTTGTGCCTTTTGCAGCCGCCATACTTGGGCGCCTTTGCATGTAACGGAAGGCACTTATTACTGTACATCAGGGTTTTAGGGTTTAGGGTTTTAGGGTTTCGGCGCCCAGGCCTACAGAAAGTGCTGAACAGCAGACGGTGTTTATCTTGGGTGGAACCGAAGAACAGCAACTTTTCGGCCTCTGGGATTTGTCCTCGCAGCGGAAAAGCGGTGTTACAGGTCCGAGTCACAGAGGAGTGCTGTGCTGTCACCTCTGCCCAGGTGCAGCCTAGCAACAGGCAAGCCTGAAGAGCACCAACGCTGCGAAGCACCTAGCAGCACCTGCGTTTCAATTCCAATCAATCCGAACTGAATTCTGACGTCGGCCAGATTATACGCCTGTTACCATTCGCATCCGCATCTAGGTCCGTTAGATGTCCGGCTGATCATCAGCCGGCTGTGCTGCTGGGGCCTCCTGCTGTAGGACATCGTAAGTGGGCCCTCCGTCAGCTTTGGAATGAGCCCTTCCCTGCTCATTGCGGATGCGGATTTTGCTCCAACAGAGCAAGTTCGGAATTACGCGCAGGAGCGAAGTCCACTCGAAAGGAGATAAGTGTTGCGAGCACCGAGTTTAGGTGCTCAGCAGCAGCCGGGGGATAGCCCCATCCGGCGACGGCACAAGTCCCACATCCTCTGCGTTGGAACTTGGGGGTCTCTGCGAGTCTGTATCGCAGTGCGTTCATGCTGCCACCAGCAGATACCAGGGCAGCCAAAATCGCAGGCAGGGCAATGAACCAATGCCCAGGGGTGCCGTATGCAGTGGAGGGATGAAACATTGCAGCAGTGCACCCTGACGGTGTGATGATAGCCCGTGCGTCGCACTTTGGCTTGGTGGCTGTGAATGGCCGTATTGAAGGCGCTGATTTCGCAAGCCAAGAGCACAAGTGCACACGGTAGCCAGGAAAACGCAGTCGCTGAAGGGTTCGGATTGAAGGCGGACGAATGAATGACTGGAGTTGTGCAATGGATCCGAGCAAATCATTGTTGTTGTTCGCGCCTCAACACTGTACATGCCATGAAAGACCGTAAAGACCGAATCCCCCTTTGTGCTTAACAGAAATAAAAGATGCGATGACAACGGATTGTTTCAGAAAGTCAATCGCCGGTCTCGTGGCAACCCCACGCCGCTGGGGTCCTTCGTCCCATGCCCCAATAAGTGCGAATCTTTGCGGAGCGCGGAAGCGCGATTAAGAGATGCAAGGAAGATGGCGCGGGCCATGAGGCCATGGTAGCAGCAGCCCTGCGTAAATGGCAGTAGCGGCGGTAAGAATCCCCGGGGCTGGGTGGCCATGAGGTCTGCAAGGCGATGCTATTATTCCTTGCATCCCGCGCCTTAAAAGCATCTGAAGTCCGGTGTTTGTGTGTGAGCTGCAAGGTTGGTTCATTTTTTCCCGTTTGGCTGGAACCTGGCAGGAATGATATTGGTCACGTGTCCTAACAGCAACATGATTCTCGCTGATACAGTTGCGCAGTCGGAACGTGTTTTTAGCGGTAACGGCTCTTCACAGTCGATGTAACCGCGTTTTAACCTGTAACGTTTCGCCTGTACGATTAAAAAGCAGATTCCAATCCAAAAGAAATGCGTTTTCTTGAAGTACAAGCTGCGATTGTTTTATTGTATAGATTAAACGGCGTGGCACTGTGTGAGCCTGCATTACTTTCTGCGATGACCCCTTGGCTCTGCGGAGAGAGATTCAGCTTGCGGTCTTCTTCAACTTCAGGCAGCTGCGTGGGCAATCCATGTCATCGGCTCACATATCCGCTCGTGGACGTAGCTTGATGCAACACCGAACGGCAACTGACGGCTGTGCCGCCAATTGCTGCAGCCCTGCTCGAATCCGCTCTGCGAACGGCCAGCCAGCTGTCCGGAACACGGCGACCTGAACTATAAGCCCAAGGAAGCTGTTTTTAAAATATGCGCAGCTGCCGCTTTGCGCTCATGGGCAACTGCGGAGACCTTACAATAGTTGCCATTCAACCCCTTTTTTAGGTCCCTTCCAGGCCCATGGCCCAGTTTTAGGTTGCTCCGGATCAATGTCCCAAAGACCCGCCCCTTTCCGGCGCGCAGTAAGCCAGGTGCTGCGGCCAGAGCGCCCTCCCGCTCGGCACACGCCCTCCCCCTCCTCGCTCACAACCAAGCCCGCCCTGCAGGTCCCGGCCTTATCGCCATTATGAGGGTATAGCTCTGACCCTACCCTGCTTCTGCGCCAGCAACAAACATTAACCACTATAAGCATCTCAACCCACAAGCCACCCACCAGACCGCCACACCACAAACGAAGCAACCAACTCGCGCAACAGCGGTCACATCAAGCACCTTTTTGTGCCGTTGCTGTCGCTCTTGTCATATGCACACACATACACACACACCGATACACAATCTCCACGGATACACGCGCCAGCCGTGCACGTTAGGCAGCCGCTACCACCCGTCTTAACATCTAGCGCCGCCTGGGGGGCACGAGGGCCTTATGGTGCTGGTGTCTCCAGCTGCAGGTGCCGCATGGCTGCCAGCGCCCGCAGGGCCGGCACGTCCACAGCGCCCTCCGCCAGGGCCCCCTGCGCCAGCTCCCCAAACTCCTCCGATGCAGCCCCTGCCAGCAGCTGCACCGTCAGCAGGCTGGGCGGCGGCGCCACATGCAGGGCGCCCATCACGTTGACAAAGTACTCCACGTCAGTGGCCAGCTGGCAGCCGCCCTGAAGCCATAAAATACAATCCAAAACAATTCGGGCCGTTCCACGGGAAATGGAGTTCAGGAAAAGACTCGCAGGGAAAGAGGGTGTGGCATACGCAGGAATGCAAATCAGTATATGTATTGTTGCTATTGTCCCCTTTTGCACAAAAACAATCTCGGGAATAAAAAGTGACGGGGGAGCAGCGGTAGCCCTGGGGACGAACTAGCACGGCACTTACAGGGGGGTCGTGTGGGTGTCACGTATGGGTATCAATAAACGCACAGAGCAGCATGATGCATTCAGTCGGCCGCGGGGGGGGGGTGTCAGCCGCGCTAATGAGGCGAGAGTGGCAGGGCATGAGAGCATGCGACGTGGGGGCCACGAGGTGGGCCACTGACCTACTGACCTTCGACGGTCACAAACACGCGCGCGCCCTTCCGATTTCCGACGTCCCATACGGATTCTTAACACAATCCTGGGATGGCTCTCCAGAAGGGAAACAATGACCCGGTCCCGAGGGAAGATGCGGACACGTGCGGCATCGTGCAACGCTATTCCCCAACCGGGCTCACAACGCACCTGTTCCGTCAAAGTTGGAATCTTGAAGATGGTGTCCGCGTACATGCCCGCCGCGCCGCTGACGGCCTTGTCCAGCCATTCAGCAGCCAGCTCCTCCCACTCTGCAGTGGGATCGCCGCTGCCAGCGCCGCTGCCGTCCGCTGACACTGCGGCGGCGGTTCCGATAGTAACGCCACTCGCAGCCTCGTCAGCCGTATCGCCCATGAGCACCTGCAGGAGCGAGAGAGGGAACGCGGGACGCGGAGATTAGCTTAACGCGCTTGTGCGGGGATATTCGAAGGGCCACGTCTATCGAAGAAAGGGGGCCGTTCAGTTGTTTCCCGTTACGGAGCCTGAACCTCTCGAGTCCGGGTCGGGTTCCTGGTCATTATGCTTTAAAAAACACTCATTAAGGCCCTTCCAGCCCCTCTGCGTCCCGTCATCAGCCCCGTCGTCAGGCCCTGGCACCGCCGTACCTCCAGCTGCTGCGGCATGGCCATAAGATGGTCGCCGATGGCAGTCACGTACGGCAATGGGTACGTGTTGAAGGTCGGCAACGGTGCGGCGGCTGTGCCGGGGTCGGCGCCCGCTGCCTTACGCCACTCCGGCAGTGATGGCAGCGGCGCCAGCAGTGAAGCAACGCGCGCCAGCAACACATCGAACACGGTGGACTACAGCAGGGAGTTTAAGCGGGAAAACGAAGAGATGGCGGTGAAGCCGGCGGTGGTGATTATGGTGAGGTCATAGGCGGATGCACGAGGCAAGGGACAAGGTTAGGCGGGAGCGAGGCAGAGGCAAAAGGCGAGTTCTAGGCGTGTGCAGGAGGATTACAAGTGTGGATTTACATGCAGAGCTTCAGGTGGTGATGCTCACCTAGCTGGACGCTAGGCGCTGGGGAGGTATAAGCGAGTCGCGTGTGCAAGCAGGTGTGGTGGTTGCTGGGGCCGGAGCGGGCTGAAGCTCGTGGTGGCTGTTGAGGCTCAGGCATACGTCCAGTCCGAATCGAGTCACCAAGCTCAAAGACCCAATAAGCCGTAATGGAAAGCCCTGATCTCTCCCGAGCTGCTCTCTTCTTACGCAACTTTAATCCGAGCTTTCTCCCATGTTGGTGTGTGATACTGCATCATCGTTAGCCCAGAGCACCCTGACGGAAAAGTAGAAGAGCGAGCGCACACACGGGCGCTTTCGTCTGTCCTGACGACCCTGCCTACCTGCACAGTGGAAGAGAAGACGTCCATTTGGGACACTGCCGACGGCAGCAAGATGAACCGTGGGTCGCTGAGGCTCGCGCCCAGCTTGCTTAACTTGGCAAGCCGCTCGCCCTTGTTGGCAACGAGCCGTAGAGCCAAGGGGTCGGCCTCAGCATCTCCGGGCAGCATGTAAGGAACGCTGCCTACGGCCGCCGCGGCGTTGGAGAACGGCGTACCGCCTGCGGCCGACGCCGATGCTGACGGCGGCGGCGCGGCACCCGTCAGCGCCTGTAGGCGGCCCACGGCTGCACCGACAGCTGTTCGCAGCGCCGCCTCCAGACGGCCCACTGCCGCTGATAACTCACGACCGACCTTGATGAGCTGCAGCACGGTGGCAATGTCCTCAGCGTCCTCCACTGCCGCCGCCCCAGCAGCACCGCCACCCGACCCGGCCGCCGCCGCCGCTGTCTTGGCGGCTCGATCCTTCTGCCTTGCGCCCAGTCTTGCCACCGCGGACTGCATGGAGGTCAGGTAGGAGGTGAGCTCCGAATCCACGGCCTTGAGCAGGGCCCGGACCTCAGTTCCCCCCGTCAGGGCATTGCACCTGGGAGGAGGCAGAAGGGGGGACGGTTGCGGCGGGAGGGAGGGGGGAGGGGATACAAAGGAAAAGGAAAATCGTGTCACGACTCAGACATGGCCCAGCCGGAACCCGGCCCCACCCCCCTCTTCTTCATTGTGTTGGCGCTGTACGCCGGAACCAACCTCGCCTCACAAGTTGTATCCTTGACTTTCTTGCTGTCACCTATTTAACCGTCCTCCCTCCCTCCTTCCCTCCATTGTGTGGGGAATGGGAATGGACCCTTTACCAATACCATTTGGCCAATGCACTAATCAGCTGCATCTGGCTGCGAGACCAGGTTTGCAAGCAGTTGCAACTTTGCGTGTGCAACTGTCTGGGTGTGGTTTAAAGGGGCAGGTGCAGTTGATGAAGGTGGGATGGACGGGGGCGGCAGGAATGTGGAGGCAGACGGGGCGCGGGAGGAAACGGACGCGGGGCCGCCCCGAGATGCCAGGCACCGCCACCTTAAAGCAGTCAGGACTGATTTACCGCCCTATATACCCCCCCATTGGGCACCGTCCAGCCGCCCTGGCGCCCTTCGCAGTTGAAGGAACCCAGAGCCATACCCTACAACCGACGGTTGGGTTCGTTTGTGTCCTCCGTGCTCTCGTACCTCTCCACTGCGGCATGCAGTGCGGCAAACGCGGGCCTTATGGAAGCAGCCATTCGCGACACGACAGCCTCGGAGTCCTCCGGAGCAGCGGCGGCAACGTTGGGGGGCCCACGCGCGGCCAACGGCGGCGGCGATGGCGGCAGCGCTGACCGCAGATCGGCCCCCAGCTGTGCCGCCTCCAGCTCGCCGTACGCCGCCACCTTGTCCTCTAGCGGGCCGTACACCTGCAGGGATGTTTTAAGTATAATTAATTTCACGCTCGAAAGGCCAGGTTATCTGGCGGCTGATGCACCTGCCCGCCGCTCTTCCGTGGGCCCCTCTTACTTTTCACACTTCCTCTACATCTCGGAGGTCCAACCAGTCTCCAGCACCCAGCAAAAATCCCACTACGCCCACCCCACGTCCTAGGGCCCCATTAAACCCACTCCGCACCAGTTGTATGATTTCCATTCTCCTGCCCGCCTCCACATCCCGCAGCAGCTCATGCAACCCCCGACCAAAGGCGCTCAGTTCCCGCGCCAGCACCGCCAATGGCCCGATCGAACACACAGGAGCCAAACGGTCGCGAACAGCCTTGCTGATCTGCGGGTGGCGGGGTAAGCGAGATCGATAGGAAACGGAGGGACCTTTGACGAGCCATGGGAAGGAGGACCAGAGCGAATGTGTGCGGTGAAGTTAGGTGGGTAGCCCTGCTACAGGTCGCCAACAAACAGCCCCTCGACAGGACACCGAGAGTGTGGCGGCGGTGCCGGCGGCGGTAGCGGCACCTATCCAGAACACCGACACATCCCAGGCATACGGATGCCTTCAATGCCAACGACCGTGTCACCTTCCACATGCCCCCTAAGACGGCGACTTGCAAAAAGAAGACCGAGCAGAAGCATAACCCCAGTCACAACATAAGGTCCTCTGCAGCCCCTGGCCCCTTACACCTCAAAACACGACCCCGCACTCCACACTCCATCCTATCAGCCCGACGATCACCGCCATGTGAACACTGACCGCCAAACCGCCGCAACACGAGGAGCCAATACCGCCTCCCCCCTCTCCACACACACAAACAAGCGCTGCAAGCTCCCTGTTCTCACCTTGACAAATACCTCCATGCTCAGGGCACCCAGCAACGCGGGCGCCTGACCCGGGAGCACCCCCGCCCCCCAGGCAGCTTCCCCCTGTAGCAGCGCAAGCAGCCGCGACAGGAATGCCGGCAGCCATGACACCACGGCATCCGCGCCGCCACCAGCGGCCGAGTGCTCCTCCCAGAGGGCATGTACCTGCGCCAGCTTGGTGGAGACGTACAGGCTCTCAATGGTGCCGTACCTGTAAGGCAAGCACACACGTACTATTTTTCCACGGAAAACGTGCAGCGAGCAAACTGTGTCCATACCTGTGCATGCGCAGAGGATCAAACTCATGGCGACACAAACGGGATGATGCAACCGTTTGAAGACCTGGGTTGCGCCTCATGCCGTAATAAGCTCTTGGGGCCCCGGTGACGGGGTTGCTGTTGTTCTTTCAGCCCCCCCAAACCCAAATGCCCAAATTACAGTTTCATCCTCCTGCAGCCCACCAGGGCCGCTGCCGCCGCCGCCGCCGCAGCAATGCATCCCTCCCACCCAGGCCGGCCCTCCCCCCAGGCACCTGTCCACCGCCAGAAGCAATCCGCATAGCTTGCGTGTATTGTCGTCGTCGCTGCCACGCGCCAGGGCCTCCCCTAGGCTTCCCTCCACTTGCGTCTGCAGCCGGTCCTCCAGTGCACGCAGCTTCTGGCGACCTGGACAGGAAGGACGGAAGGACGGCGAGACGGGCGGTGAGTGGCATTAAAGCCAAGGCGGTGTGGAGCGTGAAGAAAATGGGGGGATGCGAATGGGGCATGAGGAAGGCTAGTGACGGAGGGCAGGGCAGGTGGTTGAGGACTGGGGTGAACGAGAGGAAGAGCCAGCATATGTGATATTGCGTGCCTGCGGCACATTCTGAACCCCTAAGGCTGTAGCCCTAAGGACATCAACTGGTGGATAAGCTCTTTCTCACAGCAAACACATGCTGTGCCACGTTATAAGAAAACACGTGGACGGGCGTAATCCGCGAGGGTTGTAAGGACCCCCATGGAGGTTGTTTTAAAAGGCAGTAGGTTGTTGTGAGCCTGTAATGGATGCAATATACCTGGCTGCGTAGTCGTTTAGTCGCTGGCTGAATGTCCCCCGTTTCTAAAGTCCGCACCCCATGCCACCACCTCTTCCAATGGTCAGAAGGTATTTCCCTATTTGCCCCTGTCTCTGTCCTTAGATTTGGAGGACATCTTCCTCCCAGCCACTTGGCCACGCCGGACCTGCGCGAAACTCGGGCACATCTCCGACCAGGCTAAGGCTACGCCGCATGGAGGCCAAAATCTCTGCCACCTTGGGCAGGTCGCCAGCCGCAAACACGTCCTCCACCTTGACGAACAACCCTGACAGTTCGGTGGCCTGCTTGAGTGAGTTGCAAGCGCTCTCCATGTTGGCTTTCACGCGGTGAAGCTCCGAGATGTGCGCCACGCTTGATTGGGCTTCCGTTGCGTCGCGCTGGACTGTTTGCGCCATCACCTGGACTTGATCCTGCATGCCCTGTATGTCACCTTGGAGTCTGTAGATCTCCTGAATGGCGAAGGGTATGCGTCGCATGGCCTGAGCGCTGTTGTCGCTGAGTGTCGCCTCTATATCTTCAGCGCTCAGCTGAAGCCTCATCTCCAGCTCTGCAAGAAATTTTTCCAGCGGCTCTTCCACGGGCCGTGACCCGCACGCCTGGTTAATCCAGGTGATCGGGTCGAATGTGTCCTCCGCAAAGTCAGCAACATCAGCCATATTTCTCAGCTATACTAAGCTAGCTTATGTGGTTCCCAGGTGTCACGATAACTGAGATCGGTGCCTTCGAAACCTGGCTACAAGAGTGAAGGTGCAAGCGATTGGAGCCATATGCAACCTACTCCCGATGTCATTTGTTTCCTATTTCGATCTTAAATTATGACCCCTCGTGTTTGGGGTGACCGGTTCTCCTGTGTTGCGCCTATGGCGGTTGGAAATTCGGTTATCCATGACAAAAATACATCCAGATTATCCTGACGCCATGTTAGTATTCCTGTGTACCTATTCAGTTCCTAAATGTGCACTTCAAGTCCTCATTGTCTGTAATTGATGTCTCGGCATATTCATTCTTGAGACATTTGGATACAGCGGTGCGTTATCACCACTATGACTTAATAATAGTTTGCTAGGATGAAGAAATCAAGTGTTGGTGACAGCGGGCTTTTTAAGGCACGTACCGTGTTTGCGGTTGAGCTCCATCCAAGCACAAGTGCGAACGTTCTGGATGGCGTGAAGGAGCAGCTAAACGCACTTCTATTAAGGTGCTAATCGGCTTGCGAAGCGATTGTGGTGGCAATTTCCGCCGCCAAACATACACGGTGCGACCGACACCTCCCGGTGCCTTGCGATTGGCGCAGATATGTCGATGAATTCAATTCTGTGCTGATTTCCTATTCAAACGTTGAGATACTTACCAAGAAGGTGCGAGGTCGGCGTCGCGATTCCGCATGCACCCGCCGCCCCAGCCGCCGAGCCGTATAGTCGTCTTGACCATTAAACCTTTCATTGCAGCCTGTCATCCATCCCTACTTCCCTTACTTCCATCTCGATGTCCGCGCGGATGTCCTGGTCTTCAAGCCCACCCCTGGCATGACTCTAGGTAAGCGCTCCAGCACTTCGGCGGGGAAAAGGCCGGGCCACGATCCGCTACCCTAACTGCTCCCCTTAGACCGTCAGGGCCGCTGGTTTGTTATCCCATCGCCCATGGCACAATAACCCAGGGGATGCAAACGTCGCGGAAGTTCCTCCACAACCCCCCTCCGCGCCTGCTCCTCTCCCCTAACGAGCGGGGCAGCGGCGGACGGCCACACGATCCCTGTCATTACCACATGCACACGCGTGTATTCACTGACCCGACCTCCCGTCCCCTCCGCAGTGGGTAGGGTCAACCACATTGGCGAGGATTACATCAGCGCCCTTGTCATGGGCGTGTTCAACGTGACCATTCCGGCGCGCAGCGTCATGCAGGGACTGCAGTTCATACGAGAGGTGCGAATGCGGATATCGCTCTGGTATTTGGAACCAGCACACCCCCCAGTTTACCAGCGAGCAGCAGCGACGTCGGGGGATGGGATGCGCCTGCGTCGCATCCCATTCCCCAATTGAACCTGAGAGAAAAGGTGCACAGAGCCGAGGTTATAGTCCGCGGCGCTGAGGGGATGCGCGGCAAGGCTGTCCCCTTTGAAAGGATGGCGGCTCTTGAGGACGACTGCTGCGGACCTCGCCGTCCGTCGCCGCATGCGCATTTGTCTCATTGAGATGCGCTACTCGGCACTGATGTTGAGCTAAATGAAAAGGGAACAACCACATACGCTAAAAGACGTTGAGAATAATATGAAATGGAATTTCTTACTGATGATTGCATCTGCTCTACCTCCTCAGGAGTCCAAGTGGGTTCATGAGAGTCAGCCACAACACCAAATAGCGGAGCACAGCTACATCGTATTCAGAGTAGAGGAGTAAGTGCGGTTCGGGACGGGACGGGCTGGTCTGGAGGAAGGGGGTGCGGCGAGTATCCATGAGGGAGTTCTGGAAGGAGTTCTGGAGGACCTCCGGGCGGCAACGCATGACAGTCCCTTACACAGCTGCACTGAGAGCTGCAGGAATCGGAGAGCTTTGCTTGAACGATGGCCCTAGACCGTGTTGTCGCGTGGCCTCGCCTTTTGCCGATCACAAAGGTCCCCGCTTGCCGTCCTTGCGCAGTGTGCGCGACCACGGTGGGTTTTTCCAGATCACAGGCTCGCTGCGTGACCCGGGCAACGGCGCCGCGGACTTCCTGTACCCAGGTGTGAAGCTGCCCGAGCCGCCCACGGCCGAATGGGAAGGTGAGTCGTGTCGTGTTAAGGAGGCGCTGTGGTGATGTTTTGCGAACGGAGCGCGCTGCGCATTTGCATCGGGGGTAGGGCTGCTCTACGGGGCTGCATTGCTGATGAGGCTGGATGGTGGCCACAGGTAGCGCAATCAGAATCCTTTTTCATTGGTTTTAAAGGCCTTAAGATTCCAGGAGCTTGAGTGTCCGGACTCACCAAGTCTTGAGGGGGGAAGGAAAAGATCCACGGAGAGGTTGGGCTGAGTCAAGCATGCACTTCCTCTCCATTTCCTTGCTCGGTCTGTGTCGGGTTTTCCTTGTCTTTTCCTAACCTCACCCGCCTCACTCACTTTTACCTGCACCGGGACATCCTTGATCCTTGTAGCGGACGCGGTAATTGAGGACGGGTTCACTGAGCCCGCGAAGACCGTAGGCGGCCCAGGTGCGGCTGCCAAGGCGAACATGGAAGAGGGAAAGAAGCATGGCTTTGCGCAGCAGAAGGGCAGTGCTGATAGGGCTAAGGCTAAGGACGGAAGCACGACGAATGGCGGTTCACATCGTAAAGACGACAAGAAGCGGAGGCGCAGCTCGGAGGTGCAAGAAGACCCTAAAGGGAAGCGACGGCGAACGGATGGAATGGACAAGGGCGGCGCCGGCACTGGCCCGAGCGAAAATGGCGATACGGCCATACCACAAGCTGCAAATGAGGAAGCTACAGCAGCGGCGAAGACCCCTGGCAACGATGTTGTTGCAAACGGTGGCGCTGCCGGCGGTGTGAACTCGGTGAAGAGCAACAAGGAAAAGAACAAAGGGAAGGACGGGGCCAGTGCCGACAAGGGGAAGAAGGACAAGGACGGGAGGCACGATGTGGCGGACGGTCAATCGCTGGGGAAGGAGAGGGACAAGGATAAGGGCGGGGATAGGAATGAAACCAAGGTGCGCAAGGACAAGCCAAAGAGCGTCAGCAAGGAGAAGGATGAAGGAAGGGACAAGGCGCCGGATCCGACGGTTGCCGTGGCCGGAGCAGCAGCAACCGTGGCGTCGGCAGCTGCTCCTGCCGCTGCAGGGAAGGCTCACATGCACGAGCTGGGGATTGCAGGGAAGGCCCTTGCCAATGGTGGCGTTAATGCAGTCTTGGATGAGAAAGTGAAGGCGGTGGTGAAGGAGAAGGAAAAGGACAAGAAGGACTCCAGCAAGAAGGGCAAGGACGCCAGCAAGGAGGGCAAGGAGTCAAGCAAGAAGGACAAGGACGCCAGCAAGGAGGGCAAGGAGTCAAGCAAGAAGGACAAGGACGCCAGCAAGGAGGGCAAGGAGTCAAGCAAGAAGGACAAGGACGCCACTAAGGAGGGCAAGGAGTCAAGCAAGAAGGGCAAGGACTCTAGCAAGAAGGACAAGGACTCCAGCAAGAAGGACAAGGACTCTAGCAAGAAGGACAAAAAGTCAAGCAAGAAGGACAAGGAAGGGGGCGGCAAGGCGGATGGCATCAAGGGCTTGCAGGAAAACGGGGGCGTGTAACAACGGTCAACTGAGCGTTTCCCTCAAAATGTACGTTTTTTGTGTTTGAGTGGTGAGCAGTCCCGCTGCTGGTTGCTTTCTGGATGATTTGGCTGTATTATTTTCCTTGGGGTGCGTAGCTGCTTGCGAAGGTGGCTTGCTGCAGGATGGGGTGGCGCAAGGTTTTCATGGGAGGCTGACCTGTTCAGTACTGTGCGGGGCCGCACCATTACTTTCTAGGGTGGCTTTTACGGACGTGCAGAGACGTTCCCTGTGTTTAAAGCGTTTATGATGCCGGACCGCGACCATGCCAAAGGGGGATATAACGTTTTCGGTGGCATGTTCGCTACTTGCCATTGCTTTCGTTGCTAGGCCGGACACTTGGGAGATGTCAGATGCGCAGGCACGATGGATTCGCAGGGACATGGATTCGCAGCGCGGAGCCGTGAACGTTTTGAAGTACGCTGAAGCGTGGGTATTATCATCCTCGCTCGCGTCGCAATGATAGGATCCGTGCAAATGACTGCGTTCCCGTGGCTGTAATGCCGAAGTAGTTCATGCAAAGAAAAATCGAGTTTCCTCCAATGGTGTGCTTGGAGGCTGCGGCCTTTCCATCCGTGTCCACACATTTTATGAAGGCTAGTGTGTTAGCGTTGGCTGCCGGTGAGGGCGTGGGCCACTTGGGTGGGGCTACGACCTGGAGTGTTTTGGGGTTACCAACGGCGCTAACGTGGTTTCTTCAAGGATCAAAAAGGACCTCCCTCCAGCAGCTGGCCGCCCTCCCAAAAGCCAGCCTCTTCTTAGTATTCTGGCCAGGCGGTTTCGTGTCGTGGCAATGTAAGCTGCAGGTCCTACACAATACGTTGCTCAGGCGCTGTGCTGGCAACGTACGGAAAGCATGCTTTATTGGGTAGCACCAGGTAATTAAGCAGGTCACGGCGTCATGAGATTTGTACGAGCCGTTTGCTTCCGGTCTCTGCAATCGGTACCTGACTGATGCAGGGCTACCGTGAGCTTCAATCTATGATGGGGCCAAATCGACCGGCTTGCGACCGGGCACAGTGGCAGAGCTGGGAGGTTGATTTGCGGTTTCGCGCATGTTTATGGTTGTATCCAAGTAGTCACCTGTACCAGACGGCAGCACTGTTGGTGTGTTATATGAATGGTGATGAGAGATCTGAATGGCTTAGAGCAACCCGTGGAATTCCAACCGTCAACTTTATCAACAAAAAAAGTTCTCCTGTAGCGGCATTCAGCACAATAGCTCGCAAACTGTCATTTAGAACTCGAGCAGCTCAAAACCGACGGAGCGTACTCTCACAGAGTGGGACGAAGGCAGCGCAGTAATCACTGCTGCGGCGGCCGCTTGGCGTGTGGATGGCCCAGAGATACAGTCTTTACTCGGCATCAGTGTGCGGCAGCAGACGTCCAGCGACCTGGACCCACGGGTCGGTGCTGTGGCGCCGTCATTGCGTAGTACCCGGTCAGGCAGGGCAGCAACAGAAGCAGCAGCAGCCTGGCCGTTGGAAGCGCAGCGGCCAGGCTGTACGGTGGCACTTGTATTCACACAACAGCAACCTCCTTGCCTGGCGCACCCCAACAAGAGGCTTTGATGTGGCAAGCATCCCCAGGCGAACGGAAAGGGAAAGAAGTGCAAAATCCGCTCCTTGGCACTTGACACCTGCAACTTCTGACACAGTGATCCGTAGCACAGCAACGCGGCAGGTGCAGTAATACTGTCGTTTAAATGCCCGGCCCTCGAGTAGAGGTGCTGCGCGTCCTCCAAGCCGCCATTCAAGCCCAGTTGCACCAGAATGATCAGCTGTGCCCCGCACATGGAATGGACAACGACTGCAGCGGCACCAACTTGGGAAATAGGTACACAAGGACTGCCTAGCCCAGAAAAATCAATTGAACTTCCTGATCTTTGTTGTCATCCTGTGCCTGCCCCAGAAGACGTCAGCATCCTTTGCATGACCAGGACCATCTGCTTGAGAGGGCCGTGGCAAGATTCGAGGCGCCATGCCTCCGACAATCCGCGCACGGCACCCATCCCAGCCGAGCTGCAACAGCTGCCAGCCCTAGGCGGCAGCTGCGGCACAGCGCATTCACCCGTTCATTACGCGGCCAGTCGCGGCATCATTTTCAATCGAGCAGTCAAGTACCACCGCAAGCCAGGTGGCGTAAAGGCACTCTTTTATCTTACCACCGCCCCCCTGCTAGCCATGAGAGCCCAAATCATGAGAGCCCAGACACTGCATCTGAGTGTGACCGGCCCCATTGAGTGACCTGCTTCGTCCACACCCCAGCTCAAACCACACCAGTGCGCACTTCCGTACCGCTGAACAATCCTACAAACCCTGCACCTACGCTCATAGCAGATGCCCAGCTTACATGAACCCTCGCGCAGGTTCACACTGCAGATATTTGACCAAGCTGTATTTAAACAGAATCACCCCGTTGCCCCTCACTGCCGTTGTGCTTTATACGCTTCCATCGCACTTTTGTTGCCTGCAACCGCGCCTGACACGAACCCCTGTAGTCGTGCCAACCTCGCCATTGCTTCAGCGTCCTCCTCCGCGGATAGTGCAGCACCAGTGGCCGGCAGGGATTGCGCATCACCAGCACCATTTACGGCAAGCGTCGGCGCCGCCACGTCCATCCCTTCGGCACAGGCGCTCGTGCTAGCAAGTGCGGGCGTTGTCGCAGCCGCCGCCGCAGGCCACGCTACCGCGCCCATATCTGGAACCGTATTATTAACGACAACATAGGGGTCAGCACCAGCAGTGGTGCTGGTGCTGACTTGATCCGCCGGCCCGCCGTGCGATCCCGGCGACATGGAAGACGCCACAGCGGCAGCCCCATTGGATGGTGCTGCCGCAGGCGCTGCTGCTACTGGCGTCACAGCCGTGGAAGCTAGCTGCGGCTGCGCGGCGGAAGAGCTGGACCCGATCACCTTGGCCCGCGCCTCCCGCATACCCTCCTGCACCAGTGCCAGCTGCCGCTGCTCTTCATCGTATTCTGCCTGCCGCAGCCTCAGCAGCTCCTCTTCTTTTTTTTGCCGCTCCTCTTCCTCCTGCGCATTGTAGGGTGCATTGCACAACGGCAAGATGGGGTTGATACCAGCGGCCCCGGGTGCAAGTACAGGCCTGTAAACGCTCTAGCACTTGTCTTGTGGACAGTTGCCGAACGTGCGCGAGAGTGGCGTGCCCCTAAGGTGTCGGCGAAATCACCGCTACCCCATGCAGCATTCGCTGAGCCGTCGCACTGGGCTGCCACAGGACCGGCCCGTCTCCAGATACACAGGACGACCGCCACGCCAACCTCCGGCATAGAAGAAGTGGATCTTACTCGCCGATGCAGACCCGCATGCGGCGCGTGTCCGACACTTACATCGATTTGTTTGGCGGCCATCCGGAAGGCCCTGTTCGCCCGGGTGATAGCGGGGAAAAGGGTCTCGTTGTTCTCCGCGACAATGGTAATGCCAAACAGGACCACGGCCCCGCCAATGAATATGCTCCAAATTTTTCCCTTGTCGACCGTCTGCTTTGGGAGCGGCCGTGCCATCTGCGTCACCATCTGCGGGGACACCATCTTGGCTCCGCAGAGATGGCAGAAAACGCAAACGGCGTATGTTAGGTAGCATGCAACCGGAACTTCATGCACAAGCGAGTCATCGCCAAGGCCGACATCCTCACCTGCATATCCGCCTCGGCTGGTGACGGCGAAAAGACAAGCAAGCCCGACGCAAGTGCGCCAGCAAGAGCAACCCGAAATGCCTTATTCAGCGGCGTTTGTGCTGTCTGCACGGCAAGTTAGCATTCGCTTTCTCAGCGACCCCAGGATCAACAGGATCGGATCAGGGCCGCAAAACCAATTTTTTTCACCTTATTCGCACGTTCGGATAACACAGCAGCACAGATCGGATGGTGGTGGATTCGCTGCTTGACGCGCAAACAGGCGACGGGTCTTGGCTTAGCGTTGCAAGCCGTGAAAGGGTTCAGCCTAGGGACGGATGTATGAAGTAAAGCCATTTTCCATGCACCCAAAGATGTGCCCTACGTCGCCCAACAAATATCGTCCTCGATAAAAAACAAGTTAGCCAGTAATATAGTGTAAAACCTATTTACAACTTCAGAATTGGCAATCCATTATAGTGTAGTAACAGCGGCCCGGGAGTTGCTGGGGCGATGGGCTTCATTTCTGCTCGGGCCCACATGGTTCGCTGCTTTCTCCCATCTTCAACGGCCAGTTCAGGTCCAGCTATAGATAACTCGCAAAATACCTTATTAGGTGCATATTACCCAAAAGTTGATAACAATTGGGGTTAGTAAACTGCATCCGCCTCCAAAACGAAAAAGTCCCGCCAAACACAACTTTTCCCCAAAAGCGCGATGCTCGCATGCCTGTACCCCATGTACCTTTAGGAGCCCTTAGGGTAGTTGAAAGTCCTACGGACAGCCTTCTCTCTTGGGGATCTCGGTAGCCATGTTTGGTTTTTCCGGTGAGCCTAATTGCAGCTCAGGCCATGGCTCTTGTAAATTATTGTAGATGAAGGCACAATTTTACGCATTTTCAGCGGCTCACCATGGAAGATGGCGGCGTTCGCAGGCACCACGGGCTTCGGCCAGCCAGCGCAGCAACCTGCGCCGGCGTTCGGCGCACAACCAGCTAGTCCATTTGGAGCTTCTTTTGGCCAGCCAGCACAGCCAGCGGCAACCCCGTTCGGAGCAACGACAGGCAACACACCGTTGTTTGGGGCGCAGGTACGCGCCATTGCGGCTGCTGCTGCAACCCTGCGAAACCCTCTTGTGAATTTAAGTCATGACAACCTTTTGCTGCAGAGCCCGACCCCAGCCTTTGGACAGGCAGCCCCCGCGGCAGCTCCTGCTTTTGGTGCGAGTACTGGCACGACTGGTTTTGGAACAGGCGCCTTCGGGGTACGCTTCCGCCGCGCAACGTGCATGCATCGCTCTTCTTCTCAACCCTGCCAAAGCCTGACGACCCGCTTGCTCTTCGGTGTTATGCAGGCTGCAGCCAAGCCCGCAGGCTTCGGGGGCTTTGGTACGACCACAACAGCGGCTCCGAATCCCTTTGGTGCTTCAGCACAGGTTAGAGTACGCTAGCCGGGGCACTGCTTCTGGCTACGTAGCAATATGATTGTGCATCGTCCTACCAATGGCTTGGCTGCATACTCTTCTACTGAAAGAGTCCGACCCCTAGGCATCGGGTTTGGGGGCCTCCTGGGGGGTAAAGTTTGTACAACCATTCGCTTACTAGAAGTTCTTCGTTCCTAGGACAAATCTTGCCGTTGATACATGTGTATAAGGATGCGCACCCTACGGATTTGCTCACGTATGCTCGCAGACACCGGGTGCATTTGGCGCCCCAGCCCAGTCCGCACCTGCCTTTGGCGCTGGCCTTGGCACGGCTCCATCATTTGGTGCCACCTTGACACCAGCCCCTGCCTTCGGTGCTCCGTCGGCCCCTGCCTTCGGCGCCCCGCAGTCTGCTCCTGCGTTTGGGGGCTTTGGTGCTGCCAGCGCGCCTGCCTTTGGTGCCACGGCGGCAGCTCCAGCTAACCCTTTCGGAGCTACGACCACCGGGTTCGGGGCAACAACCGCTCCAGCTTTTGGTGCCGCGCCTGCTGCAACAGGTTTCGGGGCACCCGCTGCCAATACCACTGCCCCATTTGGTAAGTCCTGGCTTGCCTTCCTGTGGTGCATTGCGGTTGGCTGCTTGAGCATTTGCCTGACATTCTTTATAGCGCTTTTCACTTGTGGCCGTCGTAGGGACCAGATTAAGCACGCGCCTCAGCTAATGTAGCTCCTCCCTTGTCGTCCCTGTGTTACAAAACGGAGGGCTGGCAGGACGGCCTGTTTGTACAGTACATGTTTCACTTCGTGTAAATAGTTATTGGTCCACGTCTCCTTGTTACGTGTTAACCGGCATCACCTAACATGTGTTTGGCGCCGCCCGTTCCGGTCTATATCCTGGCAGGGACAGTTACGACCAACGTGTTCGGAAACTCTGCAGCGCCGTCGCCGTTTGGAGGCACCACAGCTCAACCAGCCACGGGCTTTGGCGGCTTCGGATCCGCGCCCGCTAGCGCGCCGACGACAGGCACAAGGAATGTGCCGTATAACAAAACCAAGGACCCGGATGCTCCGGCGGGTCAACCTCCTACGTTTTTGATGTCCATGTCGGCTTTGTCGCCTAACTTCCAGGCGCCTAATGCGGCAAAATCGCATGAGGAGCTCCGTTGGGAGGATTACCAGGAGGGAGTCAAGAACCAGAGCGCTGGACCTGCACCCACAGCGGCAGGCGCCTTTGGCGCGCCTGCCGCGGCGCCAGGCGCCTTTGGCGGCTTCGGCGCACCCGCTCAACCGGCAACTACTGGCTTTGGCAACACCGCGCCTGCAAACCCGTTTGGTGCGCCAGCGTCGGCGCCGGCCTTTGGCAACACGGCAGCGCCGGCCTTTGGCGCCACCGCTTCCAGTCAGCCTTCCCTGTTCGGTGCGACGACAGCGCCTGCTGCCGCGAGCAATCCTTTTGGTGCGGCAACGACGGCCCCTGCCTTTGGCGGATTCGGCGGTGCTCCGGCGGCGGCTAGCCAACCTTCCCTGTTCGGGAACACGACGACAACCGGATTTGGAACCACAGGAACTTTTGGCGCACCCGCAACGCCATTCGGGGGTCAGTTCTTACAACTTCAGCTTTTTGAAATATTCAACTGCATTTCCGCCTGTTCAGGTCTATTTCAATTTAATTTCTTCAATTCAGTCCTTGTCCGGCATGATTCGAACAGTCATGCATCCTTACCCTCCTTGTCCTTGAACGATTGCAGCTGCATCATCGGCCGCCACCTTTAGTTTTAACAGCGCTCCGTCAACGTTCGGAGCTGCATCCGCTCCCCAAACGTCACTATTTGGAACCGCGCCCGCCTCTAGTCCTTTTGGCGGCACCACCACCACGCTTGGGGCGGTGGGCTCTCCGTTTGGCGCAGCGTCCTCGGCTTCTGCGTTTGGTGAGAATTCCATCCTGTCCAGGCCCGCGAACGTGCACTAAAGTTGCTATCCAAAAGGTTTCTCTTGCTTAAGAGGGAAATTTTCAAGTCCCCGGATCAATTGCTTCCACGGTGGGAGGATTCATCCGGATTTATCTTCGCTACTAGGCTTGGTGACTCCAGCAAAACGGCAGGGACCTCAGCCTGGAAGGCCGACAAGCATGCCGCGGGGTTGCATGGTGTGACTGTGTCTGTTTCCAGACCTGGATTGTCGTTTCGGAAAAGTGCCCCTGGGTTGCAGATATACACGCACCAGAAATGCAGGTCTGCTTGTGATAACATCTGAAAACTGCTTATCGGCCCCCCCACACGTGCAGGTACTAGCACTTTTGGAGCTTTCGGAGCGACAGCAGCCAAGCCAGCGGCCCCCTTCGCACCCGCCACCACCACGCCCTTTACCACAGCGCCAGCGGCGACGGGCACCTCGCTGTTTGGCAACACCCCCTTCACCTTTAACTCACAGCCGGCATCCTCATCCTCCCTATTCGGTAACACTGCGGCCGGAGGCACGATGTCCTTTACTTCTAACCTGTTTGGCACGCAGCCGGCAGCGCCGGCTGCTGGTGGCGGCCTATTTGGTGCAGCCGGTACGGCGCCCGCCGCACCGGCACAGCCGCCGACGGTAGCACAGCCGGCCTACGGTAATTTTGGCACATTACCGACGGTCCCGGAGGTAAAGGTGGGCATCACAACACGTGCGGCGCGAAGCAGCTCAGTCAGCGGTGGCGCGAGCAAGGCCAGTCCCTTGCTGTCCATCCGGCCGACTCCGCTCCGGTACGGTGCATCGGTGCGAACGCGGTCGGAGCAGCCTTCGGGGCTCGGCCTTGTCAACAGCTCCCTGTCACAGGCGGGGAACCTGTCTGCTGCCTCGGGCGGCATTTCAGTCGGGACATCAGATCTTCTGGCGCCGCAGATACCGAGCGGTGTTGGTAGCAGCGCCGCCGCCGCTGCTGTGGCGGCGGCAACCGCCGGTGGCACAGGCCTCCTGCCCCTGCGGCAGAACCCCCATCGCCTTTTCATCGCTGCACCTCCCCCCTCGACGGAAGCATCAGGCGGAGGCTGCTTCCTGACACCCGCGCGGCCGCCTTCGGCGCGGCGCACAGGAACACCAGATGGCATCGCTGGCGCTCGCGCTGATGATGCGGGACACGTGGACGCAACACCGGCCGAGACACCGGCGGGTCGCCATGCTGGCGGTGGAGTGAATGGGTACGCCAACGGCTACGTCGGCGCTGGTGGTGGAGTTGCCGCCGGGCTCAGCCCTGGCGCAGCAGCGACTGGCAGAGCCGGCGGCCCAGCGTTCCAAGACGCGCCGGTCTCGGAGCCGCACCTGCCGCGCCTCGGCCGTTTGGTTTCAGAGGGCTTCTCGTTCACTCCAAATGTAGATGAGTTGCGGCTGCTGCATAGCCAAAACCCGGAGAATTTGGCCGCCGTGTCCAATTTCACGGTGTTACGTACAGGCGTGGGACAGGTCCGCTGGGTGGTCCCTGTCGATGTTCGTGGGCTGGCACTGTACGACATTGTCTCCATCTCGTATGGTGAGGTACTTTGCTATCCGGAGGCAAGTACAAAGCCGCCGCAGGGCCAGGGCCTAAATAGGCCTGCGGAGATCACTCTGTACGGCGTGTACAGGAAGGATAAGGAGACGGGCGCGCCGATTAAGGAGGGTCCGCGTGGTCAGGCGTATGAGAAGGCCCTGCGGCAGATGTGCGGCCGTATGGGCGCAAAATTTTTGTCGTATAAGCTGGACGGCGGCGTGTGGAAGTTTGAGGTGGAGCATTTCAGCCGTTATGGCCTGATGGACATTGACGAGGACGACGAGGCACAGACGGGAACTCCTGCTGCACGGGGCGGGCCGTCGACCGTGGCGGCCGCGGCTCCGGAGGAGGGCGTCGGTGAGGCACCAGTGCCGCGCCGTCTGGGAATGGACGGCGAGGTGGATGCAGCCGCTGCTCCAGGGGCACAACCCGCGCTGGGAGGCCGAGGATTGGCAGGCGTCGGTCTGCGCGGCTTTGCATTTGGTGTTGGCGGTCCAGCGGCTAGCGCCGCTGGCCGCTCTTCAGCCCTGCCGGCCGGGGAGGATTCTGGCATGGAGCCGTCCGTCGGAGTGCGCTACACGCAGCGGCAGCAGGGCCTGGGCCTGCTCGAGGGGGGTGGCTCTGAGGCTACTGGCGCCGTCGGCCCAGGTGCGTGCGGGTGGCGGCTTTGGGCAAGGGAATAACGCATGACAGTGCAGGCGATTGCATGGTTCGGACGTCAGGGAGGTGTTAAGAGTGTCATCATGGACAAATGGCGAAAGAAAGCTTGGCCCGATGCGGTGTGCCAAGGTTGATTGCACAAATGACAGCATGGCACGGACGCTATGGTGCAGCGCCTGGCGAGGAATTCTGCCTATCCCCTTTCCTGTCCAACGGAAGCTGGGTTTTAAGAGGCACTGAATTCGTAGAGGCAACGGGCCAACTATAAGCTAAGAGAAACATTGTGCACGCTACAAAAAGAGTCCAAGTACACAACATAAATTCAAGTTGCGGCCGTTGGAACCATACACGAAATATGCTGTTTGAGGCTCGCAGGAAGACCTATCCCAGACGTTCTCGACTTGTTTCTCTGTACAACCTGTACGTACCGGTTTCGTCCTGCAGTGCCATGCTGCGCCAAGCCCTTGCTTGTTAGAATTCGTCCGGTGGTGTCTCCATAGTGCTGTTTGTTGCGTTGTGCACAGTCTTAATCTATAAGGACTTTAATTTCTGTTAACCATTTGGCCAAACACCCAGCTGGCGAAAAGTATGATAAGGTGTATTTTCAAAGGCAGGTGCTTTGCTTCTCCGACAGTTCAGTCATGTCCAGACGTACAGGTGTTTCTACAGGGAGTTAGGCAGCACCCGTAGCAGCTGCAGAATATTTCTAAACCTAGTTGCAGCTTGAGCCGGGGTGGTGTCAGACTTCCATGCGCCCACCGGCGAAGCTAGCATGATCAACGCCAGTCAACTTTTCCCGCGATATATGCATCTGTTACTCCTGAACCCTGTAAATGTAGCGTATATAGAACAGACGTACATTTTCGCGTCAAAAAACGCCTGCGCCTTCGCGAGATGCATGGCAGTATACGATCCATGTGTATGCGTTTACAAACTGAAGCAAGCAGAAACCTGCGTCCTGTCTCTGGCAGTCACATAAGCTGCGAACTATAAGGTGTGCCACGCTCTCTTTAATAACAAGTTCTGGTACTGCTAAAACTTCTGTATTGCGGGTTTCCAAGAAAACTAAATTTTTGTAACATAACCGCACTGCATCTTATGTGCTAGACATCTCATATCGAAACAGGAAGTACTCCAGCATGTGAAAATGTCCTTGCTGTTCTAGCGTTCCCAATTAATTTATCCTGAATTTCGTCGCTTGTCTTGCCCCGACCAAGGCCCGGCGGCCGGCCGCTCCCTTCCACCCACCACGAGTGTGTGCTCGCCACCCTGGCCACCCTCCTGGTGTGCAGGTGGCGTGGCGACCCGTGGGGCGGCTGTGGAGGCCGGCCGCCGGGCCGTGGGCCGGCAACTACGACAGTAGCTCGAGCAAAGCACCGCGGCCCGCGGCAGCAGCGTTAATCCCAGTTAAAAGCGCTTACGCGGAGACCAGGCGTTCAGTCATTGCTGAGTGGACTTAACGCGTTCATAGGTTCATACTTGCCAGCCTCTGTGTACCGGAACGCTGGTGATATATATCTTGCATAGTGTGCATCGCTGGATTTGAACCGCAGTGAGGCCGAGGATCCGTACGTTTCTAGGTTAAGTGCTGCATTGCTGCCTATTAGAGACTCATGCAGTGCGCTAGGCCTTTAAGATTGCCTTGTTCTCCAACTATGGCAAAGAGGGCACGGCTTGTAGGTTTGCAAGGACAAAGCTTACCCGCGGAATACTTACTCGTTGCGGCTTGTTTGCTAACCTCCAAGCGCGTTGCTTTTCTAGGCAGGACGGCGTTGTTGCAGTGAGTTACTGGGAGCCTTGAGTCTTCCTTCTTTGGATTGTGTTCGCCAATTTGTCGAGTTGTCTGTTGGTACTGTTCGTTGGCAAGAGGAGGAAAATGTACGAGCGGACAGGATATTATTGTTTTGTGCCGACCGCTTATTGTTCTGGCGGTCTATGTGCCTTTCTTAACCCCTGCACCGGGGTTCGGCGTTGGGCGCATCTAGTTAATCCTGGACATCATGCGACATTTCAACGAGGACCAACTGACCAGAACCACGCTTTAAGATACGCTGCATCCAGTGCCACGTCCTGCATCACGAGTACACAGCTCCATTGTGCGTGCTGGCATATTCGGCAATAGGTGCTACTCCTGGGCATTGGGAAGGGCTTCCAAGTAAATATCGTCTGTCTTGGTTGCAGGATGCGCATAGTGCGTGCACCGGGAAAACGGCGAGAAAAGCCGGTGGCAGGTAGCTCACACCACCTTACGGAAAGTTGGACAGTGCCTAGTTCGTTCCATTAAATGGAAGCATGAAGGAAGGCAGCTCACAAAACCGCAGCCTATAAAAGGGGCCGCTAGCATGACTGGTATTTATCCTGCAACCGTGTTGCAAATGCTTGCCTCGACATATCGGAAATTGGGTATGATAACCAAGGAACATAGCAGCTTTTTGCTGAGCGAAAGAGCACGTTTGACCTTGGAAGCAATTTTTAGCCGGACAGGTCGAACAGTCCTGCTTCCCCGAGCGTAAGGCGCCATGCTCACTTCTGGGCGACGCGCATCGTGCTTTGAGCCATGCGCTTGCACACGCAACTACAGTTTCCAGGATGAAAGTCTTTTGTTCTATGGCTCCGCAGGCGCCGAGCAGGACATGTCGGAAGCGTGCGCTCAGCTACGCTTTGGGGACGACATGGTGGCTGAGGGCGAGGTGTCCGGGGGTGTCATCGGCCCCGAAACCGCTGCTCTTGGCGGTCGCGGTGTTGCTGGCGGAGGTGGACGGGGGGGCTCAACGGTAACCGAAACTCACGGGTTCCCTGCTGCCGGGGGCGAAGGTACCGTCACCAGCCAACCTGCGGCGCCGCTGCAGCACGCGCTGCCTGGCGCTTTGGCACAGGACCCTGTGCGGGTCCATGCGCTGCATGAAGCGTTTTTCAGAAATGCCGGCGGTGGCGCCGCTGGGCCCCGGGGCGGCCTTGGGAGGCCCCAGCAACAACAGCAGCAGTTGTTGCCGCTTACGGCATCTGTGAGCAGCGGCTTGCAGCTAGGTGGTAGCGTTGGTGCTGCTGTCGCCAATGCAGGTGGCCGCGCTGCGGTAGCGGGCAGAGCAGCCGCCATGGTGGCCGCCGCAGCTGCCACGGCAGGGGTGACTGCAGTGACGGCATGGCGGCGGCCGTCGGCGGCTCTGGCGCCAGGAGCGCCTGGTAAGGTAGCTAGACGTTTGGTATTCTGATAGTGGTGGTGGAAAACCAGCTTTTAGTTTAACGTTTCATCCATCCTTACGAAATACGCGCGGCGTGTATCCCAGTACTTTTCACGTCTTGCCTTTGTGATCCCTTCATTGATATGGTGATTTCTCTCGATATCTGTGTTACATGCCTGCATCCTCTCCCACATCTGTAGCTGCCGTCATGGCTCGCGGAGAAGAACTCCTTTCAGCGGCTGACGGCGTCGCCGGTGGCGGAGGCTTCGGCGGGGCCATCGCGTCTTCGCCAATCAGTTTAGCTCTGGCGCGACCCGTGACAAGTCGGCCCATGGCGGCCATGACCGATTTCGCAGCAGCTGCGGTGCTACCCCTTCGGGTAGGCACTGGCATATGGGGCCAAATCTCCCACAGGTGCCGCACGCTTTTTCCAATGCAGGTGGCCCGCGCTATCCAACAGGCCTGTTAAGCAGCGCCTGAGCGTCTCTCCCTAAGAGGACGCCTAGTTAGTGAGCCTTCAGGGCCCACTTCACTTCAACTCACTTCGCGTTTCTGCAGCTTGCTGAGTGCCAACCCCAATTGACCCTTGGCTTCTTGCATATGATGAACCCCCGGCCCTCCACATGTTTGTCACAACTGTCCTGTGTGGTAGCCTTCTATGTTCATTGCATGCAGTAACCCACTGCTGAGGTGGTGCAGGGCTGTAGTTGCTTATGTGCTGGTGTTTGACCTAATTGTTGTAATGCGCCTGCAGGAAGTCCGTACCGCTGGCAACCTCACTGATGCGGGCCTGGCCATGGGCAGGAGCTTCCGAGTGGGCTGGGGCCCGGAGGGGAGGCTTGTCGTGCCAGGTACGTTGAGGCCTGGGGAGGTGGAGGGGAGGTGATGGCCTAAGCTCTCTTCGGCGCTGTGGTACACAACGAGTCACTTTAAATTTTATTACCATGCATGCTTGAGCCTGGGGATTTGCCTTCTGACAGCGTGCGGCCGCCGCCGCTATGCCTCGCATTCGTCGAAATTTGCTGTGCCGTTGCTGTTAGCATCGCGTCCCGCCTGGCCTGGTACATGCGAAATCCTGGGCCAAAGATGCCGTTAGAGGACCAAAACGATAATAGGCTGGGACAGCATGAACCGTCCCGTTTGGTACTCTGTACCTGCAGGAGCAGCTGATGCTGCGACAGCGACGGAGATTTGCGTTACGCGAGTGCGTGTGGAGGGTGAAGGTGCAGCGTACGGCGAGGCGTCGTATGGTTCCGGTGCCATCAGTGCTGGCTCAGAGGAGGCGGAGGCGCTGGAGGCGCTCCGAGACCGGCTGCGCGCTGGACTGGAAGTTCATCTGGCTGCGAGTCAGCCGCAAAAGGTGCGGTGCCGTCCGCACTTGCTTGTCATGTATTCTGCTGTCACGGAGGGCCCTGGGAAGAGGGGCTAGTAAGCTATCAATGGGCAGCTGAAGACGTGTTCTGGTGCATTGACAAGTGTGACTATGCGGGGATGAGGAGCAGGACAGTCAGAGCAGTGACGGTTACTTCCATTAGGTGGAAAAGCCAGGTCCAAGCAGCCCAAGCTTGGTTTACAACAGCTATGACCTCGGGAAGCGAATCTGGGAGTTGAACTTGTGGGCGCTGAGGGATTTTGTATGAGGCAGCTAGTTCAAACTGGGTGGCAGGATGACAAAGCAGGGGACTGGGCGCAATTGCCACTTGTACAGGATTTCTGCAGGTGTGCTCTATCAGGATCTTCGCCTTTTATATAGCGTTGCCTGGTGAGGCTCCCAGGGACCATGCATGCCTCGCACGTTGCAACCTCCTTAACTTCTCCTCGTGCAACGTTGACCAGGCTGCTGCCGATTGCGATAATCAGGACGCGGCCGCCAGTGGCGACTCAATCGTGCCGCACTGGCGTCTTGCTGTCGACTCGCGTGAGCTAACGGTGCTTGTCGAGCGGCACGTGCGTGTGTGTGAAAAGCAGCTGCAGCAGCTGACGGGCGGCAGTGGTGCTAGTGGCGGGGCTGACGGCGCTGGACGCAGCGGCTGCGGCGGGGCTGCCGTCGATGGTGACGTCGATCATCCAGACGCGCGGCGGCTGCGCCACGAGATCGAGACCTGGCGGCTTGTGGAAACGCTCTTTGCCAAAATTGACGGTGAAGTTCCTTCAGATGGCACCGCCGGTGACGAGGCCGAGCAGGGGTCGCCGCCAGGTGCGACGCAGGTGCCACTGCGGCTGACAACCGGCTCGCCGCTGGTTCCCGCCAGCCGTGGCGCCGGCGACATGATGGTCCTGTCGACACCACCGTCGAAGTCTCTGCCCTCTGCGTCGGCAAAAGATGCTGCGGTATTGCCGCCTGAGTACGAAATGAATGATGAAGGCGACGGCGAAGCAAGTGACGTTGAAGCTGGCGAAGCTGGCGGCGGCGGCGATGCTTCACGTCTGTCGTCTCAGCGTCCGATGCCTTCGCCGACACTGCTGGCGGCTCACCAGCGCCGTGCGCAGCTGAGTCTGTGGCTACAGCGTCAGGCGCGACGACGAGTCGAGGAGGACCTGCTAACTGCTAGCAGCTGTGCTGCGGTTGTGCTGCAGCTCTTGGCGGGGCACCAACTGGGGGCGGCGGTGGGAGCGGCGGTGGCGGGAGGTGACCCGCGGTTAGCCATGCTCATTGCACGCGTGAGTGGGTGGGCGTGTTGTTTAGTGTGGGATGAAAATGGTTGCACCTATGGCCTCTGCGGGTGGGGGGTATTATGTTTTGTTATGGGACTGAGTCTGCATGATGGCACGGTGATGCGGTGACAGGAAAAGGACTGGAGCTGCATTGCAGGTTCCGATTTCCCTGTTCCTGTTCTAATTGCCTAGGTGTCAGAAGCGGTATCTTCATTCGGCGAAGGAGGGGGTTGACTAACTTTGGACGGGAAAGAAGTAGATAGGGCCCGGGTTGGGGGGTTGCGGGTTGACCTTTTGTTTCCATAGATGAACCAATAGCCGCATGTACAAAGCCTGCAGGGATCATAAATTGCCGTTCCCCCTCTTTGTATTTACATGGCTTCTTCTGCAATACGGCCCTGGGGCCAGAACAACTCCGTTACTTTTGGAAGAGTTTTGGCCGCCCCCATTGATTTCGTTTCGCATACAGCTACTCTTGCCCGTGTTGTCCTATCCTGGTGCCTATCGTCATCGTGCGTCTCCCATTCCATGTGCTGGTCTCGGAGCAGGCCGGAAGCCGTGAGTCCGCTCGGTCCCAACTGGCCACCCAGCTGATGGTTTGGCAGCAGTCGGGCTTCCTGGAGCACATGGTTCCGGAGCGGCTGGCTGCGTATCAGCTGCTGTCAGGGGAGGTGGGTTTATGTGCTGGAGAATGGTGGCAGACTGGTGGCCGCGGTGTGAAGGTGGTTAGCAGGGAATGGAAGGGTGCGGCTGAGGTTGCTGCGCTTCACGGGCTGGCATATAAATAGCTGCTGGAACTGCTATAACCGCCGCGGGCTGAATCCTGTGCTAACTGCCTCCTGCAGGTGCTGGAGCCGCAGCGCCTGATGTCGCTGGACTGGAGGCGGCTGCTCGGGCTTTACCTCTGGTACGGCACCCCAAACACCAAGTCGCCAGTCACCGCCGTGAACCAGTACATGATGGACCGCCATGCCGAGCCCAGTATCGTGCCACACCCCGCACCGTACCATGTGGAAGGGCTGCAGCCATCAGCTACCGGCGCCGTCGCCGGCAGTAGCGCTGCCACGTCGGGATCAACCGACGTGCAATGGGAGCTGCTACAGCTGTGGGCAACGACACCGGCGGCGGCGACGGCGGACTGTCTGGCATCGGGACAGGAGGCGACGGCGACGGGTGTGGCGGCCGCGGCGGCGCGTGCGTTAGGGGCCTGGCTTGCCGGTGGCGGCTGTAGCAGGCTGTTGCGGTGCTCGGGATATAGTCCTAATCCGCTGGACCACAGCTTGGCCTGGTACTTGATGACGGCGCTGCAGGTGGGTTGGATGGGAGGCGGAAGTGGAGCGGCTGCACCCGGCGGTGGGAGCGCTGAGACGTGCCACTTCGGTCGGGGGAGGATAAATCGCGTTGGCGTTCCGTGCATCCAGGCAGCTACGTGTCTCCTGAGTGCCGGACCTTCCGTTTAGGTCATATTAAGCAGACCGAAAACTGTATTGTCCGTACAAGGTCGTTGAAGTTCTAACGATTAGGAAGTTTAAGGATGAACCTTGTGCTGGATCGCTGTCATTTGCTATAATAGCGCACTTAGACCTAACCCTCCTGGATTTGGGATTCCTAACCACTAACCGCTGGTTTGGAGTACAGACTGATATCCATGTTCCTTGCACAAAAGCTCACTTAATTGTAACCACCGCATTTCACGTAATGTCCGTGCTATTAGCTCGCTCACCGCACCGCGCCTCACCACATGTCTACCTACCCAGGCAGCCGGGGTTTTGCCCAGGCCGCGAACCCTCGGAGGCATTGACGACGGCCACGGCGCGTCTGCCGCAGCGTACGACAACGAGATGCTTACCACCACTCTGGAGTTCATTTCCCAGCTGCAGCTCGCGGGCGGTTTGTGCGAGTGGGCGGTGTTTGTGGCGCTGACCATCCCTGACCTGGAGGAGGGCGGTCCCGCCGTTCGGCAGCGGGTGGTGCAGGAGCTTCTGGCGCTGACAGTGCCCGAGTGGGCGGGTGACAGGTGCGTAAAATCGGGAGGCGGCCAAGCGCAGCTTGGCTGTGTGTGTGTGTGTGTGTGTGTGTGTGTGTGTGTGTGTGTGTGTGTGTGTGTGTGTGTGTGTGTGTGTGTGTGTGTGTGTGTGTGTGTGTGTGCATACCTCGGGGATGGTGGTGGTGGTGGTGATGGTGGCGATTGAGGTTATGCTTCTGGTGGCGCCAAGGCTGCAAGGCCCCCTTGGCCCGTTGCTGGTACTAGCCCTGGCCCTTCGGCCTGGGGCCTACGCGATGCCCTCCCCTTGCAAAATCGGCCATGGTTTTTTAAAGGGTACTGTAGCCCGTTATCGCAGCAGGAGCCGAGCTGCGCTTGCCTACCTCCCTAGCCTCTCACTACTTTGGCCCCCAACCCCTAAAGATGGATGCGGCATGCCCTCAGCGGCCCAGTCTTCAGTCCCTGCGGTCCGCGTTCGCTCCCTACTTAGGCCTGCACTCCCACAGGCTTTTCACTTGGATCCTCCCGCTCGGATCTTATTAAAGGATATCTGTATCACGTATCCGGTCTCATGCCCTTTCTCGCCTCCTGCCTGCGGGTCCCCTCTTACCCCTTCCGTGGCTGCGTCCCTCATTCAAACAGCTCCCGAGAGCTGTTCCTCGAGGGGACTCTCTCCGTTCCGGAACAGTTGCTGGCGAAAGCGCGCGCCACGTGGGCGCAGTACACGCGCGACGATGACGCGCGATGTGCAGCGCTGCTGGCGGCCGGTGATGCCGCCGCTGCACATGACGTCTTTGTCTCGTCTGTCGCGCCGGCGCTCTTCCTGTCCGGCGCTTGGGACGAGCTTGCGCGCCTTGTTGCGGACTTGGAGCCCGCTGCCACGGCCATCCCGTCGTGGTCGACTGGCGGCGGCCTGTATGGCGGCTATTTGGCGATCTTTGGCCGTCAACTAGTGGCGGCGACGGTGGCGGCGGCAGGGTCCGTTGGCAGCGGTGGCGGCGCCGCCCCAGCAATGCCTGAGGGTGTGACTCTGGAGGCGCTTATTGAGTTCGCAATGCACGTCCAGGAGGCCCAGATGGCATTGAACGCTGCTGGTAGCGGCGATATGGTTGCTGCTGGGGGTTGTGTTGGCGGCGCGGCGACACCGCAGGCTCTTGACGAGACAGCTGAGCGGTCAAGGCTGCGGCGGCGGCTAGTGCTGAGCCGCATTTCTGCGCGCTTGCACGGGGCCCTCATGTCGGTTTCGGCGACAGCTGTGGCGGTGCAGGCGGATGGCGGTACCAGCGGCCCCGCCGCTGATTTGGAGGCCCGTTGCGCGGGGCTGCAGTCCGCCCTGGCTCTGCAGGGCTGCCTGGTAGCGGAGTTGCAACTGGGCGGGGTAGCGGTGGCTGTGGCGGAAGCAGGCGCAAGGGTAGCCTGCTCGTCGTAGCGCTTATCTTCTTCCGGACATACTGTTCATATTGCCCATAAAGCGGCAATGCTGGGCAACAAACTACTGTGACGCACGCACATTGCGGATGTTGATGGTGGTGACGGCGGCGATGGTGTGTTGGGGATACTAGACACGCGGGGTTTGGGCAGGTGCACGCTAAGGGTTGGGGTTCTGCCTTCACTTGTCCGTTGATGAGTAGGGCCTCATCTAAAAACTATCGGATGTTTGGGAGTGCTTTTAGTGCTATACAAGCCGTGCATCCATTAAACGGAAGTCCTCAAAATGTCACGGTGGGGCCACCTTTTGCTTTTTGACGGCGGCGACGAGGATAGCAGTGATAGTGACGACAGGAAGGTATATAGCCAGCCTTCATATAGCCGGGTACAGCATGCAATGATGTGGGATGGGAATGAACTGATCGACGGACCGAGTTGTGATGGCTTGGAAGCCCATCCAGTTGTCAGAACGTTTGACGTCATCGGATCATGCATTACGGCATCAGTTTTTTTCCGCCAGACATCTGTGGTATTGTGCGTGTATCCGTCTGTCGTGGCATAGGAAAGGGCCGCCGCACAAGCCTGGGAGAGCTGCCGCCGTATGCTTTGCAGAGCCGCTGACCCGCAGATCGTTTTCCAACAAGATATCGGACATGCATGAACGGTCATTAGGAGGTCCCGCTGGGATACAAACATGTGACGGACTTAGGAAGACTTGTTAAAACAAGGTCACAATTTCGAGGTGTTTCACATTCCCAGTGTATTTGTGCCTCCCGGTCCATCAAGTTTCGTAGGGCTTGCGCCAAGCTGCAGCTGGATGACTGCTTTAGAACTGCTTTAGGCCGGATTATTTTCTCCTTCCTGGAAAATGCTCTCAATCCTCGCAAGGTGGCCTGCCTGCATGCTGCTTTTGCGGGGTTAGGGAAGGGAAGGAGAGTGCTGCATAATGCCTTCGCTCGTTTCTAACGGCGCTTGGGCAATTCTGGGTCATGCCTTATGCCTTAATAGCTGAGCAACGGAGTCGGTAACGGATACAACAGCATCCACAGATCAGGACCACATCAATACTGTATATACCTTCCTTTCACGTACGTAAATCTGCCGGGCCACGCTCTTTGTTCCACGAGCTTCAATGACAGGCCAATGTGACCTACTGGCAACGGCATGCGTGGTGCAACCTATACCGTCCACCACATGTACCTTCATGGCAAGGCAATGCCCGCCAGACAAGTAGTAATGGATTGTCAGCCCGAATAGAACGTGGTCCCGTCAAGCATGTAGCCAACTGGTTGGGGATAATGGCATGGAGGTTGTCACTTTTACACGCATCCGCGTGCCCATATTGCCAAGGATGCGCTGAGAGAATCGTCACGCAGAGAATCATCACGTCGCCGGCTTGATCACCTATTATCCTTCGTTTCCAGCGTGTAAACATCCTCCAACAGAAGCAAAAAAGAACTTCCCGACCTTCTGTCCGCGGTCGGCAGGGGCCAGCGAGCAGGTTACGTTTGACCTTGGCCCCAGGGCAGGAATGTGCACCATGGAGCAAGGGTACATAGCACCTACTGCTGAGAGGGACTTCAAGACAGATAGGTAGATGGCAAATGAGATATGAGGATTTCCTGCTCCGTGGGGCCGTGTCGGATTAATATTCTTCCGGGGATCGCGTGTATGCCATATATACATGCCGTTCTTGGGAGGTGAATATTTGCGATGAGATTGTTGCCTCGATGGAGCTTCGTTAGGAAAATGGTTACGAACATCAGCTTCGCGGCAGCAGCAAATGAGGGTCGATGCCCACTGTCAGTCTGGAGGCCGATCCAGTCTCGATGCAACAGTTTCAAACCGAAGAGGGGATATCCAGGCAGATAGCACACGTACTTGTCATGATGGCCGGTTGCAACGCGGGTGGAGTAAGGGGATATGGTCGCGACACAATGTCGCTGCTTACGTGAGCTGCTGCTTACGTGTGTATGCATTCGAGGTGTCATGGATTACGTACTTTTAAACCTGTAATGCCCCCTCATGTACATGGTACCGGGTCAGGTACAGATTAGCTAATGGTCTAGGCTGTGAGTCAACAGTCCGTCGTCGCACTAGCTTCCCACGCACCCAGCCTCGACCAAATCGCCCAATGGCTTGCGGGCTTCTATAAAGCCCCGAAGCTACTCATTTTTCATCATCGCCTATCGTTCAACTGCAACTGTCTCTCCAATATATATTCTGCCGTCCAGGCGTGAAACATACCCTAGAATTATTTGCAACCACCACTTGTCCGTTGCCGGACATAGAGTTCGCCTAGACTAGCTTGCCATCCAATCACAACCATACACCGCATTCGTTGAAGCAAACAAGTGCCATTTTCGCAGGCTCCTTTCGGCTTTCGCTGTTGGGGGGCTTGTAGTTGCATCGAAAAAAATGTTGCAGCAGCTACGCAAGCCACGGCGGCATGCGCCCGCAGACGACCGTCGCATGCGGTGTGCCAACGTATCCCTGCCCAAGGCGACGACCCTGCTGCTACTGGTGTCGCTGTTGTTCTTCGCGTGTGCATCTGCCACTTCTACCGGGCAGGCATCGGGTATCACCCATGGTGGCGGCTATGTCTCGAGGCGTGGAAGCAATAGCCGCAGCGGCCAACCAGTCCGCCAGGAACATCCTGGCCTGGACTTCGACCTAGGCACCACGTCTGCCGGCTTCCATCAGTCGTCGGTGAGTCTGTCTATTCGCGAATGAATCCTGCGACAGCTGCCGAGTCCAACGGATCATTAATGCGTGACCGCACCAAAGGGTGTGGGGGTGGGGTGAGGCCGGTCAATGCGAAACTGACTTCGACAAGAGACATTCCTTCGCATAGTACTACTACATACTACAGATAGGCCCCGGCATAGAAGGGGCCCATGCAAGGGGTTTTACACATGCCGAGCATACGTGTTTGGCGAAGATTCGCTTATTGAGAATGTCCCTTGGCTGTGGCTAGACATACTCGGGGCATGTGATGCTTGCAGGTACCGGAGACACAGGCCCTGCAAGGCGGAAATGGTGGGATTGGCAGGCGCCTGCGGCAACAGCTGCAGCAGCCGCTCGCCGCTACCTTTGAGATGGGTTCCTTCGCCGCGCCGATAATCACCATCGCCCTGATGCATGTACCAACTGCGGGGCCGCGTAGCCGCAAATACTTTGCGTTTTGGCGTCCCTATAACGCGAGCCACAGGCAGTCCGCGGCAACGTTCGACCTTGACAGCCGCAAGGTGTGCAAAGCAATTTGCCCACACCGGCCTTGCCTTAATCTTTATCCAAAGCGTCTCCCCAATTCTACTTCTTCACGACGCGAGGACATATCACTAATGACGAAAGGGCAGCAGAGGACAAATGCAAAAGTAACAGCTGATGAGAGATTCTGGATGAATGGTTCGTGCTCAAATATTAATCTAACTGTTTCGTTTCCACCACCAATCCATGGCGCTGGTATGACTAACACAGTGCTTGCGTACGTGCATATGCCCTAAAGGTGTCTCTGATGAACAACAGCTACGATCAATTCTGTAATGGCCCCATTGTTCAGCCGGACGGGAATCCTCTTGTTGTCGGTGGATACAATGATCCAGCCAACAAAATACAGTACGATGGGCGTAAATGGATCACGGTAAGAAATTTAACGGTTTATGTGTCGATCATAATTGTCGTCATCATTCGACCTCAACCCTGCTGGCCAATCTTGCCTGCAGCTGCTGTGTGATGAGCACGGGCAGGGAGGGTTCTAGATGTCTGTCTGCCGTTGATCACCCCGGGAGGGTAAATTAGGAAATAATTGTATACGCTGCCATTGCGCATTAGATCGTTGTTTAGACCTGCTGGCCGTTTATATCCTGCCTTCTTCGTCAGAAACGAACGCCACTTTCACATATCCGTACGTCGCCACCGCCCTGCAATAATGGTTAGTGCGTGCTCGCTGTCCCTCGCTATGCAAACGTCTCCTTTGTCTCGCAGGCTTACAGTGATCGGAAGCGCAAGCTGTTTCCCTTGGTCCAGATGGCTTACCCCAGGTGGATTCGTTTTTATGCATGTAGGCATGTATGTAGGCATGCATGCAGGCCTGTGCCAATCTTTGCTTCATAGGAGCTAGTTTTGATTGATCGATAGACGAGTGGATGAAGCTGGCTGGGCTGGCTCATCATCACCACTTCGTCTGTAATCAGCCCACCACACTTTTGGTCAGCAGCTTATTACCGCGCCGAAACCTGTATGGTAGTACAAGGTGTTCATGCTCCGTTCGTTCCGATGAGATCTTCCGGCTAGGTATGTCGCTTCGTCAGTTAGCTGTCCAGAGATGACGGCTCTGAAGATCCCTAGCTAGGCAGTCACATATGCAACCCCCATCATGCTTCTTTTACGTAAAAATCTGACATCCTCGCTCTCCCTGCAGCCAATCGAGATTCAATTGCTGCATATAGCCTCTTCTTTGTCGGCTGACGTTGTGTTGAGTTCGTATGTTTATACATTTACCTTCCCACCCCTGCCCGTGCTGCATGCCGGATTCATTGTGCAGGTGGTATCCGACACCCTGCCTTACCGCCGACAAAAAGGTAGGTACGTCTAGGGCTGTCGTACCTTTTCACGTACGTACGTAATATTCGGAAAGTGTCGTTTCCATACATCATGCGCCACGCAGCCGTTATTCACTTGCCCCGTTTGAGTAAACTGCTATACATAGGGAACGTAGCTGGCGGCAGAAAGGAAGGTTCTTTCGCTGCAAGTTGTCTCTACACGCATACATCCGTACACAGGGAAATAGTGTTCGCTGACGGGTTTAAAGACTACTGTATAGAATGCGTGTTTATGTGTACACATGTCCACAGCAGTCGTGGCCTTATTTAGCTGGTGCCATCAGATACAATGTATCTATCTGCTTCCTGCTAGCGGCGTCTCTGCCTTCTCGCTGCCTGCTGCTGTTTACTAGCTGGTAACGATGTATGACAGAAATGCACTTGCAACGATGTACTTACGAATGCAGTCTCGTCATCATTGGCGTTTGCTGCCTGCTGCTATGTCTTGCTGTCTGATCTGAGGCGGCTTGTACTGATAGGCTGCACGGTAGGGGCACAAAGATCTGCCTTGCCTTATTTGCGAGCTGTTTCCTACACGTCTGGGTACAGACCGGCCACCCACTTCTTCTATAAGCCTAGATCCGCTTCCTTGTGGATGTATGTGTATATGTGTGTATTAATGGTATGAGCCGCGATAAGGGAAATGCCGATGGATGGTGGTACACAAATACCTTCACCGAAGCGAGCCCCGTAATCCCAGTGATGTGGTAGGATTTTCCACTGAAACTGTAGACTTAGCTTGATAATTTTCAAGCAGGTGTTGATTGCAAGAGCAATGTCAGGATGTAAATATTTGTGTACGTATCGTGGCAAGCAGGTTCTCATCGTCGGCGGCACGGTTGAACCCGACAAGGGCCCTCAAATTCCGATTGCTGAGCTGTGGGACCCCACAAGGCCTACCCGCACCCCAACAGCAGTGGAGATGCCCCCGGCGTTTAAGGCCACCGCCGGATTAAACTGGTGCGTTCTTTTTTTTTGTGTGTGTGTGCGTACAGCTAATAGAAGTACGGGAGTCGATGCGCCGGGAACGAGCGTCATCCGTCTGCAAAAAGTTTTTTTTGTCTACATATAGTATAAAAGATAGGTCCGTCTTTTCCATTACAACAGGACTCGACTTATAGACGAACAAAAATTTAGAGATGTCATTACGCTTATACATACATCGATGGCCAGCTGCTGCCGCTAATCTTTTGGCGCTGCTTACTTCATCATCCTCCTCCTGTACGTACGTTGCACAGCACATATAATCATCGTGGCGAATATTAAGCACTGCAGCGTCCATCTGTCATAGCACGTGCCTGTGCTACCCACTTGCACGTTCGTCGGCATACATATTATTCGCGCGACCATTGCCCCCGGGAGATCCCGGGATCGATAGCCGTTCGGGTCTAAAAACTATCCGATGATGGAAGGTAATGCGCCCCTAATTGATGGACGGTGGTAACCTGGGATAAAGCTAACCTGCAAACCGACCAGGAAGGGAGTTGGGCCGCTGTCGACCCGGCAGATTCCGTTGGATGCTGGTGGTGGGTGCGGAACCTGAGCGATCCACTGAGAAGTTGACTAGGGTGACTGGATGAGGGTGCCCCGAAATACTGGCGAAGGCAGGTTTTCGCAGGGTAGCTGCCACGGGCGAAGATACACCCCCCTGCTTCACACATCATATTATTCGTTAGGATTTCATATAGCATCGGTCTGTCCCTCACTCCGCGCACCTCCCGCAGGTACCCGTTCATAGTGTTGCTGCCCCGGGGTGAGTGTGCGTACATGGAGTGTATGATGTTGTTGTTGTCGTCGTCAAAATTTTATCGTCTAAACCTCGCTAACAACCAGGCGGCATTATTTGCATGTGCGATTCAATGGCGGCACTGCGATGAGGCGCTAGATGGGAAGTAGGCACGGGGTGTATGCATAACTTGATATCCCGCTGGTTGCCCCTACGTACATGCCTGTGACGGTCCGTCCTGATCACTGCAAATGCATATCGTCCGCCGTATATGCATGCATGGCCCTACCAAGGATTGCTACATCTGCCTCAAATGCTTACCGCCCCTGGCCCGTCTATTCATTCGTTTCAGGTGAAGTAGCCTGGTGGGGCGACCGCGGCGGCAGCATCACCGACAAGGACTGGAAGGAGATTTACACGTTTCCAAGCCTGCCTAGTACCTTTCCGTAAGTTATTTAACGACCGCGCAAACGTAACAGCGATTGACGCGCTAAACGTGAGCTCGGACGGCCTGCAGTAGTGATACGCAAAAACTACCTCCCCTTCCTTTCCCTAAGCGTACCCTGTTTTCGAGCATCCTTACCTACTCTGGGTGATTTTACGAATTTAGTGTCGTTCTCGGGTTTTATGCCCAACAATAGCATTTAGTTGGTTTGCTGAGTCAACGGCGGCGAATACCGCTCTATCTCATAATTACTTGGACGGCATCGTTAATCGACAGGGGGCCTTGACCAATAACCACCACGATTAACCCCCTGTCGTGTGAAGAACCACAAATCATGCTGCAATAAGTTCGGAATGGCCTTTGAGTGTCTGCTGGACACTATTTACGTTTCACTGTAACAATTGCAGAGTATACATGTATGCATGTATGTCGGCATACATGCGCAGATACGGCCTCCGCTGCTAAAACATGCTCAATTGCGCTGTGCTTTCATTCTTCTACCATGAGTAATTTGTTATCAAATGTACGATGAGACGTCCTTGGTACACGCCGTTGTGATGCATGAAAATGCGAGCATTCCGCCGGCACTGGCGTACACTCTCGTATCTGCTTGCTTGCGCCGCCTACCGCCTACAGGTACCGCACGATGTACAAGTATACCTCATCCATTGTGCTTAATGCCATGAAGCCTGACACAACGACCGGCGAATACAACTCCTTCTCAATCACCATCTTTGGCGGCGCTGTAAGTCATCACGTGATCGCGCATGCACAGCAGCAGGGCGACGTAGGGGCCTACACACTTTCACGATTGCTTAAAGCCCGATTGCAACCTGCGAGCGATGAACAATAGATAGCGGTGAGGGGAATGTATTACGTAGCTGGATGGTGGGTTTTATTGAGTAGTTAGCCAAAATGCATGTGCAGACATTCCCAATTCTAACTAGTAATTGTGGCGGACGTATGGGATCCATATGAAAAGCAAGCTTTCCATAGTTATAGAACGGATACATGCACGCACGCACATACGGACGCACATACGCGCGCACACACATGCACACACATGCACACACATGCACGCACATGCACGCACATGCACGGACGAACGAACGAACGAATGTCGCCGCCAAGACTATTGTGGCTTGCTAGCCTGTGGCCTAGGTTTGACAACTGCACTACTAATTACCATGCAGTCCACGCTGACGTGATAGCCATACGCCAGATAGCACACAAGCTCTGCATCTGGCAGATGTCCACCAATTCGATTCCTGATGCATCCGTGCATGCTTTGTGCGGGTCACTAGTAAGCGCGCGTGTCTCCGCTCGACATTCTGCCTGCTGCCCGTTTACCGCTGACTTTCGTAGCCGGACAACGCCGTGGCCAACTCCCCTGCTTCCAACGTGTCCGCGAGGATAGACATGTATTACTGCGGCACAGGCATTTGCGACAACGGGTGCGTTTTGCATATGAAAATATACATTTTGCTAGGAGGTGGCGTTCCGTTGCACGCCAGCATTATAGATGTGTGAAACAGGGGGGTGTATCTTCGCCCGTGGCAGCTACCCTGCGAAACCCTGCCTTCCCCGGTATTTCGGGGCACCCTCATCCAGTCACCCTAGTCAACTTCTCAGTGGATCGCTCAGGTTCCGCACCCGCCACCAGCATCCAACGGAATCTGCCGGGTCGACAGCGGCCCAACTCCATTCCTGGTCGGCTTGCGGGTTAACTTTATCCTAGGTCACCACCGTTCATCAACTAGGGGCGCAATGCCTTCCACCATAGGAAGGTCTTTAGACTCTAATGGGTATCGATCCCGAGATCTCCCGGGGGCAATGGTCGCGCCAGTAGTGCCAAACCCTAACATTATGTACGCCTGCAGGTGATAAGTCAGCCTCAGGTAGCGTACAATTGCAGAGCAACTTAATCTGCTTCAACACGGTCTTCGCTTCGGGTTGTATGTATGTCGGCATGAAAGTGGCTGTTGGCCGCTTCCATTCCCGGCGAAACCCTGCCTTCCCCTTATATTCCGGGCACATGAATAATTTCAGCCTTGTTGATTTCTTGTCCGACTTCTCCCAGTCATTTGGGGGTCAACGCCCCCCATCAGCATCCAGCAAGTATATTTGTGCCGGACCCGCGGCTGCACTCCTCATCGGCATATATAGGGCCCCACCACGTTACGAGTAGCCCTCGCTCGCTCTTTTTGGGTGAGATCGTGATCCTGGGATTTCTCAGGATTCAGGGATATGTCGTAGTTGTTGTACAGTACGACAAACACGGACAATAACAGATGTCACGCCCTTCTAGTCCTGCAGCAGTATGCATGTGTACGTAGAATGTTGCTTGTCCTGTGGCGCTGTACATATGTATGAATGTTCGTATGTCCGTATGTCTTCAGGTGGGTGATTGAGAGCATGGTTGGACAGAGGCGCGTGATGTCAACCACCACAGGTCGGTGCGTGCGGGCCTGCTCCGGGTAGATGTGGTACGTGCGTGTGCGTGTACTCATAACGCGTGATAGATGCATGATGGACGGGTTGAGTACAGGTATAATTGTTATGCAACAAAGCGTAGGGTGGAGGGACCGGGCATTAGCTCATTCGGATCTGGAATTCCGTTGACATTGCTCCTTGCTCAACCGTTATCACTCCTCCTCCTCCTCCTCCTCCTCCTCCTACGTTACCTGCAGTGCTGCCCAACGGCAAAGTCCTTGTGCATGGAGGTGGCCAGGTAAGGTGGGCTTAGCGGGGGTAAGGGGTAGGCAGGTGAGGTCAAAGGGGGAGGGCGGCAAGCGAGCTAGGCAGACGGCGAGTCGCAGCAGGGCCGGTTTATTTAGGAACCAGGCCTAGGGCAAGCAAGCAGAGTGGAACGGCTGTACACACGTGCATGCGCACACGTGCAGACGTACGTGGCAGTGATGCTCCGGGGGAGCCAAAATCACATCAATATGCCTTGCGATCCTACGAACGTCAGAAGGGTTCCAAAAGCGGTCATTAATGCCTGTGTGGAGAGCGTAGTTCACCTGTGCAACGGGACCCAATAGCAAGTAACGTGGACTAGAGTACTCTACTGGCCAGACGGCCTGCTGGGGGCTATAGCTCTTGCAAGGTTACATTTACATACAACACAGATAGCAGGAAATCGTCTGAAAAAACGTTATTCAGATAGCAATCTTTAGGTAAGGAACAATAATAATCATACATACGCCATACGCGTGTATTAAACGATACGTACGGGAATATGACATAGGTAATGTAGGTAATGGGTATTTCTGGTCCCTTTTGGCCACATACACCACGTACCGGTCCCTCGACCCAGGCGACCCTAGTTACGCTCAGACCCTGCCTGGAGCTAGCTGCCCGGTAGTGCAGTTGCTGAGATTCGTTGTATGCATTCAGCCGCATGCTCCAAGCTATATTGTATGCATTCAGCCGCATGCTCCAAGCTATATGCATATGATGTGTGCGACCTGCTGTGTGCGAACATGCACGATTTCGCGCGTGGCGCTGGGTGCGCTTGGATTTACTCGTTCGAAACCCTGTATCACAGGCTGGCACTGCTGGATGGCGGAAGAAGGGCAGGTACCAGGGTACCTTGCCCGCCTACCAAGACCTGGTGTACGACCCGGATGCACCCGAGGGCAGCCGATACACGTTGAGCGATTCTATCGGTGTGTAAGAGCAGTTTTCATTTGGGTTTTTGTGGCCGTTCGGTCGATATAGGTGCCTGCTGATTGGAAACGACAGGAATCTAGGTGAGCAAATATCTCTTTGTGCAACAGCCAGGAATCTTGGGCGGCCGGCGTGTAGGTGCATGATTTACATTTACAGAGTGATTGTTTCAGGCATGCATGGGTGCGGACCTCCGCCAGCAATGCGGCTGGCGGCGGCATGGCTCAGTGCGGTTGCAAGGCTCGAGAGAGCGAGGTGGCACCTTGCTCGTAGTTAGCCTAGTTAAAAGCACGCGCAGCCACCAGTGTTTAGTTCGTGAGCTGACAAGGTACTACGTAACGGCCCAACAAACGCCTATGTTGCACCGATATTACTAATAATATCTACAATTTTTGCATTCGCCACTGGATTTGCCCTGTTGCCTGCAATACTGCATTAATTGACGTCTTGTTACCGTACGTAGGTACATGTATGGATGAATCCGCCATACTTACCGCCCACCTTCTGCCTATTTCCGTACTGAACTACTCAGGTATCATCCACATGTATCATGCCTCGTCCTGTCTGGACCTGTCGGGCAAGGTGATGTCGTCCGGATGCGAGACGTGTGGAATGACGGGCGCAGATGCGGGCAACCTGGTGAGGATGGAATCGATGGGCGGCGGGGTCCCATGCGACGCGGGGTATGCAATAAACACGAGGGTAAATAATAATAGCTCGCACCCGGCTGAAGATTGTGCACCGTGTGGAATCCGGATATTTCGCTATCTAGCCAGATCGAGTTTCCTTAGCGCTGGTTGGGAATTTTGATTTATTTTTCCCCAACAGGTAGCAGTGGCAGCTGTAGTAACAGCATGGTGCCTACTTAGGCCGGGAAAACCGGTTATTAGGTTTCCCACATACATGCAAGCAGCAGGCAAGTACGTGGCTCCTGAAATGCGAATGAATACCATACAAAAGAACGTGGTAATGCGGCACGCAGCGAGATAGTTCCGGATAGTTGGACGTTTACAAATCCAACTCAGCTGGGTCGGTAGCCAGCAGCAGTAGTCACTTTTTTCATCTGCGCATATGATTGTATCTCCTTTCTTTGTCGCGCTGTCTTCCCCGCCGCCATCAATGCATTGGTCCCTTTCGCCCTCGACCTCCACCGTTGTTACCGCCGTGCTCATCGTCACTCATCTCGTAAACGTGGTACAGCCCAGCAGTATCATCCGCAGCCCTGATCGCGATCCCGACTTGGATTATCGGATCAGCTTCATGGTCCCGACTGAGATTGCCCCGCCGGTCGTGCGCCCGGTCATCACCGCCGCACCTACCACCGTCCTACGTGGCAGGTGCGTCGATATGATATGGCTCGTCGCCTCGGGGTTACATGAAGATAAATTGCTGGCGATCAAATAAAAAATGGCGGCAAAAATTAAATTCGTAATGATAGGTTGCGCCCTTCTTGCTTTTGCTTGCGTATAGGCTAGGTAGGTAACTGGTGCGCAGGCGAATCAGCAGCGATATGTGTGGGTGTGGATGCGCACCTGGTAGCTAGCTTCCGGTGATGGATGTGCATGACATTCCAGCATGCCGGCATGTTGTCCGCCCTGCGCAGTGTCTTCAATGTGACCTATGCAAACGGCCCTATCACTGGCGCCACTCTGGCAGCTCCCTGCGCCAACACCCACTCCATCAACATGAACCAGCGTGTGGTGTTCCTGGTGAGTAGCTAAGGGCTGGCTTGAGAGGTGGCTGGCTGGCTGGCTGGCTGGCTGGCGGCAGGGTTGCTGGTATGTTTGGTAGGGATCTAATTTACCGGGAGGCCAACAGAAGGTTGTCCATGTGGGGCGTCCAGTTTAGGGTTGTCATATGAGAGAGTATGAGAAAGAAAAGAGGAAGCCTGCTGGCCAGAATGGACCCTCCGTCGAGGGTGGTTAGTATTGGTCGCCATTGCCTTGCTTGTGTTGTTTTCATATGTGTCCATATCGACTGTCTGTCAGGTACAACTGTACCGAGTGACACTTGTCAGCGCCGCCGATGGCAGCGCAATTGGGCGCCAAAGCTAAGCATGGGTTTGCTTATTAGCTGGCTCTGCCTTTGCTACTACATACAGTAACAACTAGCTGCCGACGCGGATCGCAGCTATTGCCTACATACATCACCAACACAAGTGGCATTTCGTCGTTTTATTTTAAAGAGCGGTGCATCGTGAGAAATGTGGGCAAAACCACTTGTGGCAGCATGTCGCTCAGCAGGCCGGCCCCGGGCGGCGATTGACGAGGGCCTTAAACATCGGCTGGCTTGCAGCACCCGGGCGAGTGGGCGATTAAGAGAATTCCCGCCTGGCCTTGCTGGCAGCCAAGCAATAAATGCGTGGGAAGATATCAATTATTGCCGGGATGTGCGACCGCATGGTGTACAGGCCAATGCGCCCAGTACCCTGAGGAAATCTATTTTTAATATGTCTTGCCGTCCGTCCACTCCTTAATTAACATGATCACACGCACACCCGCCATTCGGTACAGAATATGGTGTCAGATGCTGGCGGCGTGGCGTTTTTCTGCGCCCCTCCGCTATCCCAGCCTTCTGCCGCCCACGCCGGCTACTACCAGCTGTTCCTGTTGGGAGCCAACACCGCCACCGGCAGGACGTACAGCGAGGGGGTGTGGATCTACCTGGCGGACGAATGATAATTAATATTGGAGCCGATCAGCACACACACAGTTTACACTTAAGCGCCTGCTCGAGTAATGGAACGTATCTACCCGTCTACTAGGAAAGAGGGCGGATGCTCATACACATTGCACCTTGGCAGCACCATTGCAGTCGTCAACGCTGACTGAAGACTCTGGCGACTTCTGGATTGATAGCAATCCGGCATGTATGCATGCCGCGCGTGCACACGGTGGTGCGGACATGCAGGGTGCCAAATGCCCCTAAGTTCCCCAATCATATAACCCCCTAACACACGCCAGGATGCGGCGGGCGCACTCTCAGTATTTTCATTATGGATGCCGACGTGCATGCGTCCCGGGCTTTGCAGAGCGTGTCTGTATAGTTTTTGGTTGTCTATAGACGATCGCGCCATGGTATAATAGGTAGAGACCGTCCATTCTATTATACCAGGGTGCAATCTTTAGACGACCAAAAAGGTGCTGAAGATCATTCGGCCAGTTTGCTATGCTATGTATGTGATGCAAGAGGATTTGAATATGACGGATCAGTTTCGGTAGGTAGCTTTATAACTTGTAACCCAGCAGCAGCAGCAGCAGCAGCATGGTACAGAGGTCAGCCGGCGCCGCTGCTGCTGCTGCTGCTGCTGCTGCTGAGGAGGAGGAGGAGGAGGAGGAGGACGAAGGAGATGGTATCTGCTGCTGCCTGCCTGCCTGCCCGTACGTAATGATGGCGGGTGTAAGCGGAAGTAGGGGGCGGTACTAGCTAACATCTTGTCGTGTTAGACGCATCTATAGGGCATCTATGCATATGCATAGCAGTAGTACGTTTCTTTCATATTGCATACAGCGGGTGAACTGCAAGCAAGTTCAGCTGCGTTACTTTGGCTAGCATACACTTTGAGAGGCGTTATCTAACATAATAGGATGGGCGGGACGACACGCGGCTGCCTAGGAGAGCGAGGCACACGCAACAAGAGGCTGCCGCGCGCAGTTTGAGGTGTAACGCGCAGCAGGCCGAGTTTTGTTGTTGACTTATGGAGATGAAGTGAAGAGGCTAGTGCTTGGAGGTAGAGGTCCGCTAACTAAGCATGGTTTATCACCTGGTTTGTCCGCCCCAACCGTGTTGTCATGATCCATTCAGCAATGCGATTCAGGAATGTTATTCTTAATTGAGGTGTAGATGGGTATATACTGGGACAATGCATGCTGCTAAGGAAGGACAGTGCATGCTATGTTAAGGAAGCTGCGGGCAGGTAGATGATGATACTCCGTGGATTCTCAGTTAATGAAAGGCCCTAGGGCCCTACGACAGGCCTGTAGTAGCTGGCCACCGAAAAGGCCTTTCGGGATGCAGCGCTGCAGCCCAGCTGGGTACACACTCTAGCGCGTATATGTATTTGGGTGTGTGCCGTACTGTACGGCAGCGATTACAGGTAAGCGGGCAGGCATGTATGACCCATGCATGGGTCAGAAGCCACCTTTCTACCGCAACTCTGGTAGTGCATCGGTCTGGATGTTAAGTTGGCATGATTTATATTAGGCGGTTCAGGCAGGGAGGCATGATTTATATTAGGCGGTTCAGGCAGGGAGCAAACTGTAGTTATTTATACATCCGTGATGGCTGTCTTGGGGTTTTGGGGTTTGTACATGCTTTTCTTTCACACAACTTAGCGCAGCAATGGTACCGTCCATTAATGAGTCTAGACTCAATGACAGATCCGTTACCCAAACCCTGGTGTCGAGATTAGGTTGATGATGGGGTGGAGAGCTCCACATCAGACTTAAAAGGTTTATCCGTTAAAATTGGCGATTGATATGCAACTTTCACCTTTTTTTGTAGCTCGTCGAGTAGGGCAGAAATTAAATTTCCTCCCCGCCAGAAAAAAGGTCCTCTTCGCAAGGATAACCCTGTTCCAAAACGGTAAATAAATGAAGCCCAGTGGAAGTTGAGGAGGCAATCATCTAGCTCCCTAAACAACACACGGTTGTCCTGTATCCTCCCTAAACCAGAGAGGTGCTTCAGAAACATGCGTTGTAGCTCGGCCATGCGATTCTCTAGAGACCTTTCGGAGTGGCAGGACCGGCCATGCGTGTCGGGTGATCGTTCAACGACCTGGAGAATAAAGTGCGGTTCCCACATCTGGACTCCGTACGACAGAATGGATTTAATTTGCACTCCAAAACACTTGAGCACTATCTTAGGCAGAAGCAGTTCCTTCCTACGCAACTTGGCTATCAGGGCATGTGCGGCTCACTGCCCCGCACGAAGTAACTCATCAGCGCAGGATTAGAACGAGGCATCCGCCCATAATGCCTCTTGTGGGAGCCCGCGGCCCACCAGGCATACATCGAAGGTGGCGAGTTTGAGTACAGGGTCCTGCGTGTACCTGGCAGTGTTCCCCACACGGGCAAGCATGGCCGCATCTGAAACACTGCCCATAAGGTGAAGGAAATGTCGGTGGCTACAGCTACTGCAGCCACTGGCAGGCAGCCGATGGCGATAACTCAGCAGCCGCTCGAGCAGGTAGTGCACCTTCTGGTGGCGGACAAACCGGATAACATTGACGTTTACTTTAGGGAGGCGTGGAATCACACAAGGTGCCCGCGTAGCTGCAACCGTCGCATGCCTGCCACCCGTGCAACGATGCCTATGTCCTGCCAGACAGGCTGCTGCAGATGATAGTCGGCTGTACATGCATGCAAGGCTGTCGACGAGGAAGTCCTAGAGCGCCACCTGCAGTGTCTGGAACCCCGGGACGTGTACCCTTACGTTGTGCCTGCAAGCATCTTCCAGACCTTCAGGTGGCTGATCTGAAGCGGACTCCGGGATCACGCGCGGCTATGACAATTCAGCGAGTAATGAAAATCAACTGCATGCACACCAGCGCTCCGTTGCTCAGGAAGTATTGACGCGCGGGGTACGGCTTCATCCAGCTGCATCATGCTGTCTACGCCGATGCTGTGGATATTGTTCTGTAACGGCAGCATGAGTGGTTGGTATGATGTTTTGACATTAGCTGCAGTATGGTATCGGTATGTGAAGCACTGTGGCTATTGTATGATGTGTGAAACAGGGGGGTGTATCTTCGCCCGTGGCAGTTACCCTGTGAAACCCTGCCTTCCCCGATATCTCGGGGCACCCTCATCCAGTCACCCTAGTCAACTTCTCAGTGGATCGCTCAGGTTCCGCACCCACCACCAGCATCCAACGGAATCTGCCGGGTCAACAGCGGCCCAACTCCGTTCCTGCTTGGCTCGCAGGTTAACTTTATCTCAGGTTACCACTGTCCATTACCTAGGGACGCTATGCCTTCCACCATCGGAAGGAGTTTGACCCTAATGGGTATCGATCCCGGGATCTCCCGGGGGCAATAGTCGCGCCTTACCAGTAGTGCCAAACCGTATTGTATGTATGCAGACGGCAGGGGCGATGGGTAGACGGTAGGGGAAGGCCAGTTGCTGCAGACGTTGTGGTGTTAATAGTATCAGTGTTTGTTGTGTTTTCACCTTTTCGTCCATACCCTGTACCCCGCCCATACCCTGTTTATTAAAAAGGCAACATGCTCTTCTGAGGTACTGGGTACGCTCCTGTACCGTACTGATATGATTCTTTGGTGACACGCAATTGGTATGGCGTCCCCAAATGCATAGCAGTGGAAAAAGGTCTTAGGCAAAATTTTATGGGCATCACCAAACTGGCTGTCACAAATGTGTCGTACACCGTGTTAACGGTATCGACCAACAGTAAAAGCCCTCCAGAAGACGCTGTTGGCTTGTAGTTATCTTCATCTTTTACCCCTAAGTTGATCGGACAAGAACTTTAGCTTACAGGCCCACCCTCAGAAAGCGTGCTCAGAATGGCGCCTAAACAGCTTAAGCTTACTAGCCTTTTACCCAAGCTCGACACCAATGCTCCCATTGAGCTCAGGGCAGGCATTACCAGCGTTCGAGTGGTGCCGGAGGTTGAGGCTGCAAGGACTGAGCATGAGAAGGCACATGCCGATGAGGGGATTGCAAAGCTTGCTGAAGCGGACGCTGAGGCCGGCAAGGCCATCATTGAGCAGGCCATGGCTCCTGGACACCAGCCAGTTGGCAGGCCCAGCAATGCCAAGCCTTCCCTCGCGTCGCTGCTGCGCTGTTTGACCGGCAAACCGCTTCCCGTCCCTGAGCCTGCACCGACTCCGAAGAACAAGAACAAGTGGGCTAAGGTGGCGCCTGTGCGTGGCAACTACGAAAAGCGCAGCGATGAGATCAAGTGGATTGTCTGCCAGGAAATCGACAAGTGCGGTGGCAACGTCAGTCAGGGGCCCGGAATTTACTGGTGCACACCGTGAACTCCCATGCAGTGCATGCCTGATGTTGTCACGCTTCCCTTCACACCTGCAGATCCAGACCGCCATCGACCAGCTGGCAGCCGAGATGGAGGTGACCTTCAAGAAGCCAGTCGTGCACACCACCGCGTCCAACTGGTACAAGAGGTGGCTGGCAACTGACCACAATGCAGAGCAGGCCACCATGACCGTAATCTGCCACTTGTCCTCAAGCCCCAGCGCCCACACGTGGCGTGTTCCGATCCGGGCATAGGTGTTGCGGCTGGCGGGGAACATGTTGCAGCCCGTCTGGTCACCGTTAATCACCAGCTGGGGCGGGATCTTGTGCTTCCAGGTCAGGTATGCCACCTGTGGACCAAAGGGGCAAGGGGAAGGTGCCTGGGTGTGAGGTGAGAGGCCCCAAAATGCCGTGGCGTGTTCACTTCTCTCCCTTCTTCCCTTCCCTCCCCTTCCCACCTTTCCCTGATGGCTGACTAACCTGGTACACAAACAGCTACAGCACCTGCTCCCACTGATCTGGCAGCTTCTGGGCAGCAGACGTGGCGGTGCGGTGCGACAGGTTCATCTGGCGGCACACCTTGCGGATCCAGGACCGGCTCACCTTGAACATGCCGGCACCACCAGGGGCATCAGCAAGAAGGAAGCCATAGCCCTTACACTTGAGCTCAGCGGTGATGTACGGCCGCAGCGTCGCCGAGTTCACCTGCACACATTGGTGGGGTCGGGTGGGGCGTGATGGGAGACTTGAATGTGGGAACAATGTTACACCGGTATCCGCAACCAAGGGCGGGTTTCCAGGGGGCAACTTAAGGGCAGCTGGCAGGGCCGGGCGGCTGGACGGGGCCAGCCAAGAAAGCAGCAGGGGACACACCTGGGAGCCAGTGTCAATGAGCTCCAGGATCCACTGCTTTACGAAGGCGTAGATGGCCAGAGGGAGCGAGACCGACCACGTGTTGCACACTGTGTTGCCGTTGAAGGCCTTGTGGTCAGTTGCCAGCCACCTCTTGTACCAGTTGGACGCGGTGGTGTGCGCGACTGGCTTCTTGAAGGTCACCTCCATCTCGGCTGCCAGCTGGTCGATGGCGGTCTGGATCTGCAGGCGTGAAGGGAAGCGTGACAACATCAGGCATGCACTGCATGGGAGTTCACGGTGTGCACCAGTAAATTCCGGGCCCCTGACTGACGTTGCCACCGCACTTGTCGATTTCCTGGCAGACAATCCACTTGATCTCATCGCTGCGCTTTTCGTAGTTGCCACGCACAGGCGCCACCTTAGCCCGCTTGTTCTTGTTCTTCGGAGTCGGTGCGGGCTCAGGGACGGGAAGCGGTTCGCCGGTCAAACAGCGCAGCAGCGACGCGAGGGAAGGCTTGGCATTGCTGGGCCTGCCAACTGGCTGGTGTCCAGGAGCCGTGGCCTGCTCAATGATGGCCTTGCCGGCCTCAGCGTCCGCTTCAGCAAGCTTTGCAATCCTCTCATCGGCATGTGCCTTCTCATGCTCAGTCCTTGCAGCCTCAACCTCCGGCACCACTCGAACGCTGGTAATGCCTGCCCTGAGCTCAATGGGAGCATTGGTGTCGAGCTTGGGTAAAAGGCTAGTAAGCTTAAGCTGTTTAGGCGCCATTCTGAGCACGCTTTCTGAGGGTGGGCCTGTAAGCTAAAGTTCTTGTCCGATCAACTTAGGGGTAAAAGATGAAGATAACTACAAGCCAACAGCGTCTTCTGGAGGGCTTTTACTGTTGGTCGATACCGTTAACACGGTGTACGACACATTTGTGACAGCCAGTTTGGTGATGCCCATAAAATTTTGCCTAAGACCTTTTTCCACTGCTATGCATTTGGGGACGCCATACCAATTGCGTGTCACCAAAGAATCGTATCAGTACGGTACTGGAAATCGCTTCTGTAAATGGTAATGAGTTGCACTCAATACACAAGAGCGTTGCAAACATATAAACCACCAATTCCAAGCCAGGTAGCATACATGAAAGGAACTGGCTCCAGTTGGCGACTGGAGGAAGCATTAGTTCCTAACTTGCCCGATCCGCAAAGCCCGAGATCAGACGCTGGCTGAGAGACAAGGAAGAGAAGAATACTAAGCTTACAAATAATGATGTAGGAATGCCTTAAATAGTCTGGCAAAGCCTTGCACGACACAGAGTCGTGCTGATCAAAGCCAAACCATACGTACTCGGTAACGAACACAAATCCCTTACAATACACATTCGCGAAAACTTGCTTGCTCCTAACACCCACACAGATAGAAGAAAGTAATAAATATGTTGCCCTCGTAGCAACTACTACCAGCGGTATATGTATGCGTCGCTATTAAGTAATATATCCAGAAGATCCAAATAAAAACCATATATACAATGAATCCAATGCATTCGTAATAACTCATCCCATCCTTGGCTCCCAGCTAGATAGGTATGACTAATAGTTCCCTAGAGTTCATCCTTATCCAAGAGAAAATATTCATCCGGTGGCCAGCAGCCCTGTCATTGGTAAACGCTGCATTTTGGCGGTTCAATGTCCATGAACTTCGCGTCCTTTCGGCCCGTACGAACCACCAATCAGTACTACGTACATACTCGCTTCACCACACGCATCTACAATGCGGGCAGGGTTTCCAGGAGAAACGTCCCACACTGGAGGGTTGGCGCTGGCGCTGCTCAAGCAGCAGTAGTGCAACACGAAGCGCCTTTGTTTAGTTTTTGTACATACGTTCTGATGCATTGAAGTCTATCTTGCCATCAGTATTTTGTTGCATCCTGTGCGTGTCGCGGAATCCTGAAGTCCGCCATCGCTGCATTTTCTGTAGCCGGGATACAACAGATTTGCACTTATTTATGCCCGTATGTAAGTGCATAGCTGCCACCATACATACTTCATCACTATTGTCATTCGTCCGCCAGGTAGATCCACACCCCCTCGCTGAACGTCCTGCCGGTGGCGGTGTTGGCTCCCAACAGGAACAGCTGGTAGTAGCCGGCGTGGGCGGCAGAGGGCTGGGATAGCGGAGGGGCGCGAAGAGCCACTGCCATGCCGTCCTGGGATACCAAATTCTGGGTAAGCAAGGCCAAGCGAAGCGATAAGCGATAGACGTCAAATAACTGTCTATGATCAGATGCAAAGGATGACTCCGGGGCTCTAATGAGCCTTGCGTAGTGGGCGGCGTGGGCTGGCTGGCCATGGACTGCCTTGGGCTGCCTTGTGTTGCGCGGTGCTGTACTTAACCACCAGTACTTCGTTCACGTTCGCCTGCGACCCCTATCCGTGATGCAGTCTCTCAAAACCATCATCTGCCATGTGGCTAAACCCAATAGTGTGCATCGTGGGCATCGTGGGCTGTGCATCTCCTTTACCGCTCCACATAGCATACACCAGGGGCGGAGTCGGCGGACCTTACGTCTGTGTTAAGAGTTTTTATCGTGTATAGGCCCATCTATTTTTAGGCCTATCTATTGCACCCTGCGGCACGGTCAATAGATCATGCTATGCAATAAATCGTTGTGCGTTCTATTTTTCCCACTTAATTTTCCCACCATTTTATACGACGACCCCGACTTAAGACCATAAAAGTATTACCGGCGCGTGGCGGGCTTCTAAGAAAGCTCTAGGTAAATTGTGTATTGCCCTGAGGTTGCCCTGAAAACTACTAGTTAGTAAATCTCCATCTCTGGTTATTACCCCCCTAGGCGTAGTGTATGCACCCACTCCACCCTGCGCATCATGTACCGTCTGCGTATGCCGTAACACGATTGACATCTAGCTTACTTTGAGCTACTTCGAAGTAGCCCGAGTAGTAAACTACATGTCACAGGAAGTTGTAAGCTGCTGTCATACACGGTGACGACGAAGGGTGGTACGATTGACTACTGGTACTGACCCTTTAGGCAAAGAAGTCCGTCAGCTGCCGTCACTAAAGAAGTCTGCTGTTGTCGTCGTGCCCACCTACTATAAGAGTGTGTCGCCTATATGTGATTAAAAATATTAATGACGGTCTCCGGCTTGTGTCAAGCAAACTTGCATGGTACGTTATTCACACACACCCAAATGATTATTGTGTGTGTGTGTGTGTGTGTGTTAAATGGTCGTGGCCACCCATGGGTGCGTTCCCCGTACCTGCAAACCGCCCAATACGAGCCGAGGGCTCAAGGGCTGCCAGGTCGCCTATAAGCACCATCCTACCTCGCACTTTAGACAAAATGATTATATGACGCACATATCATAGGCACACGCGCCGCTATTAGCTGTTTATACCACAAACACCACCCATCTCTCTGTCCGTCCTGCATCAAAAACTGTCTACTCGCTCTTCCCGACTCACCAGGAACACCACACGCTGGTTCATGTTGATGGAGTGGGTGTTGGCGCAGGGAGCTGCCAGAGTGGCGCCAGTGATACGGCCGCCATACTTGTACCCTACTGTAAACACCCTGCGTGAATGGTAGATATGGGCGTGGCGTGTAGGTAGAGGCAAAAGTTCAATGCATGCGGGTGGCGGTAAGGAGCGGGGTCAGACGGCCTATGCACAACATATGTAGCATTCAAGCACACACAGGTACACTTAGCTGCAAGATAGAGAGCATGCACTTGCCATTGGAACCATTCAGACTGCAACATTCAAGGTGGCAGAGTTCAGTATCCGCTCCTACCCACCTACTAAGGGAGCGAAATAAAAACCAAGCAGCTAGCAGCAGTCATCTACCTAGCCGTGCAGCTATTTACACAGCCCATGTACACACCACCACACCACACGGTCGTGCGCACCTGCCACGGAGGATGACCTTTGGGGCGGTCCTGATGACGGGTCGTTCCACGGGCGGCGCAATCTCGGCAGGGACCGCAAAACTTATACGGTAGTCCAGATCACCATGGGGGCTGCGGCTGACGCTGGAGGGCTGCAGGGGGGGACGATGGAGGAGATGCCGGTGAGCATCCACTACATGGTTGGTATACTAAAACAACTTTCATGCGGTGGCCATCACTCCCTTCGTCAGGATCCAGGACAGAGTCCCCACCGCCAGCAGGGCAATCAGCAACGACCTGGAGTGACCGGAGTACAGGTTGACTCTCGGCACCAAGACACCAGCACATTCGTGAATAATGCAAAAAATATCCTTATGCTTACCAGGTTGCCAGCCAGGTTGCCTGTCATTCCACATGTTTCACATCCAGCCGACATCACCTTGCCCGACAGGTCCAGACAGGACGAGGAATGGTACATTCGGACGATACCTGGGTAGTGTAGTTCAGTATGGCCAGGGTTTGGGATGGGGTAGGCAGATGCGAGGTCGCTGATTTGCAAGAAAGCTTACTCAGCAGACTCGCTCATGCATACGTGTGGTGTTGGCAGTTGTAAGCATGTCGTCAAGCACTGGAGCCTTTTATCCATTTACAAGTATGTCTGACACAACGGTGGGCAGCAGGTGAGCTGTGTGTTGCAGGGAAGACCTAGCTATCCCGCCGGGACTGAATGGAAGCAAAGCCTTCACCTGAAAGCTGTATGGGGCTTTCGGACTGCTGTTCGTGCATGGACTCCGTTAGGCACAGAACTGCACCTAATGACCTCATCAACAATTGGAGCATGCGATGGGCAGCACAATACCTAGGATGCATGAAATACATTATTTGGAAAGCACGATGCATACGGCTGCATTACCACCACCATTCGGCCCCCACCACTCGTCATGCATACCTAAGCCTCTGGCCGCCCCTATGCATCATCAAGCAAGCCAGCTAGTGTCACATTCGTTATCACCTAAATTGATGTCTATAGATTGCACCCTGGTGTAATGGAACGAACGGTCCCTGGTATATGGAAGATGATCTTTCCCAGCAGAACGGACCCGGGCACGATCTATAGACGATCAAAAATTGTACAGACGATGTATGTACTCAACTTGTTCATCCGCCATCACCAAAAACATTTATCCTTCTTACCCACGGTGGCGCTTGTAGAATAGCGACTGCCCAGCGGAGCATCTGGGTCGTAGATCAAGTCCTGATAGGCGGGCAGGATGCCCTGATAGCCATTTTGGCCCTTCTTCCAGCCGGCGACACCGGCCTGCATGCCGTGGGTGTATACGGTTGCGTTTATAACGAAACTATTCTTGGCACGTGCATGTGCAAGCTGGTGCGTGCCAGCAGAAACCCCTCGCTCCAGATTAGCACCCCTCGCTGGCGCCCATACCGTTCTCGCTGGCGCCTATGCCATGTGCACTTCCCCCTGGCCAAAACCCGCCTTCCCTGGCTTTGCTACAATGTTGCTTTAGCACGATCAATTCCTGTTCGTTGTTTGCTAACGGGTATAAACCACGGTCAGTTATGGCTTCGTTACCATGTGGCCACATTCAATGTGAAGTTCACATCATCGCAACCCCCACGTCTGTAAATTTTGATCGGCTATAAATCGCATCCGGGTATAATAGGATGGATGGCCCCTTTCTATTTTACCACGGCACGGTTTATAGATGCTTAAACGTTTCACAGGCGCAACACCCAAGCCGCCTTCCGTTCGTCGCTTGGTAGGCCCTCCTCTGCTGGGCAGTAGTGATGCACGTTCGTGAAGGCCCTTTAAAGGGGTAAAATTTTACACCCCTACCCACCCATTAACTAACCCCGCTAGCTGCCCATCCACAAACGTCACACGCCATACCTGCCCTCCTCCGTGCACTAGGACTTTGCCGTTTGGTAGCACTACAGGAAGGAACGTAGGAACGAAACAAAGTAGGAATGAACACTAATGTACGTACGAAGCGCGCGATTGGTGTAAGCAAGCAGCAGGCATGTGGGGAAGATGAGGAAGAGTAGGCCATCCATAAACCGGAAGTAATAGCATAGAACAAATTGTATACGGAGTAAGGGGGCATCCAAAACGCGGCAGACGGAGCATGTACTACGGAGTAGTACTCGCCGCATTGGGACCGAAACCCAAACGCGGGTGTAGCCGGATGAGGTGGGAAAGTGCTAGGGAAAGGTAACGTTAGCATGTGTTATTAGGACAATTAGTATGGACCTTCTTGGCATTTATGGACCTTCTTTTGCCTTTGTCCTAAGCCCGCTGGTGATTTGAGCGCGTGCGTTGAAAGACAGAAAGAAAGGTACCGCAGAGGCGGCCATTCTCGTCGCACCGACTGTAGGAGCTGGCCGCTGAAAAGGCCTCTCGAGGTGCTGGTGGACGCGCTCAGCGCGTATTGTAAACGTTATGTGTCTGTACTGTGTACCAGCTACTACACCGACCCAGGCGAAGGGGCGGAAGGCGGAAGCCCTGGGAGGGTGCATGGTGCGTGATAGGTTGCGAGACCTATAGGTTGTCAGGCTGGTTGTCAGGGATTCCATCCATCTCCATTAACGGTGTCACCGCGTCGTCGTCTGTGAAATTGTTTTCCTGGTCAATAGATCGTGCCCGGGAAAATTAGATGCATAGGGACCTTTCCTATCGTTTGCAATATATTTGGCACAAACTATTTGCAGGCGAAAAAACGTGTGTCTGTGGTTGTGTGGGCGTGTTCACCCACACACACGGTCAAATGTGTGCGTAGGGCACGATTTGGCACGAATTAGGCACGTGTGTGGGGGAAAGACATTTAGAAAACATGTGTGTAGGGCACAACCTACAGACAATAAAAACATTGACAGGCAATCCCTTATTTATGGGGCCCACCAATTGTAGGTTGCAAGGCTGCTGGTGGATGACGGAAAGGGCGTTATCATACCGAGGAATTCGCCCGATGCATGCCCATACGTGCCCACCTGTGGTGGTAGCCATAACGCGTTTTTGCCCCGCCATATTCTCCACCACCCACCTAAGGGAGAGGAACGTAAGAAGGGGAGTGGCGGACTCCGCATACCACATATTTAGGCTTACATGCATGAAGACACAAAAGTTTGAGGCCACGGCATTACGTATAAGGCGGCCCACTACGAGTAACTAAAGCATGCACAACATGCACGATATTGTAGATGGGCAGCTGGCACAATGCTTAATTTTCCTTAAGACACTCCAATTAGCAGATGTTCAAGACGTATATCCTGCTAGGAAGTATGTCGCTGTTTACCTGCCTGGGGAAGTTTTCCTTTGCTGGTAGGTCACCACAACGCACGCGCATCTGTCGTACGACAGAGGGAAATTCAAGTTTTAACAGCCTACGTAACATACTCACCCGTTGTCGCATATCTTGTTGCCGCAGTAGTACATGTCCAGCCTTGCGGATAGGGGGGAGGCTGGGGTCTTCTGCTTGGCACCGTCAGGCTGTATGCACATGTGTGGGTGGGGTCAGTGCGGCGGAGGCAGGAAAGGAGAGGTGGATGAGCGAGTGGGTTTTAACGCGGTGAAGATTTTAGCACATACCCCGCCGGTCGTGCCGCGCCTGCTGGCCGGCTGGGGCCCATACTAACTATGACTGCAAGTATCGGTTCTATTATTACTCCTGATCCGCAATAATGTGCTTGAATCCAAGCTTGTTTTGCTTTGGCTCGGAGCCTTTACTTGCAAAAGCAGCATCTCGCTCGCACCGGCTGTAGTAGCTGGCCGCTGAAAAGGCCTCTCGAGGTGCTGGTAAAGCGCTCCGCGCGTGTATTTGATACGTGTGTCGTACTGTGTACCAGCTACTACACCGGTATACCCACAGGAGACAATGGCTACACACGCTGACACATACGCGCAGTCCCCGGCTGGCAGTCAGATGATTTTATCATAAGAAGAATCAATGAATGTCGCTCGCAACTCCAGAAAACAAACATGTTGAAGAAATAGAAACAGTTTACATCACCAGGAAATTTTATGAAACATTTTACACTTCTTTTACCAATACCTTAGCAAATTTACCTTTGCGTTAAGGGGAATGTTTTGGGGGCATAACTATAACTGAAATCACTAAATCGCCTATAGCTATACAGTATCCGCGGTATCGGCCGATGCACCTACATACACCTACCGCTCCCCCAAAGATTGTCATGGAGAAGTTTTTGTATTCTCCGCTCTGTGGATCCGGCTTCATTGCGTTGAGGATAATTGATGACGTATACCAATACATAGTGCGATATCTGCGTGTGTGTACGAGTAGTGTTGGAAGCAGCAGGTGTTCAGCCACTGGCAGTAGATATGCACACAACCCATACGGTAGCTATCCAGGTAGAATTTTACCACGCACGCACGCAAGCGAATAAACCTATACATTACCATCATGCAGCAGCAGCAGGCAAATAAGACGCTGTTATACTTCCGGTTCCTACTCAAGTACGTGCCCAGTATTAATGTGCATAAAAGACGGACAATAAGACAGATGAGCCGCCGTGTGCGTACGTGCAGATACAAATAAACTCACGGGAAAGCTCTGGGCAGGTCTGGGAGCTTGTAAATCTCCTTCCAGTCCTTGTTGGTGATGCTGCCGCCGCGATCGCCCCACCAGAGGACCTCGCCTGTGGGGTACAACGAAGCATGTCACGAGCAAATGTGGTTGGGCCGGGTTGGGTGTGTGGCTGGGTCGGCACTGGACGTGCTGCCGCAGGCAGCAACTCGTGTGACGATTGTGTATATTGATATGTTTGCATTGTTTGTGAGCCGTGTTGTAGTAGCTGTACACGTATGGTACACACGTCGTCCACACATACGCGCTTAATTCAGCGGCCAGCCACTATATTTGCCGCCAAAGCGGACATTTGGCGGACCCAATTAATCAAGTCTCCTTGCGATCCACTTGCTTTGTTTGCTATGCAAGGATGTCAGCACTGTTTGCTGACCGGACGGTCGGATATGCTGCCGCCCTCAGCACGTACGTGCGTGCATCTTAACTTCAGTCATCTCCTCTGTCTGTAATACGGACAGCAGCTGTGTTTCTTGGTAGCTAGGTCTTTGTCCACACAAATCCGAAGCAGGAAGTGACATCACTCAAGCACTCACCGCCAGGCAGTAGCACGATGAAGGGGTACCTACCGACAGGAAGAAAGATTGAGGGGGGTTCGGCTATCAAGAAATAACAATAGAATATTTGTTCAAGGCAGCTTATCACAAGGACCGGGACACAGCTGGCAGCGCTGCTGCGCGCCTAATTGATAGCGCTCTGTGAGGGCTTGTACGCCTTAGAGGGTCTTTCCATTTGCTGGTCGTAAATTTTCGTAGATTCTCCTTAGGGCCGGCCGGGCCCGCCGCACCTCCTTTTTTGGGATTTCTAGCACCAACTGATAATTTATATGTAAAGGAATGTGTGTATGTAATTTTGGCAGCGCGAAGTGCCCCATGCGAGAAGTTGCCGGACGGCCAATGGAAAGGGAGATTTCCGTAACTTTTCCATCACACTCGCTAAGAAATACTTAGCTAGTACATGCTCCCGACCATGTATTAAATTGTCGACCTCGCATATACTCATCACATTTGTGTGAGCTGAATAGCCAAATATTTGGTGCGTTGACCAGTGCAGTCGCGCCCCTCGGAAGCGACAGACGACAGCTACGCATAACCGGCGAGTGCTATTTACTCCTCAATGTCCTTCCAGGAAAGTCCTGCTGATTACATTGGAATTCATATGGATGACAAAGCTTGCTTGAGGCAACTTCGCTTGCAGCGTGGCCATGTCAATCTCGAGTCGGGTCACCACCCCGCTTTCCCGGACTATCACCACGAGTTACATCCTTCGCAAATGTCGTATGGAGCTTAAAAGTGAGCAATTTCTTACAATCCGTACGTCTGATAAAAGTTGTGTAAAGTGGGCCCAATGGAAAGTGAAATTAAGGAAATTTCTAAACTTCTCCATAGAACTTAAGGAACTTTCCCAGCCGCTGGCCAATGGAAAGACCCTCTTAGCGTTGCCAGTCACGAAGCAGAATAGATGGCCGCAGTCAGCACGCAGATAGATGTCTGCAACTGATCGCTGTTAGACGATAACCCGAAAATACGGCAGGGATGAAGGATACAACCCTTGCCTTCGCTCACCAGTTGTTCCAGGCGACGTTTTTGAAAGTCGGCGGTAAAGGCACCGAACTCGTGGGTCTGCCAGGGTTGAGTGGATCCCAAAGCTCGGCCACAGGAATTGGGGGGCCCACATCCGCTTTAGCGGTTCCACCCACAATCAAAACCTGCAATTAACGTACAATAATTATTATTAATTGTGATAATAATAGTACGCATCAGCCAAAGGCGTGTATCGGAAGGCGGGGGTGAAGAGGTTGACGTTACGATTTCCCCTGGCCTTAGCATGTCCAGCCACCGTACAGACAGCAGTAGCTTTTTTCACCTATGTACAGTCCACATGGCGCAAACTCACGTAGGGAGATATCCCAATGATTAGTCACTGAAACTGCAACGGCGCTAGCAAATCAATAATTGTAGAAGCTGTCGTACACTAGGGCATGCACACAGCCATTACATAAGCGCTAGCTCAGTGCTCTTCAGAACCTCTGAATGCGTTTGTAGCGGTCACGTACGTATTTACGAGGTTTTTGTCATGAAAAGACTTACGGTCCTCAGCTTAACCCTCCCTATGGCATAAAACGAGGGGTAACTTAAGTGTAACCCAGGGGATGTATAGGGGTAGGGGTAAGTGGTTACCCATGTGGCTATGTACGAAGGGAGGTGGGTAACCTAACCCACGGGGTAGGGGTAACCCCTTACCGAGGAGTAACAAAGGGGGCGGGGTAATACACCACCGAGGGATAACAGACAAGCTAACCCATGTTTACAAGTGTTCCTTGTCCGTATGCCGGGCCGTAAGCTGGTGTCAATGGACTGTAAGATGTCCCTAGGGACAGGCCTCAGACTGCCAAGCAAACATGGGCCGACCACTGATAAGTATGGGTTGTTAGCATTAGGCCTAGGAGGTTTATAGGTGGTGCTGACGGAGAAGTTACTCGGTGCTGAGGCTAAGGCTGTAGTACGTATGGCATTCTGTCTCTGGTACGGCACACATGACGTCTACGAATACGCGTGATGGCGGTCCGCCAGCATTTCGAGAGGCCTCTTCAGCGGCCAGCTACTACACTGTCGCACCTTGTTTCCTTGGACCATGCAAGGTGTCGGATACCACCTGCGGTGCACAGCGGAGCGTAATGCTGAAGGGAAATGGCATTGCTGTGGGGCGGCATTCCTTTCCTTCAAGGGGAACAGCTCTGGCTGGGTAAACAGGGACGCGCAAGGTGGCTGCTGGCAAGGACTAAATGGTGTGTGTGTCGGAGCGGATGTACATATTACCTAATTCCAGCAGCAGGTAGGCTGGAGGAAGAGGCGAAAGTTAGTGAGACCACTCCGTCATCATGATTCGCCCTGCTAAATGAAACGGACCGAGCCGCCGATCTCCTTCCACAGCGCATGCCAACATACGTGCAGCTCGGTTGTATATCATGCATGATTGATATAACGCTTCAGCTTTAGGCGTACAGCAAAAGTTACGCTATACATTTGTCAACCGGGAGTGTGTGCGGTTTTGGCACGAGCTTCATTTGAGACCGCACTCAAATTTATTAGCTCACCTGGGGAAGGACATACTGCCCACTTTTTGCAGCTGCTTCGTCGATTCATTGTACGTCTGGAGGAAGTACAGACGAATGAGCGAGAAGCAATATTGGGACATAATGTACGCAAATTGATGGGAGGTGTGCCAGGTATGCATATGCACGCATGTCTTGCTAGGGAGGCCGCGAGCTAGGCTGCGGGCAGGTACAGCGAGATACATATCAGTGATCGTTGACCTGTACAACTTCAAGCATCATCACATCCTTCATTCGGCCTACTAGGTCATGACCAGACCGTTTGATCAGACGATATCCGCCCTAGGTAAGCGTGCCTGAGTGCATGAGTGGGGCGAATATAAGACGCGATAACGGCCTTGCCCTTCACCCCTAGAAAACGTACATCGCCACGCTACCCCGCCCGTACTATACGGACATCTCCATTCAATCATCCTGCGTTGACCAAACCTGAACTGTTAAAGCTTTATGCTAGGATATCGCCGCCCGTACTAAGAGTCAGAGAGGATATAACTGACAGTGCCTAGCTAGCAGTAATAACACGTCGTGCCCTAGCAGATTGTAACAATAACCAACAAGGCTTAACCTAGTGTTAGGACGTCTTGAAAGCGCCATGGGTCGGCAGGCAATAGGGCGCTGGGGTTGGCATTTCACCTTGTATGCTTGCGCAATTGTGTACGCGTGCGGCATAATAGATGGACACGCCCGTAATCGTAAGCAGCCGATCCACGCTGAGCGAGGTTATCGTTACGCATATGTACGCCTAACGGACACAACACAATCATCACACCGTATGCTACATTGTCCGGAGCTTGGTAGCTCAGAGCGGAACATACCGAAATCGCCTTGCGCCCATCTGCCTGAAGTTTGTTCTTCGGTTCATTGTAGCCACCGAGTAACGCTATGCTTCCATCGGCCAAGACGATAGGGCCGTTGCAAAACTGATCATACCCTGTGGTGATTAAGGCCGCCTAAGTGGGGAAAGGATGAAGGGAAACAAATCACGCGCAACACTGTGACGTCTGCAAATGGGTACGAAGGTGGAAAGCTACGTATTCACTTTGGACAGCCTGCGGCCCTCTGGCCCTTGGGCCCTCTCAGGGCTCGTATGGGCCCCTAGGCTACACCTTCGGCGAGTAACGCAACTCCAGGTGCAACACACACATACACACACACGCACACACACACACACACACACACACACACACACAAGTACATACACGACGACGCCATACGCCGTCATACACGTGCACGCCGCCGACTTTCGTGCATAAATGAAAGTCCGCATCCCAAGGCGATACATCTCCCCATGCCTATGACTCCATCCCCTCAGTCCACAGACCTTACGCGTGTCCAGGTCAAACGTGGCGGCAGACCGCGTCTGATTCGAGGTGTAGGCGCGCCAGTACGCAAAATACTTGCGGCTGCGCGTCCCGGCGGTAGGCACGTGCGTCAAGGCGATGCTGATGAGCGGTGCGTCGAACGAACCCATTTCGAAGACCGCGGCCGGCTGCTGCTGCTGCTGCTGGTATGCGGCCACAGATGCCTGGCGCAGCTTCCTCCTGCGACTTTGGAGCTCCACTCCCGACGTCGCCCCATTGTCCTGCACACCGAGCCAGCATGCATGCATGTACACTCGTTGGATGCAGGAATTACGGAGCTTTTACACATGAGGACAATATAAGAAGCGAGCGGCCCCTTGCAACACGATGCAGGCGGAGAGTTCCTGGGGACCCACCAAGGATTTGGGATCTGGCGCTGAATCCGACAACAGGGAAATGACGTCGATGTCCACAAGATCATACTTGATGATCTGATGCTGCTCATCACGCGCCGTGTCGCTACTACCAGGGAAATTGGAAAGGGAACTGTGCAGCGCCGCAGCCGGAGAGGGGCCTGCGAGGACTGCCAGGGATGCTGCCAGCAGCGCTACCAGCACCAGCGGCGGCCAAACCTGCAGTTTGATATTGCTACGTGCTGCTAGCTCAAAGTGATGCTTGTCCAGATTGAAGGCCCGATCTATTTGTAACCACATGGTGTCTGTAGGGATCACTAAGAACGGAAATGTGAAACGGTCAGCGGTCAGGTGCACAGAAAAGGTATTGCAACGTACATATGTAAAGGTGTGGGGATGTGTATGGTCTGTACGATACGAGGCAGGGTTTACGCCGTGTGTATGAAGGTGCATGGCAGTTAATGGATAGCAGCCGGCCTTCCCTCGAGAAAGACGAATGCAGGTCAACGAACCGAGGCAAGTAGCTCGCTGCGCTGTTGTTGACCGAGGTTGTCGCGGTGTGCTACATACAATTTTACGTACCCATGCATGCCTTTACGCAGGTAGCTTGTATGTGGCCTTGGTCCCGACAGCGAATAGACTCGAATTTGGCTGATCTGCCTGCCTGGGCATAGCCGCGCAATCCGTTGATCCGGCCAAGGAAGACCTACAACAGACTGAGCAGTAGTTGTTGAAGGCGAGGCATGACTTGTACGACCCGCCACTTGGACTGATCAGCGGTCCTGCATTCACAATGAAATGGTATGCAGAATGTCAATGCAGCAGGAATGAATCAACTAGTAATAACAAACGCTCGGCAATGCAACAACCCGTAATGGAAAGCCCCCCAATTTATCCAAGCATCATCCCCACCTAATGAAGGGAAACTTTAGGCAGCTCAGTTTGCCAACCGCGGGCATCCACTCTATCAGCCACCGAACACCAATCACGCAAGGCTCGCCTGCCGATAGCCTACGCACGCAGGGTTCTATTTCGAAGGCTTGGCGTGTCACGAACACTCTAGCATGCACCAGAGGGTAGGATCCGGGCTGGAATTGGGTTGTCGTCTATATGTTAGCATGGCTACGTGAAGACCTCTGTCGCAGAATTGGCCTGACGTTATATTCCTGACAAAAAAAATGGTCCGTCGGGGTCTTGAATGGTTCTGGCAGGCTCGCCGGGGGTATTGAATTGCGCTGTGGAGCCCCGGAGTTGCGCTGGCGGGTGGGCGGACCGGGTCTGAATTGGCCTGTACGGGTGTCGAATTAGGGAAGCACAGGAATTGCGCGACCGGGGCAGCCCAAAGATTTGCTCTCCCCGACCTTGTGTCCTACCCTCCTCATGCACCGCCACAAAGATCACGTTTTGGTGCTTAATTGCTTGTCCATTTCTTACGCACATATGTCAGCAGGCTACTATGGGTTACTCTTCGATAAGGCACTCGGTCACGCACTGTGGCACATGTTTACTAAGAAATAGTATTTCTTACTACTGTCTGCGCAGCGGAATGGTACTCATCATCAACAACTATTGGCAGTCCTGCAGGAAGCATTTTACATCTGGTCCGAGCGAGCGAGGCCGCAATCGGGGGAAGGAATCTACGTCTGAAAGATGTTAATCGTCTGAAGATCACCAAGGATCACAGCACGTACAGACACGTACGCACTGGTTGGTGTATTCCTGAGCGCACCGTTCGCTCGCTCGCGAATAATAGGGGCGCTCATAACTGGACTATTCGCATGTATGCAGGTCCTCAGGTGTTACTACTTTGCGCAAGCCGACATCGGTCCCGGGGACCACCTGCCTGAGTATCGTACATGCGGTTGCCTGGGCGGCTGCTGGCTGGTTTATCCCTTTGCCTGGCAAGGATGCGGATGCCTCAAAACAATGGCGAAGGTTTAGAAACTGCCAGGCTAGTGGTCATAGTCAGCTTTTTGATACGGTAATTATTATACATTCCCCTGGCGAGCACATACTGTTGCATGGATGGGTTGCAACCCATCCAATTGGAGAATGCCAGGGAATGCACTATAGCAGAGCATGCATTTGCTCACAACAATTATACAACTGATGCTGCTGCATTGTGGTACCACAATGCAAACAGCTGTTTATCCTTATATAACTGCTGATTTAGCCCTTGTAATGTAGGGGCTTTAGCTCAGTGGTAGAGCGCGCGCTTTGCATGCGTGAGGCCACCGGTTCGAACCCGGTAAGTTCCATGGGGCAATGTATGATTAGTTTGTCATTTTGGCTATGTCCTATTTGCGATGGCCTTTTACGTGTGTTCTATTTGTGCAGCCTTGTGTGCACATGTGCGTGTGCCCATGTGTATATGTATTTTGTGTGCATTTTTTATATATGTGTGGTATATGTGTGGGTGGTGTATGTGTACATGTGTGTCAGGGCCAGGCAAGGACGGGCCCATGGAATAGTTATACTCCGGGCAAAAAGCACAAAAGAAGAAGGAAATAGGAAAGATTATTCCGGAACCCTGAACCCCGGCGTATAACCCTAAAACCCCGCACGTTAACGAAGGGGGGTAGTGATGCAAGGGTTGGGAGTCGCTGTCAGCCACAAGTACAAACACATGTACACAAGCTGGAAAACTGTAGGTTTTCTGAGTGAAGCGAAAGAAAACCAAGGATTTGTGTATATGCCGAGAGCGTAATCGGGTGAATGTCGTTGGTGCGTACGGCTGGACCGTACAGGGCTAGAATAAGTCACAGGAGTGCGACGGAAAGATAACTTCGCGAGTTCAAAGTGTCAGTACTGACAGGTCTCCGCTGCGGCTTCTGCTCTAATCTACAGCAGAGTGCTTTGGTAACCATGCTCGCCCCCTCCCACGGAAGCAAGCACAACTTTCCTGCCTGCAGGCAACTCTGCGTCTGGACGACTCCTAAGCGGTTAGCCAACTACTCAAGGAAACTAACGCTAACTGCGTCAAGGACAATAAAGTAGGGTTACGCCGTCGTAGTAGCGTGCCTGAAAACAAAGCCCCCTGGAGCGACGGAGCCAGGTGATTTGTGGATGCGCATGCGTTACATTATCTTGTAACTCGTCTTGTAGTTATTTACAAATTGATTGTCACCTATTTAAGCACAGTGTTCGATGTGTGACGCGCCAGAAAGCAGCAGGCACACATTAGTGAATATTAATGAGCAGCAGGCATTAATGAATATTCATTTCAACATTGTTTGGAAACGACTTTTTGTCCATCCTACATATTAATCACAAACGGTGTGTTGCGTGACGGAAAGGGCTAAAAAGACATTTATCATCCGTTGCCTGGCCATGCATGTATGCCGAGGGAAGGGGTTCATCGCAACTGCAGGACGGAATCACGTACGCATAGCTAACGTTGCTCCTACGCGCACACAGTCACGTGGTACATAAGGCATGGTGGACACGCAGTAGTTGCCTCATATGTGAGCGCTCCAACGGCGGCGTGTGGGAGTATGGAAGTTGCGTATACGTATATTGCAGTTAGGTAGTTGCAATGCAGTACGTTGGGTGGTTAGGTGTCATCATTGCCACTTGAACGGCCACGTGTGTATATGTGCCAGCTAGGTGTAGGTAGTACACTGGACGAAAGGCTTCTAGTCCATGGAGTACGGCAACGGGGCTGACTCGCAGGCTCTTCGCCCATACAGTGTCGAGGTCTGAGGGTTCCCCGACATTGCGAGGAACCCTCACATACCGCCTAAACTGGATTGCGCCACTACTCCATGTCGTCTGTAGTTCTGAAGCAGCGGCCCCACGGCTGGATGCCACGAAGTGCACGCATGGTATTTTGTAGACGTACACGCACCGAAACCATTCACCTACCATTAATATTCCCGGGGCGGCGGGGTCATTTCAGCCCCAAGACGTTCCAGACGCGGCATTCCATTTTGGGATCGAGCAGATCTACCCGTGAAGACTACCACTCTTTACTACATACGCGCTCCACACATGGCACGTGTAAATAGAGAATGTTTTGAGACCGTTATTGGGCGAGTAGCACTCGTACGTACATCGACCACTCGCCAGAAACACAAATCTCTCCCGTGTGTGCGCCTCACGTTGCATCGTTGTCCCTCATGTTCGCCTTTCCCAGGTAGACGCGTTTGATTTAGTTCCGCTGCAATGAAGACACACAGCTCACGGCCTGTGTACGGAGGGTATACCTACTTACCGCAGAGTCCCGGAGTACGACAAACAGTGCAGTATTGCGTGCCAATGTCGCAGCCAGCAACAGCAGCAGGCTGCTGGAGCATGATCTTCAATTTTAGCACGGCCGGGTAGCTGCTCTCCCATGCATGCCTCTGCATTACTCGTCCGCCAGGTAGATCCACACCCCCTCGCTGTACGTCCTGCCGGTGGCGGTGTTGGCTCCCAACAGGAACAGCTGGTAGTAGCCGGCGTGGGCGGCAGAGGGCTGGGATAGCGGAGGGGCGCGAAGAGCCACCGTGGTGCCGTCGTCCTCGATTACGTTCTGGATCAGCCGGGAACGTGGGGGTGATGGAAAGAGAGAACGATAGCCAAGGTATGATTAAGAAGGGATGCAAAGGGTAAATACTTCACGAAGAGCTGTAGTGGCAGGCAGCTGAAAATACGTCTAATGATGCTGGCAAAGCGCTTTAGCGCAAATTTATCTACAGATGATATGTACATCGTACTGTACAATGAATGTCCAGATGTTAGGCTTAGAAGTCCCCATGAACTGTCCGAGGCCCAGCGCACGTGTCATGTCAGGTATGTGCAGTCGGGCAGCCAGCCAGCCAGCCACCTATCAAGCCAGCCTCTAGCTACTCACCAGGAACACCACACGCTGGTTCATGTTGATGGAGTGGGTGTTGGCGCAGGGAGCTGCCAGAGTGGCGCCAGTGATAGGGCCGCCATACTTGTACCCTACTGTAAACACCCTGCGTGAATGGCGATTATATATCTACATGGAATGTACCGCAAGGCAGAGATCGACGGCTGGAGTAGGGACGTACGTGAAATACTAGCTGGTACAGCTGCTGCCTTTGTTCGTTACCCCGCTCTCTCTAATGTCGGTCATTTAGCCGCATAAACCATATCTTCGCGGCTTAGAGCTCTGCTCATACACCTTAGACTGTAGGTTTTCTGAGTGAAACGAAAGAAAACCAAGTTTTTCTGTGTATTTGCTGAGAGTGTACTCGGTTGAATGTCTTTGGTGCATACGGCTGGACCGTACAGGGATAGAGTAAGTCGCAGGAGTGCGACGGAAAGATAACTCCGCGAGTTCATAGCGTCAGTACTGACAGGTTTCCGCTGCGGCTTCTGCCTAATCTACAGTCTACAGAAGCAGAGTCGCTCGGTAACCATGCTCGCCCCCTCCCACGGAAGCAAGCATAACTTTCCTGCCTGCAGGTACCCCTCCGTCTGTACGACCCCTAAGCGGTAAGGCAACTACTCAAGAAAACCAATTAATGCAAGCGTACCACTATCACTTAGAACAATATATAGCAGCTGTGTAGCTATCTGCTGCCCATTCAGCCCATGTACACACCACCACACCCCACAGTCGTGCGCACCTGCCAAGGAGGATGACCTTAGGGGCGGTCCTGATGACGGGTCGTTCCACCGGCGGCGCAATCTCGGCAGGGACCGCAAAACTTATTCGGTAGTCCAGATCGCCATGAGGGCTGCGGCTGACGCTGGAGGGCTGCAGGGGTGGGCGGAGCGCAAGTGGTGTAGAAGGTGACTGGAGGTTTTTTTTAGACATTTAATGACGGCGGGACTTGCGTTTTATTGACTGCCGAACCTAGAAAATTAGTTATATGTATGAAGATGAGAAACACAATTTGGGAAATGCAGGTAAAGGGGAGATATCTTCCGGGTGCAATAAATGCGGTCCACACGGTCGTTTTCGCACTCAGCCCAGGCCGCAACGGACCGGCGGAATCCCGATCACAAGGCTCCGTGTTGCGGAACAACAGGCCGTCGCCAACCGGCGTTCCCGCTTAATGTCGCTGCGCGGCGCGCTCAGGACCTCTACGCGCAAGGTACTTCACCCTTGCCTTTTGACAATTTTTGTCGTGTGGTTCAACTCAGGAGGACAGCTCCCTTGCTAGATCGGAATTATTTCCTTAACGCCTAACCGTCTGCATATGCAAGCAAACATGACTCCATCCTCACCAGGTTGCCCGCATCTGCGCCCGTCATTCCACACGTGTCGCATCCGGCAGACATCACCTTGCCCGACAGGTCCAGACAGGACGAGGCATGATACATGTGGATGATACCTGAGTAGTTTAGTACGGTTTCGGGCGGGCAGCAGAGAGCAGGCGCGAGGGCTCTTGCATTATAAGCCTTATAGAGGCAGCCGTTGGGTGAGCTGACTAACCAGGTACAATTATTGATGGAAGGTAACGAACAGGGCATGCATGTTACGAAGCAACTGCAGATTTCCGACAGGTGCAGCGACGCCCCGGCTAGTGTGTTATTTGGCTCCCACGCACCTAGCCATATCTAGGCTTCACTACTCTCTAAGTAATGCGAGTTCTTAACAGTGAAGCCGCCGTGTGACCTAGGGTCGCCAACTCGGGTCGCCAACTGGTACGCATGTATTACCCCTAGCCAGGACGAGGACGCATGATTAATAAGGCAGGGGTGCTTGAGCTGTAAGCATGCGTCTTGCAACTGTATGCGTGGCTTTTTGACAGCAATGGCTTTGCTGCCAGCATTCTAAGCAGTGCGAGAGGACGGACATACATGCGAATAGGCTGGTCGCCCCGTTATAAATCAACGGAAGACGGGTCCTCTTCACAACTACCACGACAGAATGTTAGCTGCAGGTGGATCATGCTGCGGCAGCAGCATCCGAATCATACCTTCATACCACCAACCAGGAGCCCCGCTGATGATTCCCCTAGCTACTAAAATCAACCACAGCTGAATCAGCTGATATCGCGTACCGCCGACGCCAACAGCTCACCTACTGTGGTACTTAATTTGTATCGGCTGCCCTCGGGCGCATCCGGGTCGTACACCAGGTCTTGGTAGGCGGGCAGGGTGCCCTGGTACCTTCCCTTCTTCCGCCATCCAGCAGTGCCAGCCTGTGGGTCCGTATACCGTATTACAAAGCTGATTGCACATACTCCTGCTTGGTCCATGGCGAGGTCTGTCCTGGAGGTTTTCCCACAATCGCTAGATGCATTGGCTACTCTCGATAATTGGAAACCACGCTGGGCGTTGATGTCAGTCCGCTCCTAAATATCTAGCAATCTGCCCACCCACCATCCCCACTCAATCCCCCAATCCGCCCCGGCCCCCCGCCCGCTCGTCAGGGGCCGCACGCACCTGCCCGCCTCCGTGTATCAGGACTTTGCCGTTCGGTAGTACTGTAAGGGAACGAAGGAAAATACAGTAGGTGATGAATCGATAAATAAGCAAGCATGCATGGGGGCGGTAAATAGTCCAGAAGAAACTGGATTGGGGCCCCTGCCTGGGGCGTCATTTCCCTGCAGTATCCCCGCTCTTTCTTGGTCACATGCATAACACGGACATGTTTTCTTTCCTTTCCTTTCCTTTCTTTAGCACGGGCGTTGCGACTGAAAGCGAAGACAGGAGTTAAGTTACAACCACACCGGAAGATAGCGCTACAAAAATAATACTAAGCGAAGGGTAGGTAAGCACGTTATAAGAATCGTAAGGCCTCCTAGGAGGCATGTATGCGGTGTGCCACAAGACGAACTCAGCCGCGCATGTGGCAACATGTTCCAACAACAGATAGACAGCACGACGTCGTACTCCGGTACAGCACACGCTAAGGTGACGGCGTGGTGCATAAAGCTCGCTCGTCTGGGGCAGGACAGGTGGCGCGGGAAGAGACACACCACGGTCTAGATACGAGTCCAGTGAATGTAGTATCATTCGTGTTCATAGCTACCTAGTCAGCGGAAAAATCCTACATTCCGCTATGCTAGTCATACCGTTTGTTAGGTACGCCAAATAAACAACAGCCTAATAACACCATTAATACCCTTTCTTTCACTTTTTCTGTGTTGTGTTGCTCTCGGGGTGCCTTTAAGCAGGCAGTACAAAGCCTTTGTACGAAGCCCTTTAAAACCCCGATCATATCTGGCAGGCTTGCACATGCACAGGTTTCACAGATACCGCACCTATTCAAAGCATATGCCCAAATGAACTCACCGGTGGTGGTAGGCATAACTCGCCTCTGTCCGGCCATGTTTTCAATTACCCATCTAACAGGGCGAAGTAGGGCGTTGGGAGAGGCCGCACAGTTTATATCAATAGATGCAAGGGTTTGGCACTACTGGTAAGGCGCGACCATTGCCCCCGGGAGATCCCGGGATCGAAACCAGATCATTAGGGTCAAAAGTCCGTCCGATGGTGGAAGGCATTGCGCCCCTAGTTGATGGACGGTGGTGACCAGGGATAAAGTTAACCTGCGAGCCGACCAGGAACGGAGTTGAGCCGCTGACGACCCTGCAGATATCGTTGGATGCTGGTGGTGGGTGCGGAACCTGAGCGATCCACTGAGATGTTGACTAGGGTGACTGCATGAGGGTGCCCCGAAATACCGGGGAAGGCAGGGTTTCGCAGGGTAGCTGCCACGGGCGAAGATACACCCCCCTGTTTCACACATCATACAAGGATGGAGCCAACTAGCAGCCATCGAACGTTGCAAGATTTTCCTTGCACGAAAGTAGGGCACCCCCCCCTTGGCAGCCACACTAGCATGCAGGTCGTCAAAATCAAGCTGTGGCGAGCGTACTGGGCATAATACTAGGTAATCGCACTGCTGTGCGTTTACCGCATCATGCGGGGTAGATTTGAATCAGGCCATCACATCATCGCTAAATTTACCCACCCCTTATCGCATATCTTGTTGCCGCAGTAGTACATGTCCAGCCTTGCGGACGCGGGGGAGGCTGGGGTTTCCGGCTTGGCACCACCCAGCTGATGTATATCATGTGGGATAGCAGCGAGCAGGGGCAGGAAGCTGTCGTATGAGGTTTCAATGGTGGTAAATGTGTGCGTGATTGTCGCTGCTGTACTCTGGCCTCTGGGTGGGATGTAGGTATCGGCTGCGGTGTTCAATCTCAGCATCAGTAGTGCATCAATATCAGTAGTGCAGCCGGTTTCCTGAACACATACAATGCATGCTCGCTCGACCCAGTGCTCTGCCGTCCTCTGGCAATAGCGGCAACAGTGGCAGCAGCAGCATAGCACCCTTTGCGTGCATATATATTCTTACCAATAGAGGACAACGCGAATCCCCCCGTCAATTTCCGGGGTTTTATCTCGCTACCTGTAGTATCTTGGGTATCATGGAATCTGACATCCGCCAATCGGTTCTTTTCTGAAAAAGACGTGATACAACACTACCCCAAATATACACCTACCGCGCCGCCGAAGATGGTCATGGAGAAATCATTGTACTCGCCACTCTGTGAATCCGGCTTCATTGCGTTGAGTACGATGGAAGACGTGTACCAATACATGGTACGGTACCTGCGTGCGTTCGTGCGTAATATAAGGAATGACGCCCGCAAGGCAGAAGCCAGGTGACCGCCGCCTAAATAAAGGGAGCCTTATAATGCTGGCAAGCGACATGCTTTCGCGCAGTTTTGTTTATTCCTTGTTTGGCCACCGTACTGCACTACAGCTGCTATGTACGGTCACATATATGCCCCACACATACGCCACATGCATGTGCACGTACGAATCCCTTTAAAGTCATGCATCGTCCCATGCTAGCCAGCAGATAGCGCGCCTAAAGAATGTTTGATCCTCTGTCAGGTATAATGAAAAGGGGCGGTCCCTACCTAACATACCAGGGCACGACCTATGAACGATAAAATGTCTTACATACGACGAGTTGCAGGAGGCACTTTTGTAGTATCCTGGGTATCATATTGACATTCGCCGATCGGTTCTTTTCCTGCGATTAGACGTGTTGGTATCGGGACTCTGTATTCCAGTCCCATCCCGGGTTCGATTCTACTTGCGGTCTGCTGCCGTTGGTTTCCTGTAGATGCTGAGACCTTTCAGGTACCGTGAGATAAACAAACGGTCGAGGACGCCCTCAACTCTGGAGGGGGGATAATTGTAGTATCCTGGATATCACGGGATTGACATCCGCCGATTGGTTCTTTTCCTGCGATTAGACGTGATACAACACGTTTTCACATCACTGCCATGGGTAACGCAAGCGAGCGGCACTACCCGTGGCATGACGGACATGCGATTATGTAATTTGGAAGCAACACACGGTATCTTTAGCAATATTTGCTTCCGGACGCCAACGTGGATACCCCTACCGCGTACGTGGCACATAGAAAAGCCGTCCAGTGTACAGAAACGTGCGTGAATACTCACGGGAAGCTTTCGGGCAGGTCCGGGAGTATATGGATTTCCTGCCAGTCCTTGTTGGTGATGCTGCCGCCGCGGTCGCCCCACCAGAGAACCTCGCCTGTGGGGTAATAGATGGACGCGCTATTGCAGTTTGGACGTGTGCGTGGCTGGCTGGGCCAGCAGCAGTTTAGCAGATGGCATGACGTAAAGATATACCATGTTTACACGTGAATCATTCGCCAAAGGAAATCAGCAGTGACTTTACAAAGAAGCTCTTTGCTTAACCTGTCTTTTACATCGGCACACGGGTAGGTGTGCCATGCGCGTGTGTTAACCAACTTAGGATGCGAAGCATGCGGCCCCGATGACGGCCCTAGTGCAGCACCGCACGCAGGTATACATGCATTTGCATCCGCTGCACGCGTGCAAAAGGCGATAGCAGGTACGTCTATTAAGTGTGATCGTCTATAAAGGCGACCAGACGATTAATTTATCGTCTGTAGATATCGTCTGTAGATCGCACCCGTAGGATAATAGATAGTGACCGTCCCTGCTGCCAGGGCACGCATGATCTATAGACGGTCCTTGCAGGTGCAAGGACGTAGTTGCGCACGAACCAAGAAAACTAACTAACCACTGCACTCACCGCGAGGCAGGAGAGCGATGAAGGGGTACCTGGGAAAGAGAAAGAAGTGCAAACGGGCGCTGGATTTATTTACGCAGGATAAAGAGGCCGGTGTATGGCTCTAATGCGCTAGGCACTTAGACGGACTATAGTGTGGTTTTATTGTTGATTTCTACGTGCTATTCAGCGGGCCCGTAGATACATGCATACTGTTTGTTAGACCGATGACTGACCCACGTGCTTCTGTATATGTACATAGCACATATAGCCTACATGAATGGTTACGACGGCTAGCCAATTGTTGCTGCCCCTGGCCGCTGTATGCGGTTGTAGGCCAGCGCACGGCGTGCAGGCCCGCATCAGCAGATTAGCCCACAAAAGCACAGCGAAACCGGGTCAAGACGATGGTTGCTGCTGCCGGGCGAAACGGCAATGGAAACCCTACCAGTTGTTCCCGGCGGCTTTCTTGAAAGCGGGCGGTAGCGGCACGGACACCGTGGTTTCGCTGGGTTGGCGCGGGTCCCAAAGCTCGGCCACAGGAATAGGGGGCCCCTTGTCCCCTCTGGCCGTGCCACCCACGACTAAGACCTGCATGTGTCCGCACAGCAATTCAAGCGACTGCGTTCATCTTTACAACACACGGCCCTTTATCATCAAGTCTGATAACTCTTATATTTGTAGCAGCTGTACATAGTGTGGCACACATATAACCACAAGTAAACACGCGCTAGGTGCTCCATATCAGCCAGCATCTATAGAGGCCTTCTCCGAGAGAAGAGTCTGCGGCCAGGTACTACATCATCCGTTGACCAAGGCAAGTTCCCAGCCAATCAAAGTACCGCTGGGAATACCATAACGCAGAAGCAGGGCTAGCGAGCGATGCGCGCATCGTACATCATATCTGTATGTACGTCTATCGGATATAAGTACAGAGCGAGATCAAGCCTGGCTATCCGCACCGAACCCGCTGGCGACCGAGACTTATTAGATGTGGTGTTGCTACTTGCTGGCCTTATGCATAGCATACGACAATATATACAGCACCTTATGTAGCATGCATCGCAATTCCGTGCGCGTACCTTGTTGCCTGATACCATGCAGGGCGTCGGATACCACCTGGTGCAGTGTGACCCACGCGACAAAGCGGGCGCAAGCGATTTCATTGTTTTGTTTCCAGGGCAAATGCAAATGCGCAAATGGGCAAATGGGGACGCAGAGCCTTAAGATCTGATGCTTGTGAAGTCTGCTGGTTCAATTGAGTTTTGCTACTGGTAAGACGCGAAGCCCCGGGTTATGAGGTTGGGTTGACCGCTTGTGCTGTCGCCCATACCTCTTAGACGGTCGGTGTGTACCGTCGGTTTAATGTTCTTCTATGCCGGCAGCCGGCAGGCGGACTGCTCTTAGAATTGATGAACAAACAACGCACGACCGAGTGTCTGCTGTCCCCTGACCATGTCCATGTAATGCACACACGTGTGCATGGAAGTTTGCGAATATAACGCCGTTCATCCGCACTCGACCGTCAACATTTTTGGTGCAATCCTGGTAAAGGCCCGCTATCACTTGTTGGCCTTCCATGTGCCGAATGGTAAATGATGCGAATAGGCATGCAATTTCTCACCTCTGAAAGGACAAGCTGCCTACCCTAGAAAACTGCTCCATGCCTTCATTATACAACTGGGGATATTCAATATGGGGAAGGGTGAGGTGCACGGTGAGTCGTGTGCCCGTGCATGTACTGCAGATGGGCGGCAGTAGCGGCAGCACTTACGGAGGGGACGGGGAATTTTTCGTGGCCCAGCCAGTTTGCTTGCACGCCCTTCGCATGAAATTCTGGCATCTTTAAAGGCTAGAAATTTCTAGCTAAATGGCGCGGCGTCGATCCGGCCGGACATGGGAAACCTTAACTTACCGCAATCACCTGGCGCCCATCTTTCTGTGGTACGTTCTTCGCTTCACCGAAGCCACCGAACAACGCTGGACGACCATCGGCCAAGACAAGGGGGCCGTTGCAAAAACTGGTCGTAATCGGTTGTGAAAAGGGCCGTCTGAGCAATTGAGGGCAGCAGAAGGAAGGAAAAGAACGCTAATGTGTCATCACACATAATCGTTCATGAACGACTCTCTTAATAGCAAGTGCACTCGCTCTGGATATCTTGCCGTGATGGGGAATGGGAGTGTAAGGGTGTATTTCCAGTGCGGATTAACGTCGCGGATGAACCCTCTGTCCTCCATCGATACTTGCTCAAACGGCTAAGTTATTGGCAAACTCACCTCGCCTTTTCAACCTTTGGTTCCCTTATGGAACGAAGCTATGTGGTAAGCTCGTACCAAGGACTTCCGTGCCCTAATCCCTGGCCTTAATCCGCATTGGAAATATTATCCTAAGTCCTGCTACTCCACCCTCCCAAACCCAAACTTGGCCAAACATGTAGGGTGCCGGCTTCCTTTAACGGTACGAACGACAAACGCTGCGAACTGGGCACTTCGGCCCCCAACTCCTTGCCCCCGACAACCCTTTCCCCGCATCATGCAATGATGAGAACGCCCCACTAGGAGGGAAGGGAAAGCTTAGCTCGAAAAAGAACGAGTTGCCCATATATCTCGCCTCAGCTGAATGTATATACATAACACATAATCATAACAATAATATATAATATATTTTTCAATCAGATATAATATTATCCTTTCATTATTATTATTATTATTATTATTAAATTAGTATTATTACTTATTATATATTATTACATAAATGTACAGAATACTCTAATGTTAAAAAGTGTGACATTATATACGAGCTGTCAGCGGAGATTTAAGAAACGAATAAATTTGCAGAGTTCTAGGAATTCCGGAGGGAAACAGCAAAATCCTGAATTTAAAAAAAGACATTTATGCGTTTCAAGATAGCCACGCCGACTCAAGCCGCATTGCCGGCTTCTGCACGTGAAAGGCCCTGTGTCAAGGCGATGCCTCACCATTTAACACCTCGTTCATTCACCCATACCATACGCATTCGTTCAAACGCAAAGTTGCGTGTGTGCGCATCGCAGTTAATAGGGGTTCTTTTAAGGTTATGATCTGTGTGCCTGATAAGTACCACGTGTACCACGTGTACGACGTATGCAGATCTTCGAAAGCATTCGCCTATAGCTCTGCTGTCGTGCGGTGCAATTTAACCACCAACCTTACGCGTGTTCAGGTCAAACGTGGCAGCCTGTGTCTGATTCGAGGTGTCGGCGCGCCAGTACGCAAAATACTTGCGGCTGCGCGTCCCGGCGGTAGGCACGTGCGTCAAGGCGATGCTGATGAGCGGTGCGTCGAACGAACCCATTTCGAAGACCGCGGCCGGCTGCTGCTGCTGCTGCTGCTGCCTTGCCGCCACGGAGGCATGGTGTAGCCGCCGGCTTCCGCCTTGGAGCCTTGGAGTTCCTGACACCAAATTGTAATTATCCTGCACGTCGCAGAGCAGGCATAGTCGACGGGAGGAGTAGTCGACATGCGCATAGTTTATGCTGGTCGGGGCATGCGTAAATAAGTGCACTGCACTAGATCCACACATATCATATACAGAGCCAGCAGGCATCTTACTGCTATGAGTGCATGCATTTCTTATATGCTGGGCAGCTACAAATTCCCGTCCTGTATGTGCTTGTGCAGCACCACGTGGGGATGACGTGGATGTACGACAGCTTTACCATCACCAGTTGTCTTACGATTGAACTATCCGTTACGTGCATGTGCGGCAGCAGTGGCAACCAAACGTGCAGCAACTGGCAGCCAGCATATCGACGATACCCAGTCCCATAGGTACGATCGGTACCTACAAAAGCGTTGAGCTCTGGGCCAGAATCCAGCTCGACATCCATGATTTTGTACTTGATGATCTCGTGTTCATCACGTGCCGCATCATTACCAAAGGAGCTGCTAAAGGATACATCCGGCAGGGTGGCCGTGGAAGGGCCCGCGAAGAAGAGGGTTGCTACCAGTAGCAACGACAGCGCCCTAGGCTGCTGAGTGCTGCTGACACGGGTCACCGGCGCCAAGTGATGACGTCCTGATGACATCCGGCGGCATTGACGCTTGCTTCGAGACTGCAGCATGTCTATCTCGCTCCGGGGGCACTGAATGGGCCAGCAGCGTCCCCCAACACCAAGCAGGCGACGACCCAAAGATTGCGCCCAATGTGTGTGGTGGTTACAGTGGGCTCCAGACCAATGTGTACCAAGAGTGCTCCTCTGGGAGTGGAAAAGAAAAGTTATAGCGCCGAAGGGTATCAGTAGCCGTATGTTTAATACCCTCTCCTCAAGCTAATAAGCACAACGGCGAATGCCGCGTATGTAAGCAAGCGAACGCAGAACCGTCGGCGGTCTAGTTCTGATGACCGGTGGAAAAGGCACATGCATGTACGTAGGTAGGCTGTCTATGATGTCCTACCAGATGCAATGCGCGTATGTTTTATTTGATGGATGTGCAATGAAGTTCTGGAACGGTAGGTGAGGGCTTATAAGATTGTTCGGCTGTCTTACCTGACTGGCGCAATCGTATGTACTTACGTACGGGCAAGCGAATTAATGCTGTCGATCCGACCAAGGCAGGCGGACGGATATTGATGGACGCTACGGACTCGATGGACAGTTTAGCAGGCGCACGAGCGCGGCGAGATGCATGAGTGCATCATGAGTTTATTACGTAAAGTGGAACCGACCGGCGGATCAGCAATGCCGCTCGCACCCCAACTTGCGAAATGTCACGTACTCGGGCATGCCTGCAGAGCTATGGCGAGGTCCCCGTGCACGTGAGAGTCATGGAACGGGGACCCCAAAACGAACGGCGCAAGGCCTCACACGGGGAACGTAAACCCTCCCCGTCAAAATCGCAACAATTTGCATTTTTGTTTGGTACTTTTTCAGCAGCTCCAAAACGTTCTGATGCTGTAAAAGCTGCAAGCTTATTAGGTGTAATGATGAACGAAGGTTCAAAACGTACTCCCCGAACCGTTCCTTCTCTGTAATCCATACCCCGGTGCTGTCCTCCAGTATAAAGAAATGTTATTCAAGTACACTGGGCCGTCGTTGTGCTGTCATATATAGCGGTATCAACAATTACTTGCCCGTAGCCCAGAAGCCATTGAAAACAAAACCTGCCCTTAAGAAGACAGAAATAGTAGCGAAGGCACAGAAAGAAACTGCGGAAAACTCCGCCACCAAAGAACATGTGCCCTTGCTCCACATGCAGCCTGATCAAGACGGAGGTCCCGTAGAAGAGTA